GACCTACGCTGTTGATCTCACTCCCGTGACCCAGCGTTACCAAAGCTCTCTCTCTGACACATCGCGCGATCGACCTCTTTCTCTGCCCCCCCCCTCTCTCGTGGCGTATCAACCAGACAACCAGGAATTTTAGGATAAAACGAACCGAAAGAACAGGTAAAAAAAATCGACAACGCTCGTAAAAATCCGGCAATTTCGGTTGCCAAGGAAGCGTAACCTTCGAAAACGGACCAATTACGTGTGCCGAGTCACTGACACTGTCGTGGAGAACGCCTCGCTCGCCAACTCGTGCGGGAGAGAGAGGAAATAAACGAACGAAAAAGAAGCACAAAGCGCCCCCCCCCCCTGCCGCTGATTCGTTTTCCACAGCCTTGACTTTTCCACGTTCGTCGACGAGATGATTCGTATCGAAACCGATCGCCGCGCGCTAATTAACTCGGCCGCTTTTGTTTCACAAGCCGAGATCGCGCGCGCGAGCTCTTGTCGTTGTGAAACGTATCGAAATGTGAAAGTCCCCGAACCTCGGCTATTTCGCGTACTTGGTGAACGAGAGAAAAAAAAATCAATTCGAAGAAACATTGTTGAGTTAAGGTGTAGAGGAGAGCAGGACGAGGAGGAGGAGGAAGAGGAGGAGGAGGAGGAGGAGGAGGAGGCGGCGAAGCACGGCAATTTCCACGTAAAACGCGTAAAAACTTTCGGAGGGCTGGGAGGAAGGGAGGGGTGGCCACAGCCGTACGAGGGGAACGGGACGGGAGCGAAGGGGGAGGGTAATATAACCGGGCTTAAAAATCGCTGCCCCGAAAACGCCGGCGAGGCTATAGACGACGTAGCACGAGCGGCGTTGCGCGCGCGAGGCACAATCAATAGCCGCCCCGCTGCACCTATAGCCTCGCCGCTCCAGACTCGCGCGCACATACACGCACACGCACACGCACACGCACATACACACACACATGCGCGCGCGCACGTACCAGGGCGCAGGCATGGTCATTCGTTTAAAAATTCGGAGATGAAAAATCTTCGATCGATCCTCCTGCGAAAACAACCCCGAGGAGGAAGAGAAAGAAGAGGCGGAGGAGGAGGAGAGGGAGGAGGAAGCAATCGGTCGGCGGTGGAGAAAATGTCCGCGGAGGAGTAAACAATCGATCGCCGACGAGTCGTCGTCGCGTGTTTACTACTCGCCTCGGTATTTTTACATGATTTTCACGCGAGCCGTTGCTCTCTCTCTCTCTCTTTCTTTTTTTCTCTCTCTCTCTCTCTCTCTCTCTCGCGGCAGCGAGACGACGACGGCGACGGCGACGGCGACGGCGACGACGGACACACAAAATGGACGCACGTGAAAGTAACCTTGCACGTGGACAGACGAACGGACGCACCGAGAGAGACGACAAACACAGAGAGAGCGTGCGTGTGTGCGCAGAGAGACGCATGTAGGCAGGGATCTGTGTAAGTACGTAAAAAAAGGTGGGCCGCCGTGGCGCGGCTGCTGCTGGAATACTAACGAACAAACTAACCGGCGACATGATGGGCGGCGTGGACGTCTGGGTAGTGATGGAAGCGAGATGCTGGCCCTGCTGCAGCTGCTGTTGGTGCATACTGTTCTGTTGGTCCTGCATGACCTGCGCCGGGTACCACCACTGCACAGCCCCGGGCTGCGAGGGCGCGCTGACCGGCACGCCGGTCCGGTAGTCGTAGCCCTTGGGCACCGGACTGCTCGCGGCCTGCTGGGCCTGCGCGTGCTGCTGCTGCTGCTGCTGCTGCTGTTGCTGCTGGTGCTGCTGCTGCGTGGCGCCCGTGGTCGCCGGGTTCTGGAAGCTCGAGGCCATCTTGTAGGAGAAAAGCTGCTGCTGCGTCGTGGCCGCGGCTGTGCTCCTGACGATGTCTTGGTGGTGCTGGTTGAGCTGCTGCTGGGCCTGCTGCTGGGCCTGCTGCTGCTGGTTGAGCATGTGCTGGTGCAGGTTCTGCGCGGCCTGCTGCTGCTGCTGCTGCTGCTGGGCCGCGACGGCGGCCGCCTGCTGCTGCGCCGCCGCCACGGCCTGCTGGTGCGCCTGCTGCACGGCCTGCTGTTGTTGCTCGGACATGCTGGACGGCCACCACGAGGCGTTGCCGTCGGGCGGCCGCTGCTGCTGCTGGTCCTGCTGGGGCGGCCAGCCGGCGGCCGCCACTCGGTGGTGCTCCGACATGCCGAGTCGAGAGCTGCGGGCCGAGGTCGTCGGGCACTCACGCACACACGGGACGCTCAGCGCGCGCGCACGAGACGGGAGTCAGTCTGCGCCGCAGGCTCTCCACATCCGTGCCCGCTGGACCTGGCTGCGGGGCAAACCGGTCCTCGCGACGGCGACCGACCACGAGCACACCGCACCGCGCCTCCTGCTCTGTCGCCGACGCCGCTGCTGCTGCTGCTGCTGCCGCCGCTTCTGCTGGCGTCCCTCGGGGCTCGCCTCCGCCGATGACACGCGCGCCCCTGGGCGCTCGTCCGCACTGGGCACACACACTATCCCTCGGGCAACACGCGCGCGCCTTCGCCGCTGCTCTATCTCTCTCTTCTTCTCTCTCTCTCTCACACTTCTACACAACAAAATGTCGGTGGCGGCGCTCTCGCTTTCGGAGGACGCCGCGCGCCGTGTCTCTCTCGCTCGCGCTTGTGCGCCTCTCGCTCGAAACGACGGGCGTAGCTGTGGGGCCGCCGAACGCTGGCTGGCCCGCGCTAACGTGACGCACTTGCACACTGCTCGACCGCGGCTCCGCGTACGTGGGCGAGGGTGGCAGGCTCTGGCTCACTTGCACTGCGCGCTCGCTGCTGCTGCCGCTATGCCGCCGCCGCTTGCTTCTGGTCGTCGGCTCTCGAACGCTACTTGCCGTTCTCTCTCTCTGCGTTACGCTGCCGCCGCCTGCCTAGCCGTGCGGCCTGTGCTGGCGTGCTAGTCTATGCTGGCTCGCGCGCGCTCTCTCTCTCTCTCTCTCGCTCTCTCTCTTTCTCTCCCGCTGGCTGGCTGGCCGTCCGTGTGTGCGTGCGTGCGCGCAGCCGAGCGAGCGAGAAAGAGCGCGAGGGGAGGGCCGCTGGCTCGCGCTGTCTCGCTCGCGCTCGCCGCCGAGCACGGGCGGCTTTTCCGTCCCGCTCGCTCGACGCGCCTGCGCTCGCGCGCGTTCCTTCTCCCTCTCCCGCGAGCGAGCGAGCGTGCGCGCGCGCAGGCTAACGCCACGCCGCCAAGCGTCGTTACACGCTCTGCCCGCCGCCTCGTTCTCCGTCTCTGTCGCCCATCCGGCCCCTCGGCCGGAGAGCCTTCTCCACGAGGAAAATCGCCGCGGCTTTCCGCGGAAACTCGGGAAAGCTGGCGTGGGTCGGCCGGGCCAAGGGACGGCGCGCGAGAAGCAGCGCTCGACGCCGCGCAATTTGCGACGAGCGGCGAGGCGGCGTTGCCGAGGCGCGAAGCCAGCCGGCCGTTCACAAAGGAGAAGTCGCTGGGGTCGACCAATCGGCCCGCCGGGCGAGGCTCGCCCCGATGGCGGGAGAGCGTCCGAGCCAGCAAAGAGGCAACGCCGCACGGCGCGCGCGTCCCTTTCTCTCTTGCTCCGCTCGTCGTTCGCTCGTTCTTCTCCGCGCGCGCATGTGTGCGCCTGTACGTGCGCCTGTTATATATGCTCGCTCGCTGGCTCGCTAGCTGGCTGGCTGGCTGGCTGGCTCGCGAGCGCTGCGACAAGAGAGAGAACCCTTCTCTACCCTTGAAACTCGAGGTCAACATTTGGGCGCTAAAAAATGCCGAGCAGGTTTTTCGCCGGGAGCGGGAGAGGCGCGACGGACGGCGCTTCACCGCTGCCCGTGGAAAAGCCGCCATTTCCCAAGCGGTCGCGAGGCATGCGCGCTTTTCCCGCGCATTTTTACAACGCCGCCCCCACTCGCTTCTTCTCACGCGCGCCAGCGCCACCGCTGCCGCCGAGGAGATATATCCCTTTGTTTTCAGAAACTCGCGGCGATACTCCATTTGCTTTTGTTCGTTCGTTCGTTCGTTCGTTCGCTCTCTCTCTCTCTCTCTCTCTCACTCTCTCTCTCTCTCTCACTCTCTCTCGTCCTTTTTTCGCATTCCTTAGCAGCGCGATGAACCGCGACCGTTTCGCGATTTCGGTGAAAAGCCCCCATAGGCGCGCGATTGCGCAACGCTTACGCAATGCGATCGCTTTTTCGTGTATCCTGTTACCAACGCGCGGGGACTACCTCTCCCAACCGGCCGGGAAAAACTCGAGGCTCGGTTTTTCGACCGAGTCTACGAGCAACGACAAAAGGAAAAAGGAAGCGGCGATGAAGGAAGTTGAATCGTATTATTCGTGGCTGAGGCAACGCGGCGATGCCTATTTTAGCTGGCGCACGCTCGAGCGCGGGAAATCAATTTGGCGTGTTAGATTGAAAAATGTCGAGACGAGCACTGGCGAATACGTAGACGGACGCACGGTAGGAGAGCAAAACATGGCAAATAAATTTTATAATTTTATTTCATGCTTGTAATAACAAACCAGAGGATAAAGCGCTCTAAGCTCTCTCGTCGCTGATAACCGCGAATCCCGCGTGCGAGAGAGAGAGAGAGAGAGCGAGAGAGAAGAGGCGAGAACCGGGTTCGGGTCAATAAGACGTGAAGGGGGGAGAGAGAGAGAGAATTGGCGCTTGGGAGCTGCGCGCGGCGCGGCGGCGGCATTCCCAGGGCTAGCCAGCGGCAGCAGCCAGGCCAGCTAACGAACGAATCGAACGCCGCACGCTGCAGACAAGGACGCGCGATATTAGAAAGAGAACGAGGGTGGGAGAAGGACGACGAATATTATCGGGTAAAAAGCCCCTCTCCCTTCCTTTGCGACCGTAGCAATGAAACTTAAAAAAATATTTTTTCAAATTTGAAAAAAAAAAAAAAATTATAAAAAGAAAAGAATATCCAGAAAAAGAGTGGGAATCGCGCATGACAGCGCGGGTAGACATTTTGTTTGTGGAATTTGAAGTTCTTTTTGTCACTTGTAGATTTACGTGACTACGCTAGGGAACAGTGCAGGATGAGTTTCAAATTCTTGGAATAACTTGCGTGCTCATAATATTTTTGCTCTTAAAACGGCTAGAAGATGTAATGAGAAAATCGATATTACAACCTCGTGAGAATTTGCGTCGTTAAGTTTCAAAGAGACGATGCGACGAGTGTATGTGTATGTGTGTGTATGTGTGTGTATGTATGTATATACACATACAAACACACACACACACACTCTCGTCGCATCGTCTCTTTGAAACTTATATATATATATAATATCACAAGAAAAAAATGTAAAACGAATAGTAAATAATACACACTGTAGGAATAATCCCTAAGTCGCTCGTTAAAGAAACATCAGATTCCTCTGAATGAAAGAAAGAATAACGATACTTTCTTTTTTCCCGGAGACATTAGGTAAATAAAATAGTTCAACCATAAATCAACTAATAAATTTTGGAAAAACTCAACAAAAAGAAGAAAAAAACAAAGCCGACTGCCACACCTATAGTCTAATACGTTGCAGGTAAAGCTACCCGCCAGGATCCCCTTCTGTTCGATTATAGTGTTCCCCTCCGCGCTTCAAAATCATATGGCGTAACGAAGGCTTGGGGTGCACCGGCTGCAACAACTCGCACAGAAATACGCGGGAAACGACTGACGCATATGCCTTGTCGTTTTCCACGCGTGAGATAGTTTTTCACGATTAAGTTTGAGGGGGGGGGGGGGGGGGGTTTGCTATTTTTCGGGGGACCCAGCAGGACAATGTACGACGCTACGATCGCGATTACGCTTTGTGCCTGCAGTTTATTAGGGTTGCTTCACTCAGTGAGGGTAACTTTACCTTATGCTCTCTTACTTATTGGTCACCGGTAATGAAATTATTTAGGCAGATGGCCAAATTAATATTTTTTCTGTCGTTTGTCAAAAAGATTGTGACCGATATTGGATATAAATGCTCCAACATTTAGACACAAATGGAATAAATTTGAGTCAAGAATAACAAATAGCTTTTATTATACGGGTAGACTAAATTCGATATCACGAGACATTCTTTACGTTAAACAATACTCACGAGCTTTGGAAAATAATCGGCATTCAATCGTATATTGTACGTGATTAAAAAATGAGCCATATTAACAAATAGTTTCTATATGTTACGGCATTTATCTACTTAAAAATTGATATTAATAGCTGCGGTGGATAATAATACTCAATTGTATGCTGTGGTCACTTAAAAAAACTAATAATTTTCGTACATTTAACAAACCAACGCCTGTATGTTTGCGCCTTATATTCGACAATATGGAAAAAATTCTTAACATCAAACAATACTTGAAGAGCTTTGGCAAATATCAAATTCTTATACATAAAAAATGGAACATAAATAGGTGTCTTCTCGATTTCATCAATTATACAGCAGATAATATGGATTATACATTGTACATTAATATTTCAGAATACATATAATTCAGCATTTTCCTTGTTTGCCATTAAAAAAGTAAATGTTTTAATTCTATGCAGATTTTGTCTTACAAATAATGATCATTGTTACTGTTAAAATACTACCATTCAATGTATACAATACTCGTAGAATAAATGAAAAATACAAATTTTTACCTAAAAGAAATTGATCAAACTACAAGTAAAATTTCTCACTATTTACTCAAACGCCGTAACAATGTGCATAATTGCTCACAACTATTGTAGATTTGTGTGTAGACATATCTGCATTACAGCTACATGCGTAGCTCGTAGATTCAAATCAAATGTGGACGCGTTCGGTATGCTGAATTTCATGTATTCTAAAAAAAAAGAAAAAAAAACCAAATGCATGTGCATTTCAAAATTGCGTGACTTACCTCCATGGCTTTATCGATATCAACGATATACTGAAACAAAGCAAGTAACGCCTACGCAAGAACTTTATCGCTGTGTACTAGGGACACAGCTCAAGTTCTTCCGGGTGCTCGTCGTGATGCTACGCTGAGCTGGATGTCTGGAAAGAAAAGCATCCTTCGTTAATGACCAGGTCAACACAGAGTTTCGTTAACGGACGACCTATCACCGCGATTATTCGCTGTATGTGCGCACAATTTTTACGGGTCAAGATTTACGCCTGCGTGAAAGCCAGCGGATACGAGCAAGAGAGATATATATGTGTCGATGACGCCTCATTAGCGTATGCACCGCACGATGCTGAAACTGGTAGAGTATGATGATTTGCGTTAATCGAGGGGTCGACCACGGCTCGACGACGAAAGCTGGATTTCAATTCAAGAGGACTGTATTTTTTTTCTTAGCGTTGTGGCTCGAGCGACAGGTGCCGTTCATCCGCGCGGATATCCGAGCTGTCACATGCATTCATTGATTTTGAAACAACTCGCTTCTTTCTTTATTGTTAAGGTTTTAAGCTAGATTTAAGCTGATCTATAGGCAACAAAAAGCTCGGCCAAAGGCATGCATTGCATTTTTGTTGTCAAAACTTAATGTCGCTCGGAAATGTATTCTGGAATACGATGAAACAATCGGGGGAAGGGAAAACCGGTTGATTCGTGGGGAAAAAAGAAAGGCGAACACTGTACAGCCGTGCACGAGCGAGACGAAGCGAAAGTTATAAACAAAAATCATTAAAGCAGCGTCGAGTGCGGAGCGACGCACAGCGCGTGCTCGTAGCCCGTCTCAGTCTAGAGCAGCAATGGCTCGCGGCGAGAAGACAGCCCGGAATTTCGCGGATGGTTGCATCCGGCCGCCATACTGGATATTTTCATTCCGTCTCTATCTCTCATGGCCCGGCAAAGTCGCCCCGGCGCCCGAGCGGCTATGAGCTTTTTCCGAGAAATGCAAAGCGACGCAAGTTCGCACGCCAAGAGCAGACATTTTGGCCGGAGCAGCAGCAGCAGCAGCAGAACGGTGGCGGTTCTATCGACGCAGCGAGTAGAAAAAAGGGGGAGCAGAAAGCAGCGCGAAGAGAGAGGGAGCCAGCTCTCGGTGCGGTGCAATCGAAGCAAAGCGCGCGCGCGAGCGAGAGAGAGAGAGAGAGAGACAGAGACAGAAAGAGAAAGAGCTGAGCCGAGCATATATGCACACGGTGCCGCTCTGCAGGCAGTTACGTACAACGAACATGTCGCCCGTACATTGATTGCATATCCACCATTTTACATTAGTAACAAAGCCAAATCGCTGGGAATGCCGTGTTCTTTGCCCTTCAGAGCTGTCTCGCGTGCTGAAGGTTTCACACGAACAGCTGCTTGTCGTCACGGCACACAACAAACAATCCGCGAAAGCGCGAGCGCGAGAGTAGCGGAGCAATATCGAGCTTATTAACAGCAGGTGAGGGACGAAGAGAGAGAAAGAGAGAGAGAGAGAGAGATAGAGGTATCGTCGGCACGTGCACTGACAGCGGCATAAAATGGCGACAAAAGGCCAGAAAGGCAATTCAATGAGCAATGATACGCAAGGCGCGAGCGCGACACAGCACGACACTTGCACTGCTGTGGGAGTCCCTCGGCGAAAGTTAGCAGACGGCGGCGCTCTCGCTGAGCTAACGGCGTTGAGGTTAGAAAAGCTCGAAGAAAAACCCAGACAGAATGGAGCGGACTTTGGCGCGACTTACGTGATATGTCGACGAGTAGAATGCTTGCTATAACACTGCACTGCTCGCTCGGCTGGTACGTGCTTTTGGCTTGGCTACACAGTACAGTATTGCAGGCAGGCAAGCAAGCAGGCGGGTAGGCAAACTGGCAGGCAGGAGCGCGCGGCGGTAGCGGTAAAGCGACGCACATAGAGGAAGACGCTTACGTGTAAACACGAGTGATGCACGACTCTCGCTCTCTCCCCTCTCTCTCTCTCTTTCTCTCTCACACAGCTGCCGCCACTCTGCACTCGCACACACACGCTCTCTCTCTCTCTCGCTCTCTCTCTCTCTCTCTCTCTCTCTGTCTCGCGCGCGCGAGCAAGCGATCCCAAGCTACCAACTCCAGCGCTGCTGCTGCTGCTGCCGCTTGTTGGCTTGCTTACTTGGCTTCGCAACGGGATACGTCTCTCTTTTCTTTCTCCCACGCTGTCCCGATCTATTTTCTTGAGTGCGTGCGGCAGCAGCAGCAGCAGCAGCCACTACTTCTTTCTTCCTCGCCCCCTCCCTCCCACTAAGCAACAACCCACCTAGCTGAGCTTCGCGAGATTGTAGATCGCCAACGAGCCAAGTTCTTGATGGGCAAGCTTGCAAGCTTGTCACGCACGGAACTAGCACTGAACACGAGTGGCAACAATAATGACGATGATGCAACTGTTGCGATTATGCTCGACGACGAACATCGATCGAACAATCGGACAACAGAGCACAGCCAGCACGCATCGCATCGCATCGATCGAGAATGGGGCAGCGTCAGGGACGCGCTTTTGACAAGTAGCCGCCGTGGCCGAACGCGCGTGCGGCCGCAGGCAAAAAGGAATCGTGAAAGCTCGGCCGTTCCAAGTAGCCACGCCAGGCCATCACTTAAACTGCCCCTCAATGATACTCCGAAACTCCGTTTCGGATTCGTCGTACCCGGAAACGCGCCGCTAACCGTGGAAAACAAAGCCGACCGAGATCGACCGGCACACGCGCGCGCGCACGACCAAAACCTACGCTACCTACGTTTGCTTACGGCCGCGTCGTTTTTTCGCTCGCCTCACTTACTCGCTCGGTTTACAGCGGCGAGGAACAAGTTTCCTCGTACGTGCACAAGCCGACATTTTTACGTGCAAAAAGCGGATTGCATTGCGAGGCATTGAGAAAAATGGACGACGCCAAGTGAGTCAGTAAGAGGAGGCGGTGGCGGCGGCGGCTGCTGCTGCTGCTTCTTCTACTCGGGAGGGAAAAAATGGCGAGTAAATAATTGAATGACGCCGCGGCCGCAGAGAGCGACCGAAATGGAATCGCTCTTTCTTCGCATCGCGTATCTCTCTCTGTCTCTCCGTGCCTCTGGCTCTGCGTGTGTGCGTTGGCTGGTTGGCTCTCTGTCGAAAGCCCCGCGCGATGCGCGCGCGCGCCGATAGACGATGCACAGCACACACTCGTCCGCCGACTCCACTCTCGTATATATGTACGTGCGTGTATATATTTTTTTTCTTCTCTCGGCTGCGGATACGGCATTTTTTCCCCTCGATTTTGCGGCCGTGCCCTCAGCTCGACGAATGCCATCTTTTTCTCGGTAGCTATCCGCGCCTCTCTCTCTCTCTCTCTCTCTCTCTCTCTCGTTATATCGCTGGCGTTTTGCGCGTTATTAGCCGCGGTGGTGTGGATATCTGGCTGTACAGCCAAGTGGCTGGTAAAGGCGCGGCGCTATACTCGGCAGCGCGACGGCGGGCTGTCACGGAGGGATAGGTGCCGGCTAAGGCCGCAGTAGGGAGATGCGTACGAACAAACGAACGGACACAGACGCGAGTTGGCGCGCGACGCAATGGAAAATACCGAAAAATACGAAAAATGGCTTACCTATCGTCTCGTCAGCAAAAACAGCAGTACTCGTCCACTCGGTAGACACTGGCTCTCTGCACTGCCAGTCTCTCTGCGTGTCGTGTCTGTCTGTCTCTCGGCTCGGCTTTCTGTGTTTTTCTCTCTCGCTCGCTCTGCTTGGGTCGTGCTATGCTGTGCAGCCTGGCTCAACTCTCGCAACAAGGCTCTGCCTCTGGCTGTGCCGTGCTATGCTTGCTGTGCTGCTGCTGCTGCTGCTCGATCGCTCCGTCTCTGTCAGACTTGTGGCGCTCTATAGGGGGCTCGTTCTATCTCCCTCTCTCTCTCTCTCGCGGCTCGGCAAGGATCTCCTCGCTTTGGCTGTAGTACGTAGTAGGTAGCGGCTGTTCTGTTGGCCTGGCCTGGCTGCGCGAGAGCTGCGGCTCACTCGATGCCTGCCACGGGTGCGAAAGAGACGGAGAGATACGCCACTTATGAGTTAGCGCGAGCGCAAGGCGTTCGCGCCGTCCTTGTCTGGCCAACGCGACGGGGAAAACCTCGGTTGCCTATTGGCCCATTTCAGATAAGCCGCAAAAACCAGGCCAATCAGCGCTCACCTTTTACCGTTTTCGTGCGTTTCTTTTTACCCCCACTCTCGATGCCCGCGGCTCTGCCTGCTTGCTACGCTTACCTATACGCTGCTACGTAGGTGCTGGCTGATGCGCGCCGTCGTTTCAGCGTTCCACGCTATGTGCTGTGCTTATGTGCAGCCTGCCATTTGCCGCTGCCGCCACACGCAATGTCTGCTACATCAAGCGAAAAAGGCGGGAAAACGATTATACGTAGCAGCTCAATACGGGAAGCCGCCGTTCGCTCGCTGCGCCTATGCGCCCCCCGGCTATTCCTTCCTTAACTTGCTCTTGCCGCTGTTCACTCTTTCTCCATCTATCTTGCGCGTATCATCATTGCTGCTTTGAACAGTTATTTATGCTGCTGCGCCTTCACTTACTTAGCTGCAATGACGCTGTCGATGCCGCTGCAAGTGGAACGATGATTAACATTGTTTTTGAAAACATGTATAAATAACGCCTTCAGCGTCACGTCATTATTTTGGACTTTGGTGCTCAGACCTTGCTCCAAAACGCAAACTTGCGCCACTGCCAGAGGGGGTCGCTCGAATCAGCAATAAACTCCGAAAATTATCTTGCTCTCTCTCTCACTCTCTCTGCGGCGTTTTTGCACTTTTACCTGATCCTGATTGGTGGCACCAGCTGTCAGCTCTGTATAGCCAAGCGATACAATGTCCAGGAGAGCGAGAACATTGATTTTGTTGTTTTACCCGACGGGGGGTGCAGGCGTGCTCGAGGGGCTTGTTTCTCCAACGAATGTAGATATAATCGATCAAATTATGAGGGGTTTCGGACGATCCACATAGATTACTTTGAGGTTGTTTAGTGTGACTTTGAGTTATTAGGCGTGAGTCATTAGCGGTTGTTTGGACTGCGTTATAACTAAATTAACTCGTCCTTTGAATTTTTTTAAATATTACACGTATGGATTGGGCAAGGAAGTGTATGATTTTTTAGGTATTGAAAACTATCTTTGTAAATAATTCGATTAATTTTCTAAAGTTCAGTGGCAAAGTTTAAAATTTTCAACTTATTTAGGCTAATTTTTTCATCAGGAGGTTTTCTCTTTGTATTTAGCAATATATACGAAATAATCCTTTAACTTTGACAGTTATATATTACTTTCTGGCGCTCTGTACGTACTGATGTAATGCGTTTACCGAACCTGTTGAAGTTTTGAAGCACCTAACGAGCTTTGACTTCGTCGTTAGGATCTTATCACTGGCTATTCAAAAACCGTGCAAAAACTATATTATTTCTTGGAAACTAAAATTTATTGGAATTAAAAAAAATCAAATTGAATTATTTCCCTTACAAGATATTTTAAGCGATTATATTCGTTGATATTATTTACAAAAGCCGTATAGCACGTAATAATTTTTTGGAGCATGAATGCTCCATTTTCCAGTCAGCTGGTTTAAAATACATATAATGAGAGTCAAGTTACAAATAAACCATGAAACTGTAACTTAACCTCGAAACAAATGATGGTATCCGTCAAGTCTACAAATTTTAGCTGTAAACAACAGGGTGCGACTCTACTTATTTGCATATCGAACACAACTGCGGGCAGGTATTTGATTAGAACAGCTAATGACAAAAGAAATCTTAGCCGCGTCACCATTTAAACTCACTGCTGCCAACGAAATAGCAAGAAGATATTAGGCTTGCTGGACTTGATTGCTTGACTTTTTCGACTCGTAATTCATTGTCTTTGTTCAATGTCTATCCCACCCAGCTGTTCCTTCTCGCTACAGCCCACGAGAGCGTTCAGAACAGAGAACGAAGTATAGCATCAGCAGCATTCAGACGAAATAGGCAGGCGGACCAAGAAAGCCGAAATTTCAGCGCCGAACTACGCACATACTTGTTTTCTACGCGCTTCGCTTGACACATATGCTCTTGCCTGCTGATCGTGTACGCATCTCCGATATTTTCTATCAAAAGTTTGCCGGGTGGTATATGCTTCTCCAGTTAAATAGTGGTGTATCTTCGTTTAACAGAGAGAAGCCGGCCAACTTACGAGAAAGGTCCACGAGCACGCGACGGAGAACGCAGATACGCACGAGTTTTTAGTGAGAAATGTGCATACAGCGATGCCGGGGAGAGTAGTGTGAAAAGTGGTAGCCACTGTGGATGGCAGCAGGTGAAAAGTCAGTAGCGTGGTGCGCGACACCTTTTCTGTACGCCTCTTCGACTGCGAAAGCAGCCACTACAATCAGCACGACGACGACGACGACATCGATAGCGAGTACACTAGCCGGGACCTCGGTAGCTAATGCTATTAGCAGAATGAATGGTTTTAGTACGGGCGAGGAGGACTCGCGGGGGGCCGCCGATCAGATTTGCAGTCTCGTCGACGAGGGCGTCAGATGTGCCAGGCAAGCGGGCAATGCATCGTACAGCAAGAGAATACAAAAGACCGTCACCCAGAGAAGGCTCAAGCTCAACCTTGACAGCATGGTACGCTTCTTCATCTTCCTTTTTTATTTCGTATATACGTGTCGCGTGAGTTCTGCGATGTTTTTAAGGATTTCGCCCATCACGAGGCTGTCTTTGTTTTGATGATGCGCCAATTTCTCTTTCGTGCTTGACACTCCTCTATGGACACACTTGTATATTGCCCTTGTTTGAATAAAACCTCATTCATGTGGGACAAATTAATTGGTTTTTACTCTACCAACAATAATACAATTTTTTATTTTTTAATTTATAGGCAAGGCACATATACATGTGTGATTATCACAAACAAGTAATTCAGTCTGCTCGTACAAAACAACAACACCAAAGGAGGAGGAAAGAGTCAGATGATGATTCTGGGGAAACAGATCAAGACGTACCTGAAGTTGACCTATATCAACTGCATGCTGGTACACTTAGGAGATATAAGCGTCATTATAAATTACAAACAAAACCTGGATTGAACAAAGCACAGTTGGCTGATGTGAGTATCATAGATTGTTTTTTCTTCCAGTTATACACTGAAACTCATTATATTAATGTTTATACGCTCAGACTATGAAGGAGACATTTTATATACTATGATTTTTTTTTTTGCAGATTCTCACGAAGCATTTTAAAACGATACCAATTGTTGAGAAAGACACACTAAGTTTTTTCTTCTACACAGTTAAAACTAATGCAAATAAGCTGGATCAAAAAAATGGTTTGAGTAATGATACATCGTAGCCTTGGTTCTAGTATTGAGCGTCACTAAATGTCATTTATTTAGTGAGATATAAAAATTTATATTTAGCTTTTTACACGTTGATAAGAGTAGATTATTTTGTAAAAGTATGTGTAAACTATAAAGATAGAATTATTCTGTGTTTTAGGTATAAGTCTTTCACTCTAAAAGTACTAATAATAATATTTCAAATGACAATATGTTTTAATAAAATTATGTTAATATTTTAATGAATATCTCATGTGATTGTACAAATATTTACATTTACTTCTAACTCATGACAAGTCTTGTTCTGACAAAACTTGTATACTCTTTTTTTTGTCTCCATTGAACGTTATAAACTTAATTAAGTGCAATTTATATGTACTTTGAAATACTAAAATTAAAAATTTATTTATTTACCTACATCATGATTTATTTTTTGTGAAGTCTCTATGATAGATTCCATTATATCAATTTCACCTTCATCAATATTATTGCCCAAATTTGATCTCAAAGAGTTTAATAAGATTAATGTGTCGTTCATTAAATGATCTTAAATATCAATTTGCTTTTATAATGACTAAAACGTACCTTTATGACCAACTCTTATCTCAACTGAAGAAAAATTTAGAATTTTGTTTTCTTTTTATTGAATTGAATAATTAGAAATACCAGTTCAATCTTCAATTACACTATGAAATACGTCAAGTGACGTATTATTTCGTCATCCACTGTGGCTCCCGAAAGTGCCGTCTGCCGAGACTGCCAATGCTGACTATCGTAGGTGCCGGCGGCGTTGTAGTTTTCAGTTATGTATCTTACTTTCATGGTTATCGATTAAACTTTATATACAATATTTGAAATACATATAGCGTTTTCTGATTTAGTACTTTGTAATCTGGAAAAATATTTAGTCATTTTTCTGCTTATAAAACAAACTTTTGTGTACATTCTATTAACTTTGAAAATTTTTGAACGATTTCTTTATTCATCATTTTTTAAGTCACGAAGGTTAGGTCAAATACTTAGTTAAAAAAATTGTCTTTCTTTGCCAGCCTTGTATAAGTGCAATTAATTTTAATACTATAATTATTATTATTAATTTATGAATTTCAACTTTTCAGAGATAGAAACTTTCATAAAACATGGCATCAGCAAGACCAAGACGTGCCAATGCTGGCAATAAAATGGCAAGACTCCTTAACGAGGAGGAAGAAGATGAATTTTACAAAACTACTTATGGAGGTTTTGAGGAAACAGAGCAAGATCAAGATTACAAGTGTGTTGTGCTATAAAATAAACCTTGCTATAAAATTATGAAGCGAATACTGTGAGATTTCTTTCTTTTGTTTACAGGCAAGAAGTGGAAGTGGAAGATGAAGTCGATTCAGATTTTAGCATTGATGAAAATGATGAACCAGTGTCAGATCAAGAAATTGATGAAAAGAAGAGGAAAAAAGGTGTATTCACTAAAGCATATAAGGAACCAGCCAAGCCTTCTTATTCAAAACCAAAACCAGTTTTAGTTAAAAGGAGAAAACCAAAAATACAGAAAATAGCAAGGATTTACGTTGATCCTATGGGTAATTACAAATATTTTCTATTACGCAAATTTTTTTTAATTTCCAAATTTCTCTAACACATATTGTATCCATGCAGAGAAGAGATCTATCAGGCACTCAACTACTGCCAAATCAACAGCTACATTGAAAAGACTAAAAGAAAGAACTGAAGATCAGAGGAAGCGAGTTAAATTAATTAGGTATGATGATTATAAGCCCACACAAGAAGAGCTGCTAGAAGAAGCACGTCTTACGGAAGAAATTAATTTGAAATCATTAGGTAAACTCTGTTATCAAAATTATATTTTAATATTCATATGTGATGTGTTAATATTATTATCTCTTTTTAGAAAAATATCAAAGGCTAGAGAACGAAAAGAAAAATACCAGAGTAATTCGCAAAACAAATATAGGACCTATGATAAAGTATCAATCATTTTCTATGCCAGTATTAAAATTATCAATTTCAAAGAAAGAAAAAAAATCTGAATCTAGATCAGACAGTAATAAAACATCAGAATCAGCTGAAAAATCAACAGATGCCAATGAAAAGTATACTAATTTTTATGCATACAATAAAATATGTTATTCTATTTGCTTCTAAAAACGTTATTTCTTTCAGTAATTCAAACGGTGAAGATAAAACAAAAGATACAAGTGAAGAAGTAAAAGAGACTAATATTGAATGTATAGAAACAAATAGTTATTATGAAAGGACCTTTGTTACATTTGAGAATATGCAGCAATTTAATCAAATTTTCAAAAAGAAATCTACTCCAAGGCCTACTTTACGAACGCTATGTGCCATTACAAGGTAATGAATTAATTTCAGTTTGCTTTAATTCATTTCCTACCTCTTTAATAATAATTTGTAAAAAATATCTTATAATTTAGATTTCCAGCAAAGTATCGAGATCCTATGACTCACTTACCATACAGAAACGTGCAGACGTTTCGCTTGCTAAGAGATGCTTATTATCATCAAGTAGAAGCTACCTCAGATATCAATGATTCAGAAATATCTCCAGAACTAGCTCGTTGGTTAGAGTATAGACAGAAAAATAATCAAGGAATTCAGAGAAGTACAGTACGTCTGGAAGCTGCATCTGCTTCTTCTACTCTATAATTTATAGTTTTTAAGTACTAGACTAAAATGTTGTACTACATATTCAAAAAATTAAGTATAATTTGAATTGTATACATTTGTAAATAACGGTAGCGTTCAATACTGTGATGTTTGTTGTCTGAGAGAATGATTTTCATATAAAGTATTTACATCTTTTTATGCACATAAAAGTTTACATTTTCTTAAAAGGGTTAGATTAAATTATCAAGCAGCAAACAATATCAAAAACTCAAGTATTTATAAAAGAGGATTGTATTTATTTGTTTTTCTTTTATTAAATATAACTATTTATTTTTTCATTAAAGGATAGTATCCAATATAGTAAATAAAATTTTCATAAAAATAAACTAAATTATTCCATCTATCACGAAATACTATAAAACAAAAAGATTTGCAATTTCTTTCACAGCAATATTTCATAACAAAATATTCTTAAATTGGTGATATTGTATGCGAAACCTTGTGTAGTCTTAACAAAACAAATTGACGATAAATAAGTAAAAAATACATCAATGAGAAAGATATATTACTCATTTTATTTTATTTTTCATAGCCATTTAAAAATGAAAAATACTTAATTACGGTTTGCATTAGTATTTCTAGTATATTTTGCGATTCTAACATTTTGAAAAAATGAAAATAGCAGAAAAGTAATAGTTATTAATTTAAGAAAGGTATTAGTCATCATGTGGTGTTTATTATTTTTTTATTTCAATTCAATATCAGATTACTAAAGTAAAATTAAAAAAGAACAGTTAAATAATAGAATATTAACATTAAAAGTTAGGAAATCATACATAACGTCGAATTTTCATAACGAAAATTTAATTCTATTTTAGTGGCATTTTCTTCATCTGAAATATTACGACAAGTAGTATAGGTTTATTTTTATTCGAGTTTCATTCGTGAAGATGCATACAAGCTTCTAATAAGCTTATTATTTAACTATGATGTCTGAATTATTTTCATATGCCATTAACCAATTTTATTGTATATCTAAATGTTTAAAGGAAATGAGCGGATTGCGCGAGTAAGATGCCACACCGGGGCAATAACATTATTGCTCGTCATGGTTACACGAGTAAAAATGATAATTTTCTTTTGATATTAAGTATACTTGCTCCAATCAACATTCATACTATAGTCCACTTGTAAACGTTGTCGTTTCCTCCATTCCACGTTTCTCGTCAATCGCACTTCCAAGGCAATTATAAGAACTACAATCTAGGATTCCTTACTCTTTGCATTCTTTGATTTGTCCACTCTTTTATCGAAGTCTTCACATTGTCCCAAAGTTGCACAAGCAAAATCATTCGTGCTAAAAAAATGCTTTTTACGAAACACGTGAAAATTTAGGGTGGATGACCTTATTTTCATTAAAATAATGTGTGCAGCTAGCTAATTCAGATGATTTGATTTTTATTTTATTAAATATTGAGAATTTAGTTGCTCCTCTCAAACTATCTTATAAATCGAATTAATCGCATCAGCGTGTGTATTTGCCGGAAAAGTTGCATCAATTGGCGTTCTTTCATACAATAAATTTCATCTCCAAGAGCTAACGTTCAACGTATATCGAGTAAAAAAAAATATTAAAAATTTCTTGCTAAAATTGAATAACGTGGTTTATCAAGCCCGAGCGAGTAAAAAATTGAGCAAAGCCCTGTTGACAATCTATTATTACATCAGTTTTTTCCTTGTTACATCGTAATATTGTATGCATATGCCAGCAATACATAATGTACCACAAAGAAATTCAAAATTTACTTTCATGATTTACAGATAATGGATTTTTGTTGCCCTATTATATTGTAACAATTATGTGTGAACAAGACGGTAAACAACTTTTAGGTAAAGATTTGAAAATTACATCAATTCGGCAGCTGCTATTTCTTTAAATTTGTTTTTTTCTCTATTTCTATTACTCAAACTTGTTCCTTCTCTTCATTTATTTATCAACATAGAACTTGACGTGCTCGAATTGACGGTCTGTGGCCATATGTATTTTCTTCCGTTATAAATATATTACATGTTACAAATTGTTTATATGATCACATTATGCGCAGAAAAAAATTAATATATGTATTACAAAGAAGCGGTAATACAACATTTAATTATCAATAACATAATATATGTATATCTGTCTGCCCTCGCATTAGTAGTTTTTTTTGTTCAATTTTTCAATTTTTATCTTATTCATAGTGCGTAACGCGTGTGATTCACATGTGTCGCAGATGTAAGCTTCATATACGCATCGAAAGGTGAATTCTCGTGCTTTAATTACGTATATGTACATGAGCAAATGAAAAAATAAAAGCAGAGAAAGAGTAAAAAAAGTGGCGGAAAAATTATAAATGTCTGAGTAAATAAGGCGAATTTTTCGTTCTCAATAGAACCAAGTGTAATAGCCATGGTATTTGCGTTTGCTGAAACATTCACACGTAATCGAAATGACTTTATAAGACGAAGAAAAGGAACAGAAAGTTGCGTATTACACGCGTGTACACCCATAACTATCTCTTTGAATAAACCGGAAAATCTTGTCGTTTTGATGGGGCTGACAAATCCTTCTAGCATACGAGAATATAGGCCCGTACACGTAGTCTTGGCTCTCGTATATAGCCTCTACATCTACCAGCGGCCGCCACACTTCTTGTCCCTCTCTCTGTGTTTTCCTCACTGCATCTAAAATCCCGCAAAAAATTAAAAGTGAGATGGTGTCAAATAAAACTCTATAGAGATATATATTTTATAGTATCATGAGCTACTTTTTTTATTTAAAATTTACATTATTTTAAAATAATTTTATTAAAAACTCACTTGTAAAGTAAATCATTTGTTAAACAAACATCACGTCACTGTTGGCAGCACTGTTTACGCACTCCATCGGGAGGCATTGTTGGCTTAACATCAATTGTTTCTACATTTTGTGGTCGAATTGTGTCTCCTTCAGGAGGATCCCTAATTTGTTTCTGCGAGACGATTCTGTAGATCTCTGCAAGAGCAGAATTGATTTCAAATTGATTGAAATGTAAGATGAATTAGTACAAAGCTATATACCTGTTAAAATGTTTTGGAATGCAGTTTCAACATTGGTTGAGTCTAGAGCAGAAGTCTCTATAAAAGAAAGCCCATTCTTCTCGGCAAAAGTTCTAGCCTCATCTGTAGGTACAGCTCTCAAATGCCTTAAATCAGATTTATTGCCAACCAGCATAATAACAATGTTCTGATCGGCATGATCGCGTAATTCTCTCAACCATCTTTCTACGTTTTCATAGGTCAAGTGTTTTGCAATGTCATAAACCAACAATGCACCTACAGCACCACGATAATACCTATAATACAAATTCAAATTGAAAAGAATGTTGATAAAGCTTAGCACTGAGTCACAATAAATTAATAAAACTAACGCAGATGTGATAGCACGATAACGTTCTTGACCAGCAGTATCCCAAATTTGAGCTTTGATTGTTTTCCCATCTACTTGTATACTTCTTGTAGCAAATTCAACTCCAATGGTGGACTTGGATTCAAGATTGAATTCATTTCTCGTAAATCTTGAGAGAAGATTACTCTTGCCTACTCCAGAATCTCCAATAAGAACCACTGAAACACAGAAAAGAAATTATTAGAAGCTATTAGGTTATGAGATTTTTTTAGCAACATAGGAATGATATCATTTCAATTGTCTTGAAATCAAATATTCAAATTAGTCAATTACCAAGCACGAATAGAAGTCATATACTATTGACATTAATCATCAATTTGACGTACAGTGACAAGTACAAATAAGATTTCAAGATCAGCTGAAATTTGTCAGTGTATCAAAGAAAACCTTAAGGCATCTTTAATATGCATTTTAAAATAAATAAACAAAACTCCTAGAGTATAGATATATAATTTTATTTCAGGAGACTTGTAACCTAAGTAGATCAATGCAAGTAATTGAACTTCCTCTTTTCTTGTGAAGTAGTGAATCAGCCTCATCCAGTATCAAGCCATTCCAAACAAAGAGACAACGGAAGCAGCTTATCAGTTGCTTATAAACAAAGAATTAAATATTTTGTTTTCTTTGGCTGGTGCAATCAGCACAAGCAATCTAATATACATGTGTACTTATGTAAAAAATGCGACGATGCGCATCCAAAAAAGTGGGAGTCAACAGCTAATCTACAGTGATTGCCCAAGCAATCTAAGCTCTCCCGCGGATCAATGCATGACACGATCATTGGAGGTCAGCGCGCGGGTATGTGTGCCCTAAAAAGGGAGCAGAGCCATGACATGCTCCATATCAAAAAGTCCTGATACTTCTCGGGTTCGCGGAATATTAATCAAGCGTCGTCATCCACAAGAAGAGAGCGAGAAAGAGAGCGAGTGAGAAAGAGAGTGAGACCGGACGTTGACAAGCCTGCGTATGTGACGTGCCTTTTCTTTCTCACTTCGTTGAGCTGCTGCTGGCTGCTCAATGTCAAACGTCTATAGAGTTTGGCCCTCGACAGCGACGATTGTTCGTCTCTCTGAAGGCGAGAAAACATCGCGATCGATGCGTAGATAGGAAGGCAAACAGGCGAGCGAGTTACTTCCACAAAACAATGATCTCAGGCGCGCGCGAACCGATGACTTGGCTGCCTTCACGAGAAAGACGAGTAAAGCGCTTACCTTTGAACAGATAGTCGTACTCGTCGTCTCGAGTGCCCATCTCGATAAGTCGTCACTCTACACAGGCGGCTTTTGCACCGACACTCCTCTTCCTCTTGGGACGGTGCACAACCGATCTCGCTTTCAGTCTCTCCCCCAAGAAAGTAGCACTAAAGAGCTCTCTTTCTCTCTCCTTCCGTATGTATTTATGTACAAAAAAAACTGCTGCGCGCGCGAGACAAAGATGGATAGAGAGCGTCGCAGGGAGACAGCTGCGGGCTGCAGAGCCAGGAATCGTCGCTTGTGGAACGACGTCGGATTCGACAGCGACGATTCTATATTTTCCTTTCTTTTTGGTTTAACTGTACAATATGGCCTCCTTTCTATACGCCCCTCCAGACTGTGCGGCCCCTCAAGCCGTACTGTACTGTTCGGTAGCACTGGCGAGTATGAGCTTGCGCCTGCGCAATCAGCACGACTGATTTGTTGCTTCTGCGCATTCAACTCATTAAGTGTACTCGCGGCAGACGTAAAACTCAAATGTTTTTTCCGTCTGGTATTTTGTTTTTAAAATTAGAAAAATACCAAATGTTGTTCCAAAGTCATTAATCAGCACGTGTTTTATTTAAAATACACGAAGCTTTTGTAATTTCCCATCGCAGTGAAAATTAATGTTACTTGAATTTATTTGAATGCGAGTATATACTTTTCTGATTGTTATTTACCCGTAGTTTCGTGACGATGAATATCAAATATCTTAATTTATAGTAATATATGAAATACAGTTCAAATTCTATAAGCTAATTATAACAACTTCATGAAAAGACAGTATCAAAAGCATTGTATTAACAAACAAACATAACATAACAAATTTTTATGTCGGGAAGCCTAAACCAATCGTTTTCACGACTGTAACACTAGCTATATGGAACTGCATCCACGCATGCGCTCACGAAAGGCATGCGGAAACTTTGAGATCGGGAATCATAAGCTCTGAACTATAGCGAGGATAGCGACGCGGTGCGCGCATAGTGCAAATTATTTTTTATATACGGCTCCATTTAATCGCTATTTTCAACCGGCGTTTATCCATTATCACTGTAGCCACGACCTTGGCATTGCACTACATTGCAGGATGTAACATTATTTTCCGACTGACAGGTAGGCCAAAGTTTTTTGGCATTTCCTTGATTGCTGTCACAGCCTACAGAGGCGTACAAATTGACTTGTTTAAATATTTGACCTTATCAGCTTGTGATTTTGATTTCCATTGAAATTGCGTCATCGAACCTTGTCTATGCCATTTTTATATCTCCATCTCAGATAACACCATGTTCTTGATTTATCTCCACAATTATTAGTTATTTTATTTTTGTCTATCTAACCATTTGAAGTATTGAGATAAAAGCGATATGTGTGTATTGTTCAAACAATGTGTTTTCGTAAATACCTCACATATCGGATAAAACAAAAAATAAAAAATAGTAATAATTGGTTTTTCTTTTATTATCAAATCCTTGTTATTCTACTCAACTTAATTATCAATCTATAAAATCAATGTTTAGACTTTCAAATGTAAAATAGTATAAACACTTGCAGATTCAGTACAAGACAATATTAAACCAACAGTATTTTCCAAAGAGAAAAGAATTCATGTTTGAATTTACAAGGCATAATTATCTGATAGTTCCTAGCTTCACTTGTACATGTAAGTCTTGAAATACAACTGCTATTTTAATTTTGGAGGGATATTTTAACTAAAGTATCATTTATTTATAGTGTTTCAAGTGAAGAAGAAAGATTTACAATTGTTAAATCGATATTGGTGAGCTTATTAATCACCTATATTAGAAAAAGAGTAGATTTATATTACAACATACTTATCTTACAATTATGGCAACAAAGGTACAGCATTATGATCCACCAAGCTCTGCCAGTTCTGAAAGTGATGAATGTGAGCCATGTTTAGAAGATCGAGAATTGTTCTTTACTGAGGAATTTACTGATGAGTATCATAGAGATATGGGCACACCAACTCCAATTCCTGTTTCGCCAAGACCTCCATCAGCTGGCTCTCAAAAATCTCCTCATTCACGCAGACAGAGGACAACAAGTTGTTCTCAATCTAACAAGAAGACTGCAGCTGAGTCAATATTACAAAGCAAAACTAGGACTATTTATACAGCTGGTAGGCCACCTTGGTACAACTCTGCTGGACAACAGGTTGAGCCTTTTGTGATAGGAATATGTGGTGGCAGTGCATCTGGTAAAACTACTGTTGCAACAAAAATAATTGAATCTCTTGATGTACCATGGGTGACATTACTTAGCATGGACTCATTTTACAAAGTTTTGAATGAAAAGCAGCATGAAATGGCAGCTTGTAATGAATATAATTTTGATCATCCTGATGCTTTTGATTTTGAACTGCTCAAAACTACCCTGCAACGTTTAAAAGAAGGTAGAAAAGTGGAGGTACCTATTTATAATTTTGTAACACACAGAAGAGAAGCTAGAACTAAGATGATGTATGGTGCAAATGTTATTATATTTGAAGGAATCTTAACATTTTACGATCCTGATGTTATGAAACTGTGTGATATAAAAGTCTTTGTAGATACAGATGCTGATGTAAGATTAGCTCGCCGTTTAAGGAGAGATATTACACAAAGAGGCAGAGACTTGGATGGTGTATTAAAACAATATAGTACAATGGTTAAACCATCTTTTTATTACTACATTGCACCTTCTATGGTGCATGCAGATATTATTGTACCTCGTGGAGGAGACAATGAAGTTGCTATAGAATTAATTGTCCAGCATGTCCATACACAACTCCAATTAAGGGGATTCAAACTGAGAGAAAAGCTAGCTCATTCTTACATTGGACAACCTCTTCCAGATTCACTATTCTTACTTCCAGATACACCACAAATAAAAGGCCTGCATACTTTTATACGCAACAAAAATACACACAGAGATGAATTTATATTTTATTCAAAACGTTTGATACGTTTAGTAATTGAATATGCATTGTCTCTGCTACCATTTAAAGGATTAACAGTTGAAACTCCACAGGGTGTATTATATACTGGAAGAAGATGTGCCACTAATAAGATTTGTGGTGTATCTATATTGAGAGCAGGAGAGACAATGGAGCAAGCTGTGCGCGATGTTTGCAAGGACATAAGAATTGGAAAAATATTAATTCAAACAAATCAGCAAACTGCAGAGCCAGAATTATATTATCTTAGATTGCCGAAGGACATAAAAGACTACAGAGTACTGTTGATGGATGCAACAGTAGCCACAGGAGCAGCAGCAATGATGGCCATAAGAGTACTTTTAGATCATGATGTTGCTGAGGAGCGTATCATGCTTGTTTCCCTACTTATGGCTGAGTCAGGAGTACATTCGATAGCCTATGCCTTTCCTAATGTAAAAATAGTTACTTCTGCACTCGATCCGGAAATAAATGAAAAGTTCTATGTACTGCCAGGTATAGGTAATTTTGGCGATCGATACTTTGGAACTGAGCCATCTCGAGTTGATGATTAGCTTTTAACTATTGATAGTTATTCAAAATCTACCAATGTGTTAAAGGTACAAAGAATAATGCATATATTGATTTTTAACAAAGAATACTGTGATTCTTCCAATTTTCAAAGATCTGTTCAAAACTATTGTAAATATTTTTTTAAATTTTTCAAGTCATTTACTATTAATAAATTATGACTCTTTAGCGGCCGAACAAATCGCGCGTAACGACAGCTTCGCACGCAAAAAAAATATTTCCAACAGACTTTGCACAAAGTCATTACTTCTCTTAACAATTTTCCAAGTGCGAAATTTACACTTTTTTTCAGTAACAATATTTTTAGTCTTCGCTCGCAAAAACCAAGGAATCAGAAAAGAGATTCGCTCGCGAAAGGTGTTGCCGGCTGTTTTCGGGCGCGAAATTTATTAATATATAAAAAATTGTTCGAGGTTTAAGTCGGGGAACAACACTGTCAATCAATTCGAATCCATTGAGACATTAGTTTTTTGACAAAAACAAAAATTAAGAATTTTCGCGCGCGAAAACGGTAGGCAACACGTTTCGCGCGAGAATCTCTTTTTCCTCGATTTTCGCGCGAGAATCTCTTTTTCCTCGATTTTCACGCGTGAATACCACACATGAAAAAGTATCAAAAGAAGCAATGACTTCGTGCGCAAAATCTGTTAGCAATTTTTTTTTGCATGCTAAGTAAATTTTCCTCCTTCGTTAGCGAAAAATGGAGGTCAACGTTACCGCTAGAAAATTTTTTTCAGGGTCCCTAGAAATTATCCCATTTAATATAATACAATAATTTCTAGGGACCCTGAGAAACATTTTCCAACGGCAATGCTGGTGATGATCGCATATCCACGAAGAAGTGACGTTTCGCGCGCAATTTGCACGCCTGCTATAGTCCAATCAATAGAGGCAAAAAACGGTCATTTTTGACGAAAATTCAGAAATGGAAAAACTCGACGAAAATATGTCAGAAATGTTGTAAATAGATGCCCTGTATATCATGTAACTCGAGATTTTGCATTAGTCTTTTTTAAGAGGTCAAAGTTTGTAAAAACGTGTTTTTGAAGTCTGTAAGCCATGGTTTGCATTTTAGGTAAAAACGTTTAGATATAAGTTGTAGAGAAATTCAAAAGCTACATTTTGAGCTATTGCACGATAATTTTCGTTTATTAGTTATTGCAAAATGTATCAATAACTGTTGAAAATGGCCATTTTTAAGATATCAAATATTTATTGCAAAATTAATATTTTTTTATTTTTTGTTGTTGTTATTAAAAGAAAGCTCTTACAATTCTGTAAAAAATGATCTCTCGTTTGATTGAATATATGTATTAGTTGCTCAGATCTTTTAATTAGTTAACTAAGAGGTGGCTAAAGTACGGAGCCCTAACTTTTTTTAGCTGAAAGGATTGAATTGCAAATCGGTTCAATCTCTTCGTCAAAACATCAACTTTGATAATTCACCAGTGGTGAATGAAAAAATTTTGTTTCAACCCATTGTTTTTATCTTAAAAAAAACAACGCTTTTTTTGGTTATAAATAAATGTATTTGTGGTTTCCATGTACATTGCATATTCTTTAAACCTGACTATTTGGATAGCTGGATTCACGACGGATATTTAATAAAAAAGTTTTAATTCTGATTAATAGGAGCAGAGTTTGATTTTTTATTTGAATTGCAGTTGTCGTAAAAATAGAAATCAAGAAGTAAATATAGTGGCATTTGATACTTAATGAGTTGTACTTTTTCTTATCCTTGCTACATTTCCAAAATTTTGTGTCTTTAATATTCACAATAAGGTTTGAAATAAAGTGCTTGTAAAAGTCAAAAGCAGAACGCGGTGGTATAGGGGAACTCATCCTGCCCATGTTCTCGAGCTCGAAAAAACTGAAATCTCGCATATTGATGTGCTCAGAAAAATTGAATGAATTTCATTGAATGATGCACCAATTTCAATATTTCTTTTAATCGGGGGTAGCTTCGGAAAATATTAACAATTACATCTTTCTTATATATGTATTATCTATCTATTATTATTTGCTACATTTATATGGTTAGTTACAAGTTACATGGTTAAATGGTAATAATATAGAAATCAATAGTCTGCAAACTACTTTTTGCATAATATAATATAAATAATATTGCATCTTATAGATATATAATTATTATTATCATTTAAATATGTAACACGCTAGCCTAACTAAAATATCTGATCAACTAATAATAATCAATTGCACGGGAGATCATTTTTTACAGTATTGTAAGAGCTTTCTCTTAACAAAAAATAAAAAATATTAATTTTGCAATAAATATTTGATATCTTGAGAATAGCCATTTTCAACAGTTATTGATATATTTTGCAATAACTAATGAACGAAAATTATCATCCAATAGCTCAAAATTTAGCTTTTGAATTTCTCTACAACTTATATCTAAACGTTTTTATCTAAAATGCAAAGCGTGGCTTACAGACTTCGAAAACATGTTTTTGCAAACTTTGACGTCTTAAAAAAAAACTGAAGCAAAATATCGAGTTACACGGTATACAGGGCATCTATTTACAATATTTTTGACATATTTCCGTCGAGTTTTCCCATATCTGAATTTTTGTCTGCAATTTTATCTATTGATTGGACTGTAAACAGGCTTAATTACATCTTACCCTAATAAATAAAAGGTGTGAAAGTTATATATTTCAATTATTGTGAGTATTCCCGCTTTACTGATGGTTTTTATATTGATAATGGAATTATGTGAGAATTATGAGGTGTTTCACGAAAATTCGTAATGTAGTTGTCAATTATTTTACCATGTATTGTAATCAAATAGTAATTGACTGTACGTGAAGCAAAAAGCTTGGAAGTGTTGAGAAATTATGGTGCATCATTACATGTGACCGTTTGCACATGTGCGTGCACGTAAAGGCGAGTGAACGCTCATGCAATTAACGGCTGCGCTGTTTTTCTTCAACCGTGAGATGGCGATAGGCAAAGTTGCTCGGTGGCTCTCGCTTTGGTTGGAGGTTAGAGTCGACTGTCGAGTTTAGTTTAGTTAGAGTTCGAACTCTCTGACCGAAGATCAGTGCATGTTGACGAAGATCGGTGAGCGGTGTTCTTGACTGGGCCTCTTTTCGTTGACGGATGGCCAGAGTGCGCAAATCGCTGACCAACACGTCCACGTCCTGACCTCATTTTCGTCCAGCCGCTGTCGAGCGATGGGCAACCAGGTGGGCAAGAAGGTCAGCGATAAGGCCTCGTCAGACGAGCATAAGAGCACTACTAGCTCAGTGACGCCAAGTGTCAACAGTCAGCAGGTCACCGCTGATATGTCGAGAAGCTCCTCCGGCGCCGACATCCAAAACCATTCGCACACCCAGTTCCTGCCCATAGACAGACTTGCAAAGGTAATACGATTACTTTGCCAGCCTTCAACATACTTTCTACTACTTAATATTCTGCAGTTGATATTTTCATCTTCGTTTTTCTTTTTTCATTTATTACGCGCGCAATTAGATTGATTAGTATGTTTGTCTGAAAATATGTACTGCATACAGACATGCATTACTGTTATTCAGCATTATCTCAATATTTTTCACTGGTTCTTTGTTTAGATGAGACATTTTTTATTTATTCATTTTTTAATGATAAACGTTTTTCAAATTGGTGCTGCTATAGTTTAGTTATATTACAAGAAGATAAATTTAATAAATAGTAAACTATATTTAAATTAATAAATTGTAAATTGATAAATTTAATATATAGCAAACTCTATATTTTTAGAGTGGTAAGACTAGAAAATATTTCTTATTAATTTCGAGTGAAGTATTATCTTAAGTTTCACCTTATTGTTGTACTTCATATGTGTCTTATCAGTATACTTTTCTGATGTGTCATTGTTTTGTTATCAAATTTTCAATACTCTGTCATCCTCTTCAAATAAATGTATGTGTCTATCGTCAAACAAACCAAGAACTAATCTTGCATAAGAATTGATAGTAAGCTGGAAGATTCTATTTATTTTCTGACTATAGTAAAATACTCTTTTATAGATTTTAACAGAAATATCGCAAAAAGAAGAAGCTGTAAATGGCATCACACGGACAGTCTTTCAAAAGTACCTATTTCCCCACCATCAATTTCTTGCTGATCGACTATTCACACATTTGCATACTTCATCAAAGGCTACCACTATGCACTTAGGCCAATCTGCATTCAAACAGCAGGCTGAAAAATTTTTAGCTATAATGAATGATCAAACAGTACTTGAGAACTATGTCAAAATGTTTTCCAAAAATAAGGAAGAGAGTGAAATTACGCCGGATGGACTTAAAGAGTTACTTATTATTTCTTATCGATTAGCTATGTGCATAGAAGATGGACATGGATTTTGTCCACAATTATTTAATACTGTAGCTGCTGTAGTTACTTCATGTGTAAGTATACTTTGTTAGTGAAATAAACTCATGTTTTTACAAAAAAATATCATAATTTTTTACTTCTTAGTTTCACGGCAAAGATACTTTATCAGTCAGTTTTGTAAGTAACTGGCTTTGGCAAAACTGTTCCCGAATTGTGTTTGGAATGCACAGGTATCTGGTTCACACCTTAACCACGGCATATCGTAGTGGTAAAACACTTATGTCTAGTGAAGAGTCAGGTCCTCATTTAGTACCATCAACACCTATTCTTGATCAACCAGACAATGTTGACTTTTCAGAAACACTTTTACCTATTAGTCATGTCTGGATATTGACTGCAACTTTACCATCCTGTTATATAAAGGTAAATCTTTCAATATATTAATTGTACATATTTTAAATTTTAAATGTTGTAGATTTTATTTGGTTTTTGATGTTTTCTTCGATAGTGTTTTAGTATAATTCAGTCAATAGCCATAAAAAACCTTCAAGTAGATTAACAACTTCCTCCCAATTGTTATTAATTGCTGACTAATTTAACTTACATCTTCACTGACCATTCATTCAGTTATAAACCTTGAAGTAAACTATAATTATAGCAATAATAATAATAATAATTATAATAATAATAATAATAATAATTATAATAATAATAATAATAATAACTTGTTATAACAACTATCGACTACTTTTATGTACAAAAATCTTTTCAAAATTTATTGAACGACAGGTATCTTCTAATCGGACTCGTCGTAATTAGTAGTACGATACTTTATCCAGTAGCTGTAGGTGTGAAAACATTGATATTTTTGGGTTTGTTGAAAAAAAAATGAATATAACTGCATGGTGTGCTTTCTTGATTGATTTTGGTGAGCTTTGAGACAAAGGCAGTACTTCTGTAATGAGCTTTTCAAGTGTATTTTTGGAGCGAAATGTGAATGAAAAAACTGTTTAACCATAATTATAACTCGGCCTGGCATACGAATGAAAATGATGAATATGCATGACCTAATTAAAAGAATGCTGATTGAATATGGAGCAGCAGTAAGTAATTTATCTAATGATTGGGAATGATCCGCTTGAAACTAGACAGAAGAGGACTTGCACAAAGATGGCATGCAAGCATTGATAACAAAAATGTCAGGCGCCGTGTGTCCTCGCCACTGGACCTTGCTATACAACAGCAATCAACACGGGGCCGGTGCGAATCGTTTTTTGCATCACGTACTCGGCTACAAAGGCCCGACTTTGGTGTTCATCCGGGGCGTGAGCGACACTGATGATAAGCGCACCTATCCAACCTACTGCGTGTGCTCAGCGCTCGAGTGGCGCGAGTCCCACCTGTATTGGGGTAACGAGGACTCGGTGGTTGTCGAGTTGCTCCCCAACTTCCGCGTGGTTGAGAAGGGCTCAAAGATGCTTTACTTGAACACGGGCATCCGGGGCTACCCGCAGGGCTTGCGTGCCGGCCTCGACCCGCGTAACCCGAAGGTCATCATCGACCAAAACTTCAACGAGGTCAATTTTGCCGGAGTGCCTTATCAGCTGGCTAGTCTCGAAGTCTGGGGCTGCGGCGACACCAAGTCCAGGTAAGACCGGCTCCCCGCTGTTATAGCATTTTTTCGAAATCCTAACACGATTGGCCACTGCGCAGAGAGAGACAGCTGGAAATCAAGAAGTGGCAGGTCAAGGAGGCTGAGAAGCAAAGGGTGGTCAAGCTTAGTACTGCCGAGTGGCTGGATCATCCGGACCGCTACCTCCTCGAGCTCGCCGGTCGGCCATCCTACAACAACTCCAGTAGCTAAACCGAATATCTACTTCCTTTTTTGTTGAACAATTGTACATATGTATATATATATATACGCAAACGCTCAAGCTCACAATGCTAATTCGTCCTACATTTTAAACTACCGATTGTTCACGGCGCTGCATGCTTCTCTTTCTTGTTTTTCTAAAAGAATTTATTAAAGTTGTTGAAAAATATTCGCTCATCCAATGTTACATGCCTTTTTGCAATTAATTAATAAAGAGACAATAGTTTTTATTAAATTTCATTTCTTGTTTCTCAAGAACATTTGTCCCTTTAACTAAGCACGTAAAATAAAAATGAAATATGCAGAAAAGGTAAAGAAAAGAACAAATAGGACGTGTTTTTATAATAATTTGATAATATTCAATATGACACAAGCAACAACACAGAAATTCAGAATTATGTAACTATTTTATTATATTTTTCTTACGAATTAAGATATTTATTGTTTGTGCAAAATATACATAAATTATCGATAATATCATACGTAAAATATATGTTATATTTTAATTTTTAATGTATTTACTTGCCATGTAACTTCATACTTAGTTTTCTTTTAAAATGCGCGTATCTCTCTTATATTTCATTTTCATTATAAAAACTATATATTACTTCTCATAAATTTTCATCGATCACAAATATTTCAATTTCCAACAGTTTTTTTTCCTTCAAGGATCGTTAATTAATGGAATCACAAGATCTTACAATAAATCTAATAAAACATTATAAAGAAAATTTTGGTTTAACCACACGTGGGCACTGACGTCTGTTTTCGAAAATAAAAATAAAGTGTTAGCCGAAAGTATGATCTCGCCGCGATCATTGTTCATATAATATAATATTATTTGTACATAATTATGGAATAATATTAAACAATACTACAACTATCCTTACAATAATAATCAATATTCAGAGGGTTGATTGACGTTTTGCCGATGTGCCCGTCGCAATCGTAATTCTAAAGTTTCATAATTCTTAGTCACAACTTCAGTAAAGAATCATACTTTATTACAACACATTTTATATGTTACAACGAAGTATTGTAACCTAGAGATTGTAGGTAAAAAATTAAGGCCATAGATATTTTGCTTTTCAATTATGAACTATTATTAAAAAAAAACTCAATGACCGCAATGTCTTCATATATATGTATATTAGCTTAAATTCCGAGTAGGTAGTCTTGAAAAAGATAGTACAGATAATACACATCTGGTTGCTTTCTACCATAAAATTGACGAGTAGCCGCAAGTATTCACAAGAGGAAGAGATAGACAGTAAGGAGGGAAGAAAGTAAAAGAATCTACGTATAAAATTGAATCTTCATAAACGTACATCGTAATCAACAAGTCAGCGTGTAATGAGATGCCGAGCGACGTGACGCGTATGAACGAGGTGATGCTGAGACGGTCGCCCTCGTCTCGCACAAATAACAAAGTAAACAAAGTAGCAATATGTTACATTGTATCCCGCGACAGATAACGATAAAAAAGGAAGAGAAAGAGAAAGAAAAGAGGACGTCGAGGGAGGAAGCAACAGGACCATCATCATCGTCGTCATCCTCATCGTCATCATCATCGTCATCATCATCATCATCACCATTATCATGATCAGCCGCAGTAGTGTGCACTCGGAGCACACCCGTTCTCCGGCGATAAAAGCATAATCACAACACGAAATATAAATCTCTTTTGACTGAGAGGCTAACTGCAGTGCGTATGTATTATTTACAGTGAAAGAAGAGGCAATCGATCGCGATATACAGAACGTAGGAGGGGACTTCAGTCCTTGGCGGCGAGCTGCTGCTGCTGCTGCTGCTGTTGCGGCTGCTGCTGCGAGGCCGCGGACGAGGACGTCGACGCTGTGGCGGAGTCGTCCAGCGACTGCGCCGGTTCGAGGCCCTCGACGGTGTACCGATTGTAAGGCCGGTAGGGGCTGCGCGCGAGGTCGTTGTCCGTGAGCACCCGCGTGCGCTGCAGTGACGCGAGACTCTCGTGGCAGCCCATCAGCCAGCTGTGGCAGGCCTTGGACTGCAGCTCGCTGACGCTCCTAGCTGCCCAGCCGCGGTGCCACTGCTCGAACTTGCCGGCCTTGCGCCTGGTCACCGCCGGGTGGCTCTGCGATCAGAGGGCAGTTCGGTTAGACGAGAGCGCTGTCGCGCCGATCGGCGGCTGCGGTTGCGTACCTGCTTGGCTCGACTCAGACAGCCCCGCTTGTAGAGCACGGCCTCCTGGTTCACCACGTAGACGGCGCGATAGCTGTTGAGGTCGAAGGTGCACTGCAGCTCGTCGGACGCGACCACGTGCGCGCTGGCCTCGCTCGGCTGCTCGGCTGCCACGTGCCTGCTGCGTTGCTGGCCGCCGGCACTGCGATCAGAAAGGTCCGCGATTAGCTGTGCGCGGCCTGCGCGCGCCCGATCGGCCGGCGGCGCATACGTACTCGGCAGTCTTGTCGGGGTCGGCGCCAGGCCCGCCGCAGAAGGCGGCGCCCGTCCTCGGGGCCGCGCGCCTGCGGTACTGCTCGACGTTGCGAGGCAGATAGACCCGCTTGCGACCCGGCAGCGCCTTGCTCCAGCCGTTGCCCGACGACGACGACGAGGACGGCTCCGCCATCTACAACAAGTCATTAGGTTTTCCAAGCGTCAGCGCTTTCCTACTTGCCAGCCCTTCGCTCTCAACTTTCTCCGCACGCTCGCGACACTCTCTCTCTCTCTCTCTCTCTCTCTCGCGCGCGCGCGCGCTCTCGTGTTGCGACTTCGGTGACGACGACGACGACGACGACGATGACGACGACGACGACGACGACGACAACGATGGCCGAGACAGGATCGGCAAGGGCGTGACTGTCGTTCCGATGCGATCGCCGTCGCTTCCTCTCGTCGGCGGTCGAACGACGAGCGAATTGTCGAGCGCTGCTTTGGCCACGCGCGCGCAAAGTTGAGTCGTCGCCTCGCGGAAAGGCAGAAATATAGAGACACGGAAAGAGCGAACGGTGGTGCAGCGGATGTCGCTTCCCGACTCGTGTCCGTAAACTTGCGGAAAATGCAAAAAACGAAAAGGAAAAAAAAATAAATAAATAAATAAAAACAAAGAGAAGAAAAAAGAAAAAAAAAACGAAAAATAGCAACAAATTTGTTAGCTCTGCAGATGAGAGCAGTGACCAATCGCATGGAGCGACGGAGGAAAAAACGTTGAAATGAAGACGCACAAGAAAAGAAAGGCAAGCGCGCGACAATGGCGGCATAAGCGTGGTGCAAGGTGCCGCGTGTATCGGTCAAAGTGCACAAATGATAAAAATATACAAGAAAAACAAGAAAGAAACGAACAAAAAACTGCGATCTAGGGCAGGCGACCTCTGGATTTCACACCGTACTCCGCACGAAATAATCCAGCGAGCGACGAGCGGAGATCACGATTCCGGACTTGGCTCGTGATTTCCACTCGTCGATTGTCGAATCACTCGCTTCGGCGCCCGAGATCGCGCTTCGGCGTGGAATCCAGCGGCCAACAGAACTGATCGAGAGCTTTACCAACTTGAAAATTCGTCAAAAATAATTAATGTGGTATACAAAAATGACGTTAGACAGTAATGTTTAAAAGCATCTTTCATGTATTTCAATATTCTCTCTTCTATACAATATTGTTGCCATTTATATCATTATATTCATATTCACTTCATATACAAGTTAAAGATACAAAATATATTTATATTTATAATATGTATATATAGATCTATCTAATATACTGGGTCAAGATTAAAATTTATCGCGCGCTTTTCTTTTTCTGTTGCCGTTGAGTGACGAGAGGGGGCGCGGGGAGGGGCGTCGCTGCCGATTTTCCCTCCCCCCCGAGATAAGGGCAAACAGGGCCGGGAGTGCTAGTACGTTTCATCGGCGGAATCATTCGGTAATAACATGTACAAGTTCAACATTTGCTGGCTCTTTGCGTGCATCGTAATCGTGGGCCGAGACTTTTTACCATAAATCGCTTCAAGTGCCGCGAGTCGAATTCGAAAATGAGAGAGCTTTCAAGGGTGAGGGGTGGGAGGCACCCCGCGAGGCGACCTCACGCTGGACCTCGGTAGCTTCCCTCGAAAGCACCTCCGAACTGATCGTTCGTATAATGGCTTTGCTGGTATTTACAAATCTTATGCTATCGCTAACGCATTGTCTTGCTCGCTTCACCGATTCGGCGAGTTCTCCTCCGTTCATTAGACTTTACACACGACGATTAAAAGCGGGAAGAACTTGGAAGTCGTTTGTCGTTTCTCTCTTTTTTTCTTTTTTTTTTACCTTTTTTCATATTTTTTATCATTTTTTTTTGTTGCTTTCTTGACGGGTGATTTTTTTTTTCGTTTTATTTTCTTTATCCTTCGCTTAAGTAAAAAATGCAAAAGAGCGAGACTTTGAGAAATACTGTAAAAAGTTGCGCATTTTTGGAAAATTGAGACCAAGACCCTTTGACTTTCATCGACGCGCGAACAACTGGGAATTCTTTACAACGCTAATTTCTTAATATGTTCACTGGACGTTTGAGTTTCAATTCGTTAATAAATCATTATTTTCTCTGTATTTCCTGCTTTTGTGTAACCAGGTGCAATGCAAGCTAATATGTACAAACTCGATCGACGGATGTTGGTGCAAAAGTCAAATTGTCTCGAGTCAGTGTGCGTCTCGTAAATTTTCTTGCTGGTCGACGAAAGTTTATCCGAAATGCCGATTCAGCGAATCACATCATTTCCCCTTACAGGCAACATCTATCGTAACACGCGATCCGTATCTCTAAAAGTTTTTTTTTTCAATTTCTCGCTAGACTCTAGATATACGTATAAAAATTCTATTCCAACTATTTACAACCTCTAATCTATGGAATATTTACAAATATGTCGGAGAGAAATTTTAAATGTACAAGCTAGTCTACAATGCTTGCATCTGCATATACACAATTGTTGTTATATACACATGCACCTCTCAACTTGTCTATCGATACGATTCTCTCAACATTTCGTTGACTTGCTGCTCTAAGCATTTTAACCGCGAGGTCGAATATATCATCTCGTAGCAAAAGGCTGATCGGTCGCTTGACGACTTGTTTTGCGTAAATACTATCATTTTGTATCTTATTATTAAGGCATCCGATGGGTTCTCGCTAATGTCGTAAGTGTCGTCAAATGCTTAGGGAATCGCATCGACCAAATAATAATCGCATTATCGACGGCACTCGCTGCAAGTCACGCGATGCGCTGCCAGCAACAAACGTTTTATGCACAAATTACCCCTGCTTCTTTCTATTATTAAAAAACATTCTTTCCTTTCCTCTTCGTTCGCTTTCTTATTCTTTCCCTAATCAAATTGTCGTATACCTTCGACTTTTATTTATTTATTTTTTTTTCGAAAAACACAGTTTTTGTTCGAAACTCGGCGTTGCAAATTTAGCCTACTTATAATAAATAATAAAAAATTATCTAACCCGTAAAAAGAGATTTCTTTCCAATTGCAAAGGCGGCAATTTTTCTTCAAACAAGCATTGCAACGTTAAAATCCTTTTAAAAATTCAAGAAAAGTACTCGAAATGAATTTAAAAAAAGGAAAAGTGGTCTGGCAGTAAAAAAAAGCAGTGGAGATTATAAACAGCTAATTTTGCCCGAAAAAGTGAAAAACCGGGAACACCTTACAGGGAAATTCCCTTGGAGAAATGGCAATTGAATAAAACTACACTGTTTAAAAAAAAACAATACCTACATTGCGAATGTCGACTTTCAAATACTGTGTAACATAAAATAGCACCGCGTAATGCTGCAATAAATAACTTTGATTATACTTTTAAAAACAAAAATTAGATCAAGTATAACTAAACATCCGAAGCCATCACTTTCACTGAAAGAAACGAAAACACTTGCGAAACTATAAAAAAAAAGCCCGATATAAATGTCGATCGATTCAATGTACAAGAATCATCAACACTTCAATTCATACACATTGCTTCTTACGCTAATACATTGTTTTAAGACAGTTACTGGTACTAATATCGTTGCCTATCAGATAAAATTAACGATCACTAGCCCATTCTTATTGATCTTCTGAAGATACTCGAAATGCATTTGAGACTATAGGAAAAAAATCGAACGAGTTTTCCGACACAGTATCTCCAGAAGACGTGTTCTATAAATACCACGTTATTGTATTGAATTCTTTCAACGGCATCGAGTAAGAAAGTTAGAGAATGAGAGAGGAGAAAGATAACGAGAGCCGTCGGACAAAGAATCGAAGATCCGTTGACGAGGAAATCACAAGTGCTAGTATTTTGTTGCGTGAGTATCGCGGAGAATACAATGAAAAACCACGAGAGCGCATTCTACAACGTTGGCAATTGAAAGGGGTGTGAGTCCTATACCTTCTTGTTAATGTCAGTGTTCTTGCGCTTTCTGCCCCTCCCCCCCTTTGCTGCCTGGTCGCTACTCACAGGATGATTGGCTGCTGGCTCATTCTCTGACGAGGTTGTTGGCACATCACCCTTCGGACTTGATTGTCCGGTCGCCGACGAGAACCTCTCAACATAAGACGACCACTTCTCGGTATTCGTCACCGACTCTCTGTCGCGATCTCTACCGTTGCTTTCGGCGTTTTCCTCATTTTCCGTATCCAACAACTCTATCGTCATATTTTGACTTTTCTTGTACTGCAAAATTAAGCATTTCCCATTAATACTCGGCTTCACATCACAGCTAAAAAGAACAATAATCGGCACAGCGATGTCATTTTTATATTAATAACTTACAATGTACACTTTGAAGCAATTCTCCTCGGCCATCAGCTTTTCAGCTTTTCTCTGGTACGCCACTTCGGCGGGCACTCGAAGATACGCCGTCGAACATAGACCACCTGTTCCAGTGCTTTCTTTCGGTTGCCTTTGTTCTTTTTGATAGAGATCCATACATTGCTGACACACGGTATCCGAAACTAAGTGTTGAAGCTGTACACAAACAGTGGAGGCTCACATGAGTAATTTGTAACGAATGCGTTCTTTTTATTCTTCAAGAATGGCTAACTTACTTGTCTCACGGCATACGACACAACTTTATCTAGAGTGAAAGAAATATACGCGTGGATGCCAAACATCTCTCGGAGCGTATCTTCGTAGTTAGTGCTTTCCATGTTACCGTCCAAGACGTTTTTCACCATCTCGAGGAACGCTGGGTAATAGTCTTCTACTTCAATGTCATCTATGACAAAAGAGTCAAAGTTATTATTATTGTAGAGCACGAGTTCTCGATAATAGCAAAACAAGACGATTTGTAAACTTACTTTTAGGCTTTAACCTTAAGGCGACAGACGTGGCTTCGGCACGCTGCTGCTTAAACTGAGATTCCTCCTGCGCTAGTACCATCGCCCTATCGTACATTTTAGTAAGCCTGTCGCAGAGTATTTGATGTAGCCTGAAGAAAAGGTACCAGTAGTTGCTCGCCATGAATAACGCGTACGCCTCCTCGGGATCAGTCGAGAGGGCGTGAGGCGGCGGTTTGACGTCGGGATCGGTCTTTATCGCTATGGAAGACGGCGCCGGCGAGGGTACGACTTTATTCCTATTGCTGCTTTGCGGACCATTACCGGTCGACGACGTTGAGGCCGTGGGCGCTTGCGTACCGTTACCGCACGACGTTTGTGGCGTATCCTCTTTATCATCTACACATTCCATAGTTTGACTGTTAATATCGTAAGATCGAATATACATTTTATTCATTTGAAACTTTTGATACTCACTCTCGTCATCTTGCTCATCATCGCTAAGTTCTTGCCGCGGATGGAAGAACATATCAGGAATAAAGTGTTTGAGGAGTACTTTGATTCGCTGCTTATCATCTTTATGAATTGTAGTTTGTCTCTTCATATGATGAATGAGAAGATTGGCGGCATCGTCGAGGATTGACTTATCTTTATAGGGTAGAATTAAATGCGGACCACTGCTGATTTGGTTTTCACCATTCTCGTCGGCCTGCTCGTGTTTCTAAGAAAACAACAAATATACAAATTTAAGTATATGGCAAGTACTTCTAATAAATATACTATTAGCTTGTAAGTACCTCATCGTAGACGACTTCTATCTCGTTGAATAAACTTTTGGACCTCAGAGCCTTGACATCGGTCTGCTTAAAGTTGATGCCTTGGTGATCGAGTGACTTTAAATAATACTTTTCGTTTTGATCCCGCCAGATCTTATTGAAACCTTTTTGAGCTTCTCGCCACTCCTCTTCCTTGGCTTTGAGTCTTCTCAGCACAACCGGCACCGCGACCATAGGATTCTTTTTAAGACCTTCGATGATATCGGCGGACTTGTCGCCGTATATCCTCTTGAGGGCTCGCTGATGTATCGTCGGCGAGTAACCGCCCAAGCAGTCGTCGAGCTTGAACTTTTGCAACTCCTCTTGGTTCATCCGACTCATCTTTTTGTGAACACCCTCGAGCACCCTTATCGTCGCGGCGTTCGTCTCTATGACGCCGTCGAGTTCGAATCGCTCGTCCTCACAGCGATAGATGTACTCCTCGAATTGGGTTTTGCGGGAGGTGACAAATGTGCTATCCTCGGACCACGTGGGAAAAGAGACCCACGTGTCGTTGAGCACCTCCCTGCAAAGCTGTGTCCTGCCGGAGCACTTGGGCTGCACATAGGACTTAGGTAGAGCGCAGTACGAGGCACCGAGCCTCTTGCAGGTCGAGTAGTCGATCTCCATGGCGAGATCGCCTTGCGGTCGGTCCTGATGGCTGCGTACGACGTTGTTGGGTAGGGCTTCGATGCCGAGGCCGGAGAGACCGGCATTGCCCGACTGGTTGGCTCCGCAGGAAGTCGTCGACGACGTCGGCGACTCGGGCATGTGGCCGAGGAAGTCCTTGAACCACCGCAGTAGCTCAGGGAAACGCCCGAGGAACGGCGTCACCAATTGCACTAGTTCAGTCTTGGATATGATCTCTTGGTTGAACAGCACCAGGCAGCGCAGAAAGTTCTCGTAGACCTCCTGCGACCGCAGCGCCTTGCGCACTTTGTCGAAGAAGGCGTAGTCGTTGAGACTACCGTGCTTGCCCACCTCGGCGATGCTGACGTCCCTCGCGGAGGTGACCTTGTGCTTTTTGGGTGGCGGAGGACCGTGGGGTGTATGAGAGTTGGGAGTGGCCATGGAGCCACTGAAGGATGGTGACCTCTTCAGCTGGCCAGCACTGTGACCAAACTTCTGGCTCACCGGTCCGCCCATCTCGCCGCGCATTATCGGTCTCTCACGGTCTCGATCCCTATCCCGATGATCCCTGCTTTCGCGCTCAAGGCCAGGCACGCTCGTCGAGTCGCGGTGCTCTTTGATCGGCGCACCCGAATTGTTGTAAGCTGCTTTTATGCCCACGGGCTTCTTCACAATCGTCGCGTGGTCGTTGGCCGTTCCCACCCTGTTGCTCTGAAACATTGCAGACTGAGACAGCACAACATTAATGATGAGTTTTTTAACCGATCGTTAAACGAGACGTGATCGATCTGTACACTTTGGAAATCTGGAGTTTTTATAGAAGCTACAGAGTGTGACAATGCAACTGACTAATGATGAGTGATCGGAGACCTATGTAAATATAGCTATTGTTCTTGTCGATCTACCAACTTACCAGTGCGTTATGCTGACTGGTCGCGTCAGGCAAAAATTGACCAAACTCCACCAATAAGTCTTCTTGGTTTTCAAATAATTTGGCCACTTGGCTATAAACTTCGGCTTCGGTGAGAGTTCGAGCACCGGCGTTTGCACCTCCGGCGCCGCTGCCGCTACCACCACCGGCACCACCAGCCATCGCCGCTTCCTTTAGAGTCCTTTGCTCTTTTTGATACGTGTGCAGGATCTCGAGAAATCGTTTGTATTTGTCCGGTTGGCCTTGAAACCGATTCTGCACGAAACGTATCAGCGCATATAAACTTAAACTCGCCACAAACAAAATAATAATTAACAGTGCCAAGATTATGTGCTTGACAACTCATACCTTTATTTTATTGACGTAGTTAATGGCGTGATTGAATTCCACAGGTTGATTCGCTTGTGTGGTGCCAGTACTAGGAACTCCTTCTGTCGCTTGGCTCAGTGCTTGGCTCACAGCTTGGGCTTGGGCCGTGGTCATGTGGGAATTGTTGTACGGCAAAACTGGCGGTGACGAAGGCCCGTGAATAGTCAAGGTGTTGTTGATGTTATTCGTAATGGTATGTTGCAAACTACCAGAACTAGACACAAAACGAAAGCAACACTGTTGTAGAATTTCGGTCGGAGAAAAACGTACAATTCTGTTTTATAATTCAATCGAGCGGCTCTTACCCGTGCAAAATTTGTACGACTGGTTGCGCCTTGGCAGGAGTTGGGGTTGTAGCTATGGGAGGAGATCCAACATTAACTGTACAATGATGCTGAGAGAGTGTGGCCGTTTGCGTGGCCGTGGGGCTTGGCATGCTGACCGATACTTGGAACGCGTAACCCTGCTCGTTGGCTTGTACTTCAATTTTGTAGCCTGGTGGTAAGAATGTGTTGAAGCCAACTATTAGTTCTGGATGACCCTTGAATAAATGGCTAACTCTCGTTATGACACCTGGAGTATCTATGCTCTGGGATTTGAATTCTTTCATAATATCAAGGAAGTCATTGTAAACCTGAAACATATTCGCCATCATGAGTATTCTTAAGAAAAAGTAAATAATATTTTGTAAAACAAAAGGAGATATTAACCTGGGGTTGGTCACTAAATTTGTACTTGACTTGATCGAGATAAGACAGTGCATCTTCCACTTTTAGCCTTTGGAATGAGCTGGCACTGGAACTACTAATACTGCCACTAGGAGGGGTAGGCACCTGCACCATCTGCACGAATGCAGAAAATTAAAACTGAAACTGCCAACTGCAGCAAAATTAAGATTATTCAAAAGGTTGTTACCCTGGGCCTGATTGCTGAGGCTGTTTGAGTATGAGATTGTGCCTGTGAACTAGGAACCGGTACCTGAGGACCTAGACTATGGTTCCCAGCTCCACCTAGCGCAGAGCTATGCAAAGTTACACCAGAACTTAAGCTGCTTGCAGCAGCACACGAAGTTGTCGATAGATTACCAACAGCACTGCTTCCCTATAAGTATCAAAAGTTTACACTGTGGTTCCACTGTTATTAAAACAAGTAAGAGGACAGTCAATGATTTACCTTGGCAGTGGAGGAAGCAGCAGTTGGCACAACAATTGCACCAGGATATTGCTGTTGTGACTGAGACAGTTGAATGCTGCTGGGCATCTCTCTGGTTGGAGCAGACCTGACGTTGGGTTGAGTAGAAACGACCCCTATGGCCGAACTGGCATGGTACTCTATACTACCAACACTGGTACCAGTTGCTCCTCCAGTTCCTCCAGCTGCTGCGGCTGCTGGCGGCTGGCCCGCTACTCCGCCACCCGAATTCCTCAGAGTTACTGTCGCTGCTGACACCGGCGGAGTTATGTCGTCCACCCCGCGCACTCGTTTCATCTCAATTTACATTGGAAAGCTGCAACACAACAGAGACATGCTCACGTTACATCACACTCGCAGTTCGCAACTTGACTTTTCGAATTTTCGAGCGCTGCAGCGGCGGTCGGCGCGACCTACTTAGACAAACAAGTACCTCTCTCGTGGAGCCAACGAATGTTCCTGAGCCTGCTCGTCGTCGGACTCATGGCGCCGGCCTGTTCGTCGTGCAGCACGCATAAGTATGGAGAGTCGACACAGAAAATCACGTGTGCCGAGAGACAAAAATTTGCGCGGGTTTCTACGTCCGCGCTCGGAGTCATCGACGCAGACAACGCCAGCGGACGAAAAGGAAAAACGCAAGAGCAAGTGCGGGATGGAGGCTTGGGTAAGTAAGGGGGGTGGGAGGGGAGAGCCGCGCTGGCGACGCTAACACAGCTGTGCTCGGCAGCAACAGCATAGTCTCCTGGTCGACGTATAAACATAATGTTAACTTTGCGCACACTCTCTCTCTCTCTCCAACGGCGGACGGAGACGTTTTGTGTAGGTACAGTACAGAATAGAACAATATTGCCGGGCTCTCGGTTTGTCCGTCTGACTCACGCGCACGCATACACTCGCAAACGAGGAGCGATAGATAGAAAAGAGAGAGAGAGAGAGAGAGAGAGAGAGAGAGAGAGAGAGAGAGAGAGAGAGAGAGAGAGAGAGAGAGAGAGAGAGAGCGGTGTGCGCGCGCGCAAACACACGTCGCGACTATACCTATCTCCGTCTACTCGCTCTTTATCGCGCAGCAGCAGCAGCAGCAGCACAGCAGCTCGTTACGCAATGTTCTCTACGTAAATACATAACGCACGGAGCCGAAGAGAGCGTAACTGCCTAATTTTTCGGTGAATTTCGAATTTTCCCGGCGAGAAACGTTGGCCAGACGAAAAATTCCGTACGCAAAGATAGCCGAACAATAAGAGCAGTGCAGGCAGAGCAACCGCGGCAAAGTCTGCGACGACGACATGGAGGAGTAGGAGAGCGAGAAGAAGGGGGAGAGAAGACAAGGGCCGCTCTCGGCTGTATACACTCGCGGCAGCGGCGGTGGTGGCGGCAAGCAGCAGCTCTCCGCTGACGATTTTTCGACTATGCTGCAGCAGCAGCAGCTAACCTTTTTTTTAACCTTACTTTTCCTTGGCCGCTGGTGCGAACGTGAGCGCACTTTCTTCTCTGTGTATTCCCCCTTTTCTTCATACGGCGCTCTTTCAATCTTCCATGCCAAAGCGTAGTATGTACGTGTGTGGACACATTCACACATACACATAGGCACTCCGGGAGAGCGAGAGAAAGAGAGAGAAAGAGCGCGCGCGACCAGTCCTTTTTTTCGCTCTTTCTCTCTCTCACTCGAAGTAGCAGCGCGCGGTAGCGTCTCGCGAGAATCCGAAAAAGTCACGCAAACGTAAGGGGTTATACCAACGAGCAGAGAGAATGAGAGAAAAAGAAAGAGAGCACGCCGCTGCTTGCTATTTTCCGTACGTATGGCGTTGCCGGTCTCCAGCTTTATTTTTCACAGACCCAGATGCACTTACCTTCGTATTTCGTTCTGCTTCACCGTTGGTCACCAAATCTCCTCGAGGACGACGTCGAGCCGTTGACTGGTCCCCTCGCTGCTCACTGGCAGCACACACGACGACTAGTAACAACACTTACACACGTACGCAGAGTCAAAAGTCTGTCTGCTCTTGTACCTGGGTTTTTGAATCCGCAACGGGCGAGCTGGCTCGTAGAGGAGAAAGAGAGAGAGATAGAGAGAGGAAAGAATGCGTGTGTGCGACGACGACGTCGATCAAAATTCGTTCTCTCTCTCTCTCGAGTGTGCGGCCCAGCCACGAACCTTACGACTCACGACGTGGACAGAAAGTAGCCGTCAGCTGAGGCAGGTTCTCTAATGTTCCCAAGCTTGGTGCGCATTTTTTCCACAACTGGCTGCACGCCTCGACTAACTTTACCTCTGCTGCTGCGTATTTCGATGACGAGGACGACGATGCTTGCTCTTGTACTACTGCTGCTACTTCTTCGTATTCTTCTTCACGCACGGCACTACGAGGCGGCGGCGACGACGAGGACGACCACGATAAAAAATCAAATGCAAAAGTCATACTTGCACTCGCGCGAGGGGTACAAGGCAAACTATTGGATTTTGTATGGCAAACAAGGAACTGACTGGCCGTATAGCGGGATGCGAGCTAGGTGGGGGGCTCGTGCCAGGGCCGTAGCCGAATGCCGGCTAGAGGGGGCCACCATTCTCTCTTCGCCCCTCCCCTTTCTTGTCGCCGCCACCGCCGCCCACCGCCGTACCGCTCTCCTATCCGCAACGCTGCTGCTCATGCACTCACTTTATTCCTCCAGCTCTCTATTATTATTTATTTCGCCTCTTTCTTCCAGTATGCTCTCCCCGTGCGAACACGTTTATCGTTATTTTTCTCTTCAAATGAACATTTCTTTCAGATAAAAATACGACTGACACACCACCTGTGTGAATTTTGCAATTTATCGATCGTTTAACTATAGGTCGCGTGAAAGCTTGTAACGATATGTAATAATCGAAGAAAAAAAATCGGCAATGCTGTAGATCTATGTTTACATTAATATCGGTTGCAGAAAAATTTTGTCAAGTTAACTATAAATCAGTAACGAACAAAATGAATCAGAAATGTTGATTGATAGTTTATATATATGAAAGAATGGAAAGTGGAGCAGTGAATAAAGGATCTCATGTGTGTTGCGGGATTGAAAATTATAAAGCGATATTTTTTTCAATTTCCAAGATAAAAATCTTCTATTTTATTGGCATCGTTGGTTCTTCGTTTTCTGGTTTACATAACATTATCGAAGAGAAACTTTAGCAAATTTCTAGCTAAAGGTGTAAAGTAATTAGTAATAATATGACACAAAAAACAATTCATTCATTGAACAAAATTCGTAGGCATGAAAAGATTGTAAAATAGAGAATAAGGACAAACCGAACTGGCAGTGATCACTAAATAATAGCACTCACAGCACAGTGTCTAGTAAACCTCTGGCTGATAGTTCAAGTCACAGTGTGCACCATGATCAGCGAGTTTTCACAAAAAAACAACGAAACAAGGCGGCACTGCTCCTGTTCGCCGTATAAAAATAGGGCTGGTCATGCGAGTCCGATCGGGCGCGAACCACGGCGATAGACGTTCCTGGCCGCGAGTGCCGACGAAGCCGCCAAGAGGCGCGCGCAGCCTGATCCACTCCCACCCCGCGCTCCGTACCCCGCAGCTCACGCTCTGGCGTTTCCCCGCGGTCGACATCTTCCCGCAGCAACAGCTGTTCCGCGCGGCGAGCGAACTCCCCACTGATCTCTCTCTCTCTCTCTCTTTCTTTAGAGTAAAGCTACGTTGCGCTTTTCTGGGTCAGCAAACTGCGCAAAAGCCCGCACTCGCGAATCCTCGCCGAGGACAAGCTACCTTTAAGTCTACGGCTGGTGCATCTAAGACACGTGGATGATTACCCCACTGTGGTGTTCCTGGAAGGGCTGGGGCTCAGGTCGGCCAGCGACTCCTGAAGGTCACTCGTTTACTGGGCGGCGTTGTTTCCGGTAAAATGTGCACCCTCATATTGCGCCCACTCCTTTTCCGAAGCTGCTGCAGAATTCACGCGACGCGGACGACGAATATCGTACTTGCTCGAGCGAGACGTTGCGCGAACGACGCGATGTATCTATAAGCCCTGATGTGCGCTCGCTGTACGGCACAGCTCTCTCGCCAGAGTCTCTCCACACAAACAGCCGGCCACGTTGCCAGTGCTCTCGCTCGCCAGCGACCCTGCTGCTCTATCACCACTCGCCAGATTCACTATATAGCTATAGTTGAACGTGTCACCGAGGCCAAGCGGCGCAATTCCGAGCAGCGCCTCCGCCTTTGCGGTGTTGCCGTATCTTCGCTCATTTTCTCCCTGGTTCTGTCTCTCTCTCTTTCTCTTCTTACTGCTGCCGCTGCCACCACCGCTGCTGTCTGTGCTTTTTATAATTTTGCCATCACATGGGAGACCTGCAAGCTTTCCGTTTTTTTTTTTTCATCGTTCATTCAGTTTTTTAGGTGCGATTCTTTGTGGATTCACTCCTTCTCGAGATATTCTAATAATGTGGGTGACAACAACGCTGCCAGTTGTTTTCGAACAAATAGTTGTGCTATTGTCAAGTTCTGTTGATCTAGGATAGCTTATTTTGCATAGTCCACGTGGGAAATTTATTGATTATCGACCGCGCCAATTTCGGAGAGGCAATCGGGGTGGAAGAAATAAATAAGCAGACAGTTGCAAAATATTTGTTTACATTAGTCAATTGCTTAATTAAAAAAAAATAATTTTAATTTTATAGGTCAAGTAATTTACATTAAATTTTAAGCTGCATGGACTTGAAGCACATGATATCATTATTGCAATTCTAATATCTGTGCAAAAATTACATAAGTTGACATGATTATGATTGACAATTTTGTAAAAATTATTAAGATTGTTTCTATATTCTGTATTACAACCAATCAAAACAACTCAATGTACAGTAAAAGTACTCTTTAATTAAATTTATGACAGGCATACAAATTCCTATTCCTTACAAGTTCAATATGAATTAATTGATCAACACATTCTTACAGTTTTTCACCACTCAATTATCATATAATAACATTATAATTAACATTATACTTTGCAAGTCGTGTCTTAGTTATTCTTTGTCGTGCTTTTACAATTTTTATGAATCTGTACATAGAAAATACAATGGAATAGACATCATCTATTGAATTGAATAATAACTTTAACTTGACTAAATAGTTTATAACAAAAGTGAATACACTTCACTCATTGTAAAGACTTTTCCAAAATCTGAGCATATCGATTGGCTAGCAGCAGCGAAACATCTATAAATCTATTGACACAATTTGTGAGGCATGTCTCTGTTCTACCATCCAATTTGCTTCCGGGCTTATCAACGCATTTGTCCCAACAAACATCACTAAATTCATGAATCTATAAATTAAAAATGAAAAATCTTAAAAATAATCATGGAAAACATATACTGTCGATAAATAATATATTAGAATTATGTAATTTTTCATTTTCAAAATAAAGAGGTTAAACAGATAGCAAGTTTACCTGAGCATTAAACTGAGCCTTTTGCTTTTCGACCATAAGAAACTCTTGTAATTCAGCAGTAACAGCATTCGTTTTGTTTGAATCCGAGTCAAAACTCGACGAACCACTGAATAAATCAGACATTTTTCAAGGATTACTGTACTCTACTGCAATTTTCGCAATTCATACACAAGCACCGATAAACGCATGTGCATACAATGAGTTACACAGTTGTCCGGACTTCCGATTCTAGCCAGCATAAAGACAATTAGATATTTATAATGGCTGTTTAAAGAAGAGAAAATATTAAAATATCATTACCTGTTTCAAACTGTTGTACAATAAAGATTTAGCGACTGTATCTGTGCAAAAAAATCAACAAATTTTGAAAACATTCATTTGTCGAAATAGAAAGATGGCGTTACTGAGCAGTGACTTCCCAAAAACTGACGTCATATCCTATGCACGTTTGTTGATATTAACCTGAGTTATGAAATACTAACGTGGAATCTGAAAAAAATAATTAAGTAAAATTAGAAGAAAACAAAATGAAAGAGACTTACGTGTCAATTTGTGAAAAGACTTTTGTTAACGCAGCAATTGCATCTGATACGGTAATGGAATTTAAATTGAATTAATTCAATACTAAACAGTGATTATTTACATTGCAAAATTGATACCATTATCCAAATATAAATAATCAAGAAAATAAATTATTATTTTTTTAGCGATTAGATGGAAGAACTTTGCTAGAACCAAGACAGTTAAAAATCAATTTTGGTACCAATTGGGGATGTTGTATGGTTTCTTTGGGTCTCACGAAGTATTAGATTTTTTATCTACAAATGTCTTAAATCTATTAAAGTATCTAATATTATTGAATTTTTAAGAGTTGCTGCTCAAGTATCATGTGATATACAACCACCAAAAAGTGCCAGACCTAATGAGGGTATGTTACATGTTAATGTTGAGTTGAATCCACTGGCAGCATCACATTTTGAAGGTGGCAGAGGATCTGAAGCAACAGCTGTAATCAATAGACAACTGGAAAAGTGTTTGAAAGACTCTAGATGTATTGATTTAGAATCTTTATGTATTGTTGCTGATAAAAAGGTCTACTTTCAATGTTTTTACTTTAAATAATTACAATGGCTTGGTGTACTGATAAATTAATTTTTTTAGGTTTGGAACATTAGGGTAGATATAAATATTATAAATCATGATGGAAATTTGATTGATTGTGCATCTATAGCAGCTCTTGCTGCTCTAATGCATTTTCATAGACCAGATGTCACATCAACTGGAGAAGAAGTTATTGTGCATTCATTTACTGAAAAAGATCCTCTTCCTCTAACGCTATATCACCATCCAGTCTGCATATCATTTATCACATTTCAAAAGTATGATACAAAAGTGCACATTTTATAACAAAAGTTCATTTTCTATTTTCAATTAAATATTTTATTATATCAGTGGTAAGACAGTAGTTGACCCTTCATATCTAGAAGAAAGAGTTGGCTCTGCCATCTTGAGCTTGTGTGTAAATTCCTACAGAGAAGTTTGCAGTTTGTTCTTTGACTACATTGAATATACCTCTCTAGTTGCTGATGTTGTTCCATCAGTTTCAAATTTTGCTGCAAATTATGCTTATGAACTGATCAAGGAAATTAAGGCAATAGTGAAAGAAGATATTGAAGCCAAGTAATGTAAACTGTTTGTTGAATCAAAAGACTTTCATACATCATTTTTTTAATTTTTCAGATATAAAAAGGAAGTTCCACAGCTAAATACCTTTGCCCATTGTATTGCTACAGATAAAATTACAGCAATGATCTCAGAACGAATAAATATTAGACTGACTACATGGCGTGGTTGCAATGAAATAGAAGATGGTATTATTCAAACAATGTTATAAAGTTCATATTAATGTTTAAGATATTTTAATCCTGTTTAATATTCTCTTAAATAGATGTGGCTATGGATGATGATAATCAGGAAAGTGAAGTTATTAATACAGGAGAAGGAGCTGCTGATTTGATAACAAAAAGTGTAAGATTCAAAATAATTATATTAAAATCTATAAAGATGGATGTACGGCCTAAATTTAACACGTAGAGAGCTCTATAAAAATGTACACCATAACATGGAATCTAACAATTAAAAGAAAATATACAGAGATTAAGCACTATGAATTCACTCAAAAAGTCAAATTATTTTTCAGAATCAAGTTGGAGAAGGTGGCCGAAATACGTGGAATTCCTCGGACTCTTCGGACAATGACTTTGAGCATCACAATGATAACAATGATGATGTAGAATTTATTGCAGAGACATCATCGAAAAAAGTTCTTGATGATATTGGTAAATTTTTAATTTTAAGTGTGTCATTTAAAATTATTTGTAACGTTGTTCTTAATTAATATTAATTTCACAGCTCTCAGTGGAGACAGTGAAGAAGAGACTACACAAGTTTTGTCTAAACAAGACTTATTATGAGTCATTCTGCTACCAATAAATGTAAATAACTGTACATACAATTGCATATGTCCATTAAAATCAACATTTTTTTAGCCAACAGTTTTGGAGTAATTACTGATAAGATATAGAATGAAATATTTTTATTTATAAATTTGTTATCAATAACCAAACTATGATTTTTTAAATATTTATTTTTAACGTTTTTATCTACTAGAGGTACTTAATGAACAAATATAGTCATGATATTCAGTATAAAACTAGAGTAGAACTATTATTTTCACATAGTTGAACTAATTATTGAACAAAGAAAGCTTCCACACAACGACAAATTCTTAAATATATATATGTATTTTTTTTATATTTAATTGGTATAAAAGCAGACTATAATATTTAATTACCGGCCGGTTAGTCAAGTTTACAAACAACTTCGTAAAAGTCCGCCATATTGAAATTAATTTGAACTTCTGGTAATAACCAAGGGAGGGCAGCACCGAAAGCAATAAACCACTTTACTTAATCGTAATAACGTTTTGCCCTTTTAATTGTATTTTTGCTACTTAAAATCCAAAATTTTGCAATTTTATAAAAAACGAGTTCTGAATAAATCGACCTAGATAGTAGTAAAGTCGCGGGTGCAAGGAGAAAACAAAAGGAAAGCATTAAATGGAGAAACTGCTGGGAAAAAGTTTAAGTCAAAGCATAATACGGACTTCGTAAAGAGAAGCGAGTGGTGGGGATAGAGGAAGGGGCAGAGAATCTGACTAGTATAGCGAGTTTAGTCGTCGTCAGAACAGAGCGGCGTTTGCTCTGCAGCTCGGTGCTCGTACGCCTGGAGAGTGGGAGAGACTATTCGTAGTTGTTGTTTTTTTTTGCAAGTAACCAGCTCACTTCGTAGCGTAGAATAGCGACGGAAAGATAGTCGAGAAGAGAGCCTCTGGGCGCGGACGTACTCACTTACATCGCACAGCAGTTGTCGTAACTGTCGTATTATCTTCGGCGAGGTGATCGCGAAGAGAGAGAGAATCATATTATTGTGGATTGCGAGTGGTGGTCGCTGTAGTCTCTCGCACAGTGCGCTGCCAGTTCCTTGTCGTAGTGTGTGAGTGGCGTTGCTGCTGCTCGTAATTATGTGGATTCTTGGCACAGCATCGCGTTCGGCCTGCACACGTCAAGTCAGCTGACATATTGCGCCCTGCTGCTGCAGCCACACCACAGCAAGTTTCGGTAAGTTTATCCAGTGTATCTGTATGTCCACGTCGTTAGCTGTGTTATCGACGAGTGTGTGAGTCACGCAGACATCAGCAGGCAGCATTGTGCCTGTGCTGCGAGCGTTGCGTACAAAGGCCCCTTTTTTCTCCCCACCTTTACCCCCTCACCGTGCTCTTTATTGCTCGTCCTTCCCTTTTCTCCTGCCTGCTCTCTCTTGCGCTCACATGAATTTTAATCGGAGCGCATCTTGGCCCTTGGCGGAAGCTTGCGGCGTTGGTGGTGACGGCGGCGGCATCGCAATTTCGGGTCAAGTGCGCGAGCGAGCAAGAGCTATTGCGTTGCCTCTTTCCTCATCCACGTATTGCGTGCGTGAGCGGCGGTGGCCACTATCGAATCCCCATTCCTTTTTTCTCGCTCGGGCTTATCGCGCTCTCTCTCTCTCTTTCTCTTTCTCCTCGCTGCTACGCGTTCTCTCTTTAGAACCACGTAACACTTGCGTTCTAATTCCGCGCTCGTCTGGTTTTTTCACTTTTGCCAGGGCAGCCGTGAAATGTTTCGCCTCTCTCGTGCAAGCGATTATAGCTATATAGCAACAGTAGATATATATCGCGCAATTGCATGAGCGCGTGCAAGAGAATGCTGAGTAGGTAGTGGTGTGTAAGAGAGAGAGCGAGAGCGAGTCTCCCCACTCGTTGCCAGCGCCGATGAGTTGCACACGCACTCACATGCTTGCAGGCTATGAGTACGTATACTGTAGAACCTCGGACGAGTTCGATTCTCTCGTTCGTTTTACCTCCATTCCCCTTGTACATGGCTCTCTGCCTCAGCTCCGCGTGCTCATGAATGTATGTGTATTATGTGCACCATCCTCGTCACGCTATCCCCCATCCACAGCGAGAGAGAGAGAGAGAGAGAAAGAGAGAGGCAGAGAGAGAGCGAGAGAGAGAGAGTGAGTGAGAGCGCTTTGTCTTCTCAATGTCTTTGTGCCACGTGTTTAGCTGTCTACCTACGGATTTAAATCCGATGCTGCGCAGTATAAACGGCCTGCTAGCAAATTCGTGTCAACGACGCAGCTCGCTCGTTTCTGAGAAATTATTTGTTTGTTTGTTCAATACATATCGCAGCGTCACAAGTAGATTTGTTCACGAGAACACCTTCATCCGTCATCGACAGTTTATCGAAGTGTCATTTTCTTTTCGTCGTCTGCAATGAGAAAGCGAGAGGCGGTCGATTTTGACGTAGGCGAGGAATTCCGGGCGTATCGCGCGGAGGATATACAAGTGTTTTTTTCTCGTTTCATGGATCGAAGTCGTCTATTATTTCACCATTCGGTGAAGTTCAGGATCAAGTTTAGACGAATTGAGCTTACGATTTTTCGGTGCTTTTACTTTTCGCTGCGTACCGTCGTTATGAATATAATACTTTCGTTGGATTTCTCTCTCTTCTCTCGACAGTTTTAACTGGAATCAGTTTGACGAAGAGGAATCTGGTGAAATTTGAAGAGAAGAAAGATAAGTAGACGGAAGTGATTCAGGCGGCAGTAAAACAAGCGAAAGCGAGGAGGAAACGTGCGATGAAAGGGCAATGGCGAGTAGAAGTCAGTGTGGCGTCTGCTAGGAGCATCCGCGCGATGCCGGGCGAGCATTGGAAAGTGTCGGATTGCTTTGGAGAGCGTAAGCGTGCTTCAGAGTCGATGCTTCGGTTCGAAAGTAAAAATGTGGAAAGCCAGCTCTCGCTCGCTGGCTCTTGTTGTTGTTGTTGTTGTTGTTGTTGTTGTTGTTGTTGTTGTTGTTGTTGTTGTTGTTGTTGTTGTTGTTGTTGTTGTTGTTGTTGTTGTTGTTGTTGTTGTTGTTGTTGTTGTTGTTGTTGTTGTTGTTGTTGTTGTTGTTGTTGTTGTTGTTGTTGTTGTTGTTGTTGTTGTTGTTGTTGTTGTTGTTGTTGTTGTTGTTGTTGTTGTTGTTGTTGTTGTTGTTGTTGTTGTTGTCCTCGTCGTCGTCGTCGTCGTCGTCGTCGTCGTCGTCGTCGTCGTCGTCGCCGTCGCCGCCATGGACACAAGTGCAGCAGCAGAATATCGGCAGCTCGCGCGAGAGAGCTTTCTTTGCGCAAGGGCCGAAAATAGCGAGAGCGGGCGAAAGGGTCGAGTCGCCTCGTGGTGCTGCACGTGTCGCCGCCGATTAACGAGTCCACGTGCGCCGGGAGATCGACAACGCGCTGTTAACGCAGTTGTGCGGCTACGAAGAAAAAGCGCGGCGCGTCGTGCATTTGCATCGATGAACGATCGCGCGGTAGTCTCGTCGACGGCGCTTTATGCGCGGTCGCGCGCGGAGGAGAGAAAGAGGCAGCGGGCGCGTGAAAAAATGGAACGAGAAGAAGCGGAGCGGCTGACCTCGGCGATGTGCGTAGCGAAAGCCGAAATATCGCGTTATGCTCGGTGTGGTGTCTCTCGCTTCGCGCTGCCAAGGCCGCGGAAGCGCGCGCGGGGCTGTCCGTCCTCGGTGCCGTGCGTGCGCTCGAATTTTCGGCGCTGCTGCCAGCGGCGGTCTCGCGCTTCCTGCTGCCGAGTCCGCTGATCGATTGCCAAAAGCGGCGTATCTCGCACGCGCGCTCGAGGCGGAATTGCGATCGTCTCGCGTCTGTTTTGGTTTGTGTTTCGCGGTGCCGAATCTGTCGGGCACGCGCGAAACGAGGTTAGCTCGGCGGGAGATTCGTCCAAGAGCGGACCAATTCGCGAAGCGACCGACGGGTACTCGATTGCCAAGGCGGTGTGCGCCACGATTGGCGCGGGCAGCCATCGGTCAGCGAGCAATCCGGATTCTCGGCGTGAATTTTCACGAGAGCGCGCACGGCCGCGTCTCGCTGGACAAAGGCGCGTCTTCCCCTATACATAAAGAGCGCCGCGTTGAGCGCTGTCCGCCGACTGCCGTACGCCTTCTGCTTCACGGAAAAAAAAATCGCGGCGCGCGCTGGCAAAGTGGGTCAAGGCTGCTTTTGGGCTGCTGGCCGTGCGCGCCCGCACGGATTTCCGAAAGCCCGCCCGAGCTATCGATTTTTCCTTCTGTGACTCGTGCGACTGCCAGCAGTCAATCAATCAGCTGTTTGTGCGGACGGTAAATGCCACGCGCGTCGGCGAGGGGTAGGGGAGGGGAGGGGGCGATGGCACCGGTCGCCGTTACTTCGAACTCGTCGAGGCGCGTATCCCCTTATCTCCGCGAACTCTGGTCTGTCCGTCGAGAATACGTCAGTGGCCGGCTTCCGAAAATTGCGCGACCTCCTCGGCTCACGGAAGGTCGTGCACCTGCCCCACGCTCGCGCGAAACCCGACCAAAAAAAGAACCGAGCAGCGTAGAACCTCGTGACGTAGTTCTCTTTGTCTCTCTCTCTCTCTCTCTCCGACTGGCACTTATACTTTATGAATGGTGATAAGTTAAAGCCGACGGCAGCAGAGCGTTGATTAGATAAGAGAGAGCACAACCACTGCTGCACCAATTGCGACTCGTTGCACCTTACATCGGCGTGACACGACGTTTCTAGCGATACGAACCGTCGCGCTTTGCGTCCAACCGTTTTCGGCGCGCGAACGCGATAAAGGCTTTTGTTTTCCGCGGGAGCCGACGAAATCGCGTGACTAATGAGTTTTGTCGCCACTTCTCGTTAAGCTGAACAAAAAGAGTCGAGCGGCCGGTAGGGTTCGTTCGGAAAGAGTCCTCGTGGAAGCCTGCTGTGCGTGCAGTCGACGTCGAGTGAGTGAGCGAGCGAGCGAGTCGTCGACCCGCCTAAGCCAGCAGCGGAAAAACTCGACAAAGAGAGAGAGAGAGAGAGAGAGAGAGAGAGACAGACAGATAGACAGAGAACAAGCCGAAAATCCCGCGACGGACAAGCACAAAGGCGATGTCACCGCTCTTGCGTATTCTTGGCAAAGCGGCCGTTAATCTCGCTCGCGGGCGCTGATCTGGAAGGTCGAGGTCGTTGACAGCGCCGTCGCCGCCTGCGTACGCCTACCCGTACGCGTGCGCTCGTCGCTGCAACTGGTTTTTGGCTTTACTGTTAGCGATTCTAGCCGCGCGAGTCCGTCCGCGAGTCCGTCCGCCCGTCGACGAAAACCCAACCCGAAGACGTCGTTGCACCTGCTCCTTTGTTCGTCGACGCGTCGTTGGTCAGGAGTACGGGCGCGCGCGGGTCGCCGTTTTTTGGCGTCGCCGCCGCCGCCGCTCGTACGTTGCTCTCTCTCTCTCTTTCTCTCTCTCGCTCTCCCCCCTCCACGTGCGCTCTGCGAAAGCTCGATAACCTCGTATCGTGCCCGCGGCCGCTTCTCCCCGTCCGTCGGCAAGTTCGTTTGATTCTTTGTGTCTTGAAGCGCGTTGCTCGCCAAGATTGCACGGGAGGCCTTTTAGCCGTTTGCTCACGTATAAAACGATGCGCGCGCGAACGAGCGTTGCTCAACGCCTGGGAAATCGATCGGATTGCCGATTGCAGACCCGCCGCCTGCGTCAGCCTCTCGCGAGTGTCACGTTTCCGCGACACGCCACGCGCGGCTCTTTCTCTCGTTATCGGCCGTCCCCGCCGGATCGCAAGCTCCTCCGGCACTTCGGTCATTCTCGCGATAGAAGCTGCTCCCGCCACTCGACCGCTTGCCTCGCGTTCGAGCTGCTCGCGATGTTGCGGTTCGTTTGCTTTGCACGGTACGGCGAATGATCACCGTAGCGAAAGCACAACGGTCCGAAGCTAGACGGCCGAGGGAAAGAAATTAGCCGGCCGAGCGCGACCGTGGAGGCGAACGATCGAGCCCATAAACGTCGCGCCGTGCACTGCGCGAAATCCGAAGAGGCAGCGGCTACGCTTCGATCGGTCGGTGATTCATAAGAACGAGAGAGAAGTCGAACGGACGAGCTCGCACGCCCACGCGCTCCTCGGCTCCCTTTCTGCCGGTAGCGCGCTCCCGCTTTGCTGCAAGCTGCGACGTCTCGCGCGAGACTGCGGTGTACGCGCAAACGACGCGTCGTGCATTTTCGCCAGTCGCGCGCTCACCCATGATAATGAGTCCGCGTAGCAGACGGCGCAGCTGCTCTCCAGACGGAAAGGAGAGCGGGCCGATCATGGTGTGGTGCGCCTGCGTGCGACCCCTTTCCTTTTCACAGACGACGCCGAGACGACTCGTGCACTGTACGCCGTCGAAAGCATTTAGCCCGCTGCGAAAAATCGATGCGTAGCCTACTTTTATTTCTCTCTCTCTCGTGTGCGTGTGTGTATGTGTGTGTGCGCGCGCGCGCGCTTTTTTTCGTCGCCGCTACTTTGGGCCGCGTGGGAAAGGTCCGCGTCGACGCTCGATTATTCGCGCTGCGCTCGATTCCGTTACGCGCTGCCGCGCTCTCTCGCTATTTGGCCGCGAGCGCAGGTGTGTGACGCATTTTACGGCGCGACGCGTTTTACGCGCGTTTAGTCATCGTGATACACGCGCGCGCGCACACGTAGAAGAAAGCAATCCCCCCCCCCCCGCCTGCCGTCGTGTACCAAAGTCGTCCTCTCTCCCTCCCACCCTCCCCCTCTCTCTGTCTCTCGGTGTGACGTCGTTGACGTCAGTCGTACTTCCGCGAGGGTGACTTTGCCGTTCTCCGATTCAGATCTGTCCGGCGTCGGATAAAGCACCACGGAGGCGCGAGATTTTCATCGCACGTGCAATGCCTGCTCGTTCTCTTACGCCAGCCTGGTCGCCGCTGTCACCTACATTCAACAGCTGCATAAGTGACCCCCACTCGTACTCGTTGCCCTGGTTTTTTTTCTTCTCCGTTTTCGTCACAACGTCTCACGGGAAAGCTGCACACCGTTACTACACGCAGGCGAATATCGCGCGCGAGATAAACGAAACAGAGAAGGCGTTATCGGCATGGGAAGGTCCTTATCCCGCTAGTGAGAAAGAGGGAGAGAGAGCCGAAGAAGCTTTCCGAATCCGTGAAACCCGAGCTCTTATTATCCCGTGGTAACTCCATACGACGGCGGCAACGACGACGACGATGACGGAGACGTCGGAGAAGCCAGCCAAAGTCGCGACAACGCACGACTGCGGACGGGAGGAGCTTTCGGAGGCGAGAGCGAACAGATGTTCGACGTTCGGCTAACAAGTCCGCCGCGTTATCGAGTGCGAAGAGAGCCGTGTGTGCACTGGCGCGATATACGAGATACGAGCAGCAGTTGGCGATGCACGCCGAGAGTGCTGCCCTCTCCGCCTGTTTCAGCCTGCTCAGGAGCGTGTCCGCGCTCATCCGCGCCCCGTAGCAATCAAGGCCGCCACCGACTCTGCGATCTTTTCACTTTTCTTCCTCGGCGCCGCTTTCACGCCAGCAACAGCGGCGGCAGCAGCTGACGCGAGTGCTGCTCGTTACATAAGATCGCGCGCGCGCGCGCGCGTGCTCTCTCTCTCTCTCTCTCTCTCTCTCTCGCAGCCACGAGTGCGAAGGGCTTTTCCGCAGCCGTTGCCGCCACCGCCGCTGCTGGTGCTGCTGCCGTTGCACCGTCATCTTCGTGCTCCCCACCCGTGCGGTCGTATAGACGTGCGCGGTCGTGGTCGGGGCTCCTCGCACGCACATACTTGCACACACATACACACACACACATACGAGCTCGCGCACACGTAGCGCAGTAGCGTATCGGCCCCCATTCGCAGCCCGACCGCCAGTCTGTCCACGTCGACGCACGAGCGAGCGAGTGAGCGAGCGAGAGCGCGAGTGGCTGCCGTAGGTGGGCGAGCAGAGAGAGAGAGAAGGCGAAGCAGGCAGGCAGCTGGAAGTAGTGCGCGCGCAGTGTGCTCTACCTTGGAGGCGACGCCGCCGCCGCCGCCGCCGCTTCGTCCGGGAGGCGGTGCCTTCGTCGAGGACGAGGCGACTTTCGAGGCCGATTGCAGCGAATCTCTAGCTCTCTCTCTCTCTCTCGCGCTCTCCCCCTCCCCTGCACCTTCGTGTACGCCTTCGTAAGTGTCTCTCTGTCTTTGTCTATCGCTCGGGTGCGCGACTCTCCGTCCGTCTCTCTCTCGCTCTTGCCAGCGCGCCGCTGTTCTCTCTCGCGCTTTGGGTGTGTGTAAGCCAACGCCAGGCGTTCTGTTCTACGCTCTGCTCGCGATCGCCTGAGGTGTATGCGCTGGTGTGCTCTCCTGATCGGCGTAGTCAGCAGCTTTGCTCGGCCAACTTTTTTCTGCGCCTCTTATCTACCCCGTGCCCGCCCAGCTCGATCCCGTCGCTACACCTTAATGTTAATATCTTTGTTCTCTCTCTGTCTCCTTCTCACTCCCACTGTTGCCTCCCCCCTCTCCCTTCCACCCACCCTCACGCGCTCGCGTTATTCGCTACTCGTATTGTACTGTGCGGTGCTGCGTGCGCTATATGTGCGACGATTGTGTGTGCGTGTGATTAACGCTACTCAAGCTAATGCTGGCCTTCTTGTGCTGCGCTGCTGCTGTTGCAGGTGAATCAGTGGTGACGACCAGTTGTCGGAGAGGAGTGCCCGTCGAGCCAACGTCCAGAATATAAGGATCAACCGAGCACTGCTGCCTGGCTATTCGCATCAGGATCCGTCAGCAGTAACTCTGACCAGAGCAAGACTTTCGATTTTTTTTTTGTTTCCAAGAAAGCAAGCTTATACACACACACACACACACACACACACACACACACACAAAAGATGGAACGCGAGTCGAATCCCATGCAAGCCCTGTGCAGAAGTGGCTGTGGCTTCTATGGCTCGCCAGCCACAGATGGCCTGTGTTCTCTCTGCTACAAGGAGAATCTCAAGAAGAAACAGCAACCTCCAGTGTCTGCTACGTCTGTGCCCTCATCCCAGACTGGTTCCAGCAATACTGGCACACTACAGACCACCTTTGACAGTCTTGTCTCTACAGGAACTGCTCAGCCTACTATCCCTACCATACCTCAGTCAGATTTGTCCAGTCCGAAAGAGGTGAGTGCTATTATTTTCTGCTTATCATAACTTTCTACCATCCTCCTTCATCCTCCTCTTTAATATTACCATCAATTACCTTTAATCTTTACTATTTTGTCCCAACTTTTCCGTTCCTGGCCTTTGTTTCCATGGTAACAAAGAAATGAGTAATTTCATACTAACCTTGCATTCACAACAGTATGCTTTGGATTAGAAACTTTATATTTGATGAAAGAACATTCAAAATTTGCGTATTTTGACTATTGTGAATTCTTCTTAATGCATTGTTTAGATTTTAGTGGATCAAAACATTTGTGCTTATGACAGTGAGACACATTTAAATGCTTGCTTTCAAAATATTGCTCAGATTGTTGGCAAACTTTTAACATCCTAATGATTTTAGTTGCAGGTTAGTAGGGACGATCATGAAAGCGAAGTAGGAAACAGTAGTGTAACTGCTGAAGGCTCTGTGAGCAGTGGTGATCTTGAAGATTGTTCTGATGGGAAGGAAACTGACAAGGATGGTAAAAAGAAGAAAAACCGCTGTGCTATTTGTCGCAAGAAAGTTGGACTGACCGGTGAGTAGATGACCAAATAAATTTTCCAATTTAAAAAGTCATTGTGCTCATGACTAATTGGAATATTTTTTTGTAGGCTTTGAATGTCGATGTGGGGGACTCTTCTGCTCTGTGCATCGATACAGTGACAAGCACGACTGTAAATTTGATTACAGAGAAATGGGCGCTCAAGAGATTCGGCGCAACAATCCAGTTGTTGTTGGTGAAAAAGTGCAAAAAATTTGAACTATTTAGTGTGTAGTCGTTGGGAAAAATGGTTATATAACTATATAAACAAAATATTAAAAAATACGAAGAAAACGAGATAAATTATCTGGCAGCTGATTGCACATCGAGGAACAAAGCAGAGATAGACATTCGGAGCGAGAGCGAGAAAATGTGTAAATGAGCGTGAGAGAAAATTAACTGAATGTATGTATCAGAAACAAAAAAATTTTGTCAAGCGAACGATGACAATGGGAGGATCGCGACTTCGGGCGTAAGCTAAACGGAAATCGGATACCTGCTGCAAGCAGAAAAGAAAGCAAGTGCTATTGGCGCGTACGAGATTGCGTGCGTTTAAACAAAGTTATGAAAAGTAAATTTTTTGGTTGCCAGTGCCATTGTCAGATTGTCATCTACTGAAAGAACCGTTAAAAAAAGAAAAACAAAGTATCTGGTTATTACTAACTGCTGCCAGCTTATTATCTTCTATCTATTATTATTATAAATATTATGGTTTTATTATAATTATTCTATATTACGTTTATTAATTTACTTAAAAAATGGAAAGGCGGATTTAGGTACAATGAAAAGAAGAGAAATTAAGCGGAAGGAAAAGCGCTTCTATTTTAAGTAGGCGAATAATTTCCTGATGCAGTGAGTTGGTCTGAGAGACAAAACGGTGTAATCTTTTGTTAACGGACGAGTCCATCAATATACAAGGGCTTAACGCGAAATAAAGTGGCGAAGAAAAAGAAGAGCAAATTGAAAAACTTGTAATTGTTTTTTGTTTTCCATAGTGTCAATAATTAGTTAAGAGCGATGCGCGAAAGTGAATGTTATATTGAGAGACGATGATGACTGACGTTGATGGGTGATCACAATTCTAGGTTTAACGATTAGTCTAATAATTATTAAGTATGTTAGCTGATTGATTCATAAATAATGCAATGGAATATAAGTAGTACTGTGTGTTTATGTCCAATCTCACGAGAATATAACGAGCATTATTACTCATTAAATACTGTTTGAAATTACGTTATGAATCGTTATTTTTAAAAAGATGAATAAAAAAGGCAAAAAAAGATATATATCAAGGAAAAGAAGAAACCGCTACACGTATACGTCCGCGCGTGCGACTTTCTTTGCTGCTAAAGCATCCGACGATAGATCCTTCCGACGATGGCGCGCGTCCGTTCCTCGTTCTCCGATCTTCTTTGTGCAGATCGGTGTGTGTCTTATACATAAATATATACATATATTATTACAAAAAATGAAACTGCGTGTTGTTGCAACGACTGGAGTCGAGTGTCGGTATTTCTCGTTTTCTTCAATTTATTCATTTAAATTTATTCATTTGTTCTCGCTTGTTTTAATGCCTTTTCTTTCGTGAATAAATTATATATTATTACGATTACATTAGATAAAGAAAGTGAAATGGAAATTATTGCTAAAACAAACAACTACATAAAAATTTGCTGCGCGAGGTATTCCGGTGCTGCGACGCAGCGCTGCAATGTTTATATGTCTGTGTGTGTGTGTGTGTGTGTGTGTGTGTGTGTGTGTGTGCGCGCGCGCGTGTGTGTGTGTATGTGTGTGTATGTGTGTATAGTAGAAAAAAAAACCAACAAACAAATTTGAAGGCCGGGCATTAGGTGTGAGAGAGTCGACGACAAAACAACAGGGAAACTACGGTACGGTGTAATAAAAATAAAGATGTGCCGAGAAATCGAGTGCGCCCGTTGTTCAGTTACAAGTCGCCGCAAATCCTAAGAGACGTTTCATCGTGGTCGCGCAAACTTTTGCCAAAGGACCCGAGCAGCGGCGACGGTGGTGCATTCAATGTGCCCCACGACCTGCTGCACCGTCCTGAGAGCCTTCGATAACGATACACACTTGAACACACGCGAGAAAAGAGTTTAACCCCTGTCGGAAAACGGATAACAATAAGCATACACGAAACTTTCATACACGCTTGTTAATTGTGTTGTATAATTGCAATGGAACAATTATCCCGAGGAGATGCGCCGAAAGGAGATGTACCGATTTTAGGTTGAGAAACATGAATCGTCGTTTATCGTATAAACAATAAGACGCAGACTCCGATTTAGCTAAGATGAATAACGTCTGTCTCATCGGATATATAATCTTAAGCTTAAATGGAGACAAGTTGTTCGATACATTACCGCTTCTTTTTAAGTTTTTAGGTGCGCACCTATTTTCTTTTCTTCGTGCGTGTGTATTGTAACCAACGATTCATCTTTTTCACTCATCGAATATACAATATACTTTTAGTACAAATTGCAATGATTATTGTTTCTTTTCTTTCGAAACGAATTGCTGTTATTAATACCGAGTACGAGTTTTGCGATCTTTGAGCAGTTCCATTGACGATTTATTTTAGCCGCTTTCGACAAGATATTCGTTGTTTTTCTACAGCTATTCAAACGCGCCAATTATACGGAAATTTACTTTACAAGTATACTTTCCAATTTATATGTTCCTTTTAAAGAAAACGCGCATTCGACTGCTCTAAGTGCAATACTCGTCGAATTTTTGTTTATCACATTCATGTGCTAAAGAAAAAAAAAACTAAATAATGAAAAAGTAATCTACATTGTTTTTTTTCTTTTCTCTTTTTATTATAGAGCGCACGACAGACTAAGTCTTCCTGTAAATAAACTGATCTATATAAAAAGAAGATTATTATTTTTTTTTATTCACCATATTCAATCACCTCAAAATTTTACCAAAAATATGTTCTCATATTAGCTCGACGAGCGGCACGGATCGCATTTTAATAAATCACGAGTCTGCGTAAACATTATGTTGATTGTCGACGCCTCGGAGGAACGATGTTTTTACGGGAAGTGCTTAGATCTGTCGTCGATGTAGCCATATGTTTGTACCTTGTTACGTCGTCATTTCCATTAGTATTCTGAGCACCTCAGAAAGAACGATATAATTACATAACAATATAATTCAATTTACATACAACTAGAAAAAAATGAAAAAAAGAGCAAAAAATCGATAAAGAAATCAGAAGATAATAAAAAAATTAAAATAAAAGAAAATGGAAAAAAGAGGAGAGAACTTTAAAGAGACAAAAGTTTGCGTGTAAGCGAGAGGAAAATAAAAAGACACTGTGCACCGGTATAATCGGTATAATATCGACGAGAGGTTGCCTTCAGGCCTTTATCCTATTTTAGGCATAGCATATTTTTCTAACGTATATCGCAATATTGAAATAATCTTGCCTAGGGAGTGACAGTGTGAAAGAGCGTGCGCAAGAAAACGAGCGAAAGAGTTCAAAAGTAACGAAACAAATGAATCGGTGCAAATGTGAGATGAGCAGAGTGATTGCTGTTCTGACAAAATATAAAAGCTTCAATGTATATGCATTTGATGAATGAAATCACTATATATATAAATATATATATAGATAAATAGATAAATAGATGAATAATGTAAAGCAAGATTCTCAGAGTAATACATTGAAGCTGCAAGAATTATCAAGTGACGTTTGTACTCGGCTGACTACATAAGGACGTAACGATGCTTGTAATTATATTAAAATTGATATTAGTATGTTTAAGCGATTAAAAGTAACATCAACTTTAATATATTATAATGAATATGATTGCTATCCTTGGATGAGAAAAAATCGACAAATATAAAGAAAAGCAACTTTAGGTTCACTGTCTTTATAAATGAAGCAAAAACAGTCCTTCTGAACGTATATCTTCATCTATTTCTCTCGACACGTCGAGTCTTTCACTATACGTCTCTCTCTCTCTCTCTCTCTCTCTCTCTCTCTCTCTCTCTCTCTCTCTCTCTCTCTCTCTCTCTCTCTCTCTCTCTCTCTCTCTCTCTCTCTCTCACTCTCATATCCTAAAACTTAACTCCTTATCTTTTCCAAACTTCCTTTGTCCCTAGTAATGCAACCTTTGAACGTTTATAACCATGCTATATATATTTATGTATGTTAAAAATCAAGAAAATACGACAACAAAAGAGGCAAAAATGATATCTCATAGCCCTGAATAAATTTTTTTAAGAAACAATCAACAAAACTCTCGTATACTTTGAATAACAACAGAAACGGCTTGCAATCTCGTAACAGAGCTTTGATTTTCTTTATTATTCGTAATAAAATTGCATTTGTGTACACAACCTTCCAACAAATTGTTCAGTTTGCAACAACAGTAATCAACAACGGGAAAGATAGAGTTAGAGCTAGAGAAAAGAGGATATCGAGCGTCACGCGCGCTAACATTGTGTTGTTTCGTTTGGCCGCTCCGCGTTGCGTTGCGCAGAGCGGCTGGGAAGAGTGTTCCGTTATCACAGAGGCTAGTTGTCGCTGCATGCGGCTTGACTAGAGTAGAGGTATTTGTCGGCGTGGGCCTTGGGCGAGGAGGCAGGCGTGAGCACGCCCAGGCCGTCGCAGTCGTCGAATCGGTCGGACTTCATGTAGCCGTGGTCCTGGATGGCTGGCACCTTGACCTTGGGCATCCTGGAGCTGCCAGCCAGGCTGGACCTTGATGACGACGAATCGCTATCCAGCTCCAGCCTCGACTGTGCCGCCCTCGCGGACTTGTGGTTGCTGCTGGGTGGCTGCTGCTGCGGCGTCGAGCCGCTGTGCCGCAGAGCCATGTGATTCTTCAGGCCGTAGGGTGTTTTGTAGCTTTTGCCGCAGGGGCATTTGAAGGCCTTCCTGACTCTGCGAACACGGACACAGGGCATTATATTTGTAGGTTTGTGCGAGCGCGACAGCCGGCCGGTCGTCGTACTCACTTTCCGTCGTTCTTGTGGCCGTTCTTCGAGTGGTACTTGATCCCGTTGACGTTCTTGTAGCGCTTCTTACAGCCGGGCACAGGGCAGGCGAAGGGCTTTTCCTCCTTGCTGCAGAGGCTGTTGGCATTGACGCTGGAGCTTCTGGAAGCAGAGCTCGACGGTAAGACCGGTCGGTGAAGCGCGAGGCGCGGAATCCCCGGCCTCGCCAGCCTCGCCAGCCGCGCGCGCTTGTACCTGCTGCCGTAGCGGAGGATAAAGTCGGCGGAGAACTCCTCGAGGGTGGTCCAGGAGTCGTTGCTATCGGACGGTTCGCTGAGTAGCTCGTTGTCCGACTCGTCAGCCTCGTCGCTCCCTGCAATGCGAGAGCAGCCGCGTAGTGCCGAGGGTTGCATGGTGTGCGAGCGCCGAACCCGACACCCTTACCTGTGGTCGCACTCGGCGTGGCCGCACTCGGCGTCCTCTGCGGTGGTGGCTGCAGCTGCAGTTGCAGCTGATGATGATGATGATGCTGCTGCTGCTGATGCTGCTGCTGATGCTGTTGCTGATGCTGATGCTGATGCTGATGCTGATGCTGATGATGATGATGATGCTGCTGCTGCTGCTGCTGCTGCTGCTGCTGCGACGAAAGGCCCGAGTGTAGCCGCGCGCGCGCGCCCTCCGTGAGGAAGCGCAGCACGTAGCTCAGCGGTATGCATGCCGGCTGCTGCTGCTCCGTCCGCTCCACCACGTGTGGGTCGTAGTCTGCAACGCGCGAACGTCACCTCGTGCAAGTCTCTCCCCGCGTTCCTCCCCCACCGGCGGCATCGTGCGACGACCTGCACTTTCGTCCTTTATCGCGGTGCAGCCTTTGCCGGGCGTCTTCTGGCGCCGCTGCTCTGCTTTGATCTCTCGCCGATCGCGACGCTCGTCATTATCGAGTGCGTAGTTTTCGCGTTCAACCAAGTTTTCATTCATGAAAGCACATCCAAAACTTGCAAGCTCCACTGCCAAGAGAACGCCGATTCTCCTCCTTTCCGGATTCGTTTGAACAAATGCAGCACTGTCTGACTCGTTACGGTGGCCGTAAGCTATAGCCGATGCTGCTCTATATATAAAAAAAAAGAAAAAAAAAAAAGAAAAAGAAATAAGGAAAAACAGGCGATGCACTCTCCCGAAATAACGATCACCGAGGTGCGAGCTTCCGCGTGCGTAGCTTTTAAAAAAAGCTCCGGTGGTGTCGTTGCCGAACGATCCGCCGCACGGAAACCCATCGGCGATGGCAAAATAAGTGCGCGACATTTCTAAGTTTACCGAAATCACGCGCTGTCACGTCTCGCAAAAACAGCAATATTGCTCGAGCGATGCATCGTATAGCTCGTCGTTTCACGGCGCGCACCGCACGAGCGGAGGTCCCAGATAACCTCGGAAGCTTGCCGAGCGAGCTTTCGCGTGTTCAGACGAGCCTGGCAGTCGAGAAGCGTGGATAAGAACTGTAGGAATTACCAATATGCGTCTCCTCGATGTGCTGAATGAGGTGTCCGAGGCTCTTGAACGTCAGTCCACACGAGTTGAACTTGCAGACGTTTAACATGAATACGGCCATAGCCGAGACCAGACAGAGACGGAGCGCCTCCTCGTCGCGCAACCAACACCACACACAGACAGATGCAGATAGTTGTGCTGCGGCTTCGAGCTACCCCACCAGTCAATTGAGCGACTAGCGGTTCGTCGCCCCGAGAAACCGCAAACTCCGACGACGAACAAACATCCGATGGTCTGCAAACGCATGAAACAAGCGAAGAACACTTTTTTCCATAGGTGCCCGTCGAGTGCTCAACTACTGTGCCTCGCTACCCACGGACTTGTGCTTGAACCACGCTGCAGCGGAAGGAGCGTGTTCGGGCATTTAATTTCGGTTGGTCGATAAAAGCTCGCAATTCTGGGCGTCGACGGCACCCGTGAGAGGAATAGAGACAGCGACAACACTGCTCTCTGTTCTACCGACTAGCACCACTGTCCGACGCCCGCTCGCCGTATCAATCCGTGTCTCTGCGTTCTTCGAGAGTTCCGCTCGCACTTCGCAATTCAACATTCCAAAAGCCGGCAGCTCTCCTTGCCTTCTTCGATATCTGCTATTTGGTGAGTACACAGACAATAGCTTTTCACCTGATCACGAGTCGTTTATTTCCGTGGATTTATTCAATATTTCGAGCGACTTAAACGTGAACGTCGAGTGACGGGTCGGCCGTTGAGGTTAGAGCTGTGCGCGCGAGTTGGGTAACCGAGGTGGCCTAAAAGGAGGACGATATGCTCTCTGTTGCCCGCTGCTCGTGAGGGGGATAGAATAGCATCGATTTTACCAGTCATCTTGTTAAATTTTGTCAACGATCGAATTTATGCATGATATTAAACGAGATACGCGACTTCGGTTCGTTCCTCCGTGCCATGCACCTTCTTGATAAAAATAAGGGCCTCTTACTGGAGCATATTCACTCAGTCTGAGATGAATGGGCACGGTGATAATCGAGAAGAGAGAGAACAGTTGTTTTTTTCTTCTTCGCTTTACTTGTAGCCAGAGCTACTCCGATTTCGCCCTCGTTATATCGTGCCTCTATATTTTCAAGCCTTGTGTAGGTCAGTGACTAAACTAAAGGTCACTGATTTTGGCACTAAAGGGTGCGGGCGAGTAGGCCTGTCATATGATCGTCTTTCTGTCGATAATCGTGCATTTTCCTTTTAAAGGCTTGCACGAGTACAGTATTTAGTTCGACTTTCGATCGATCTCTCTATTTATTATTACCATTGAACGTGCGTTCTCATTTTTTTCTGCGATTGTATTTAATGTTACATCGATCGACACTTGATTTAGTAATTAGTAGCGTTAATATTGAAAGGTAATCTAGAAGACACGCATAGTACGAGTATTTAACAATAGTTGGATAATTTCTGAGTGAATAATTATATAAAGATTGTTGTAGATATGTAAAACAAACACCAGGCTAGGTCAATGTCTTCACGTAGAGTCGCTACAAAAAGTGACTTCTACGAGTTTCTGCGATAAGTATGTCAATACTTTATTGTCCCTTTAAATTACGCACGGCCAACAACTGAAAAGCGTTCTAAATATTTACATAAAAGACTAATCGACCTAATAATACAAGAAACTAGACGTAGCACGTGAATCTGTACACGTCACCGAATACAGTTACAAATCTTTACCGATAATTGGATTTGAGTGGTAAAGAACATTGAGCCGAAAGTTGATTCACAAAGATGTGTAAAAATGTTAATTCTCGGTGCAATTTTGATAGTTATATGAGCGGATACTCAGATCTATACAGTATAGACCTAATGTAGTAGCGCGCGCATCCACGCTGATAAAGTTAGGTGGCTCTCGCGGCGGTAGAGGGACAGAGGAGGGGGTGGTGGCGCTTGCGACGGCTCAGTAGACTGCTACGAAGCGGCCATTTTCTCTCTTCTCTCTGTGCGGCAGTCGCGGGTACCGAAAAGACACGAGACATCGCCGGGATCACGCGCGTGTCACCTTTATAAGTAAAGTAAGTGTACACAGCCAGTTTATTGACAGCACTCTAGTGTCCAATTTATTTTTCGTGCAAGTCACGAGTCGCCAGACCAGCTCACCCGGAGGATTTGTGGCATTCGTGAAAAAAAGTGCGGGCGCGATAGTTACGTAACCCCCTCCACTAACTAGACCAGTCGCGGTTCAAGAGAGGCCTTGCTCATGAGAGAAACGAGCTCCGGATGAATCCGCGCGATCTCGCCACGTCGTCAGCGGCTATTTATTGTTTTTATCGCTAGTTTAATCTTACGGAGGAGAAGCTGTCTCGACTGACATCAATTTTCCGTCGTGCCTGCTTCTCACACAGCTCGCTTGTTACAGGTTCGTTCACAAGGAGGAAAAGTTGAAGTAACCATGTTCGCCTGCACCAGATTTATTGCCCCCGTCGCCAGGTCTACCGTGAGTACACTTTACCTTCGTTTAGCTTGCTTCTTTCTTCGCCTACGATTATTTCTGAGGGCCGGACGAGAATCGCACACACTTGTCCCGCTCTCTCTTCTTGCTCTCTCTTTCTCTCTTATTATGTAATGATTGAAAACTACTCCCAATTTACCATGTTTCGAATTTTTAGCTGATCTCTGGTTCAAAAACCTACATCAGGCCAATCAGCAGCGCAGTACTAAACCAGAGTCAGTCGCTGCAAAACCAAAATCAAACACCAGTCAGCTTGGTAAGTTCGTTTTTATATTCACTCTTCACTCTGTCCTTTCAAATCGCCAAAAATCATTTAGATTTTATAAATTGCATAATGTTCTCAAGTTATATAAGAAAAAAAACTTTTTCTATATATTATCGAATAACAATGAAAAATTTTTATTAACATTTCCTTTTTGAATATTCCAGTCGCCAGCTATTCGCAGCTTCCAGACGTCGACGATTAGCCGTGACATCGACTCTGCTGCCAAATTCATTGGTGCTGGTGCTGCCACTGTTGGAGTTGCTGGATCTGGTAAGCATCTTTACTGGAATTATTAATCAATTGATATTTGACTAAGAAAATCGCGTTTTATATTCCACCAATTATAACCAACACTAACACATTAATTATTCTTAATCATGCACTGGTTCCTGGGTATCATTTTTAGATTATGCAACACTTACATAACCTTGTTTCAACTTTAATTTTTTGTCATACATACTGATTCGATCATCATTAACTAATCATCCTCTGTTCATTTCATTTTTTTTAGGAATTGGGGTAGGAATAACATTTGCTGGTTTAATTATTGGTTACGCCAGAAATCCTTCCCTCAAACAACAACTTTTTTCCTATGCCATCCTGGGCTTTGCCCTAGCAGAGGCCATGGGTCTTTTCTGTCTCATGATGGCTTTCCTTATATTATTTGCCTTTTGATCCTATCCATTCCTGTGTGCTACGTGAACTTTGTTACATACGAAGATTGCAGGAGTAATTACCATCCGTACTATTCTTTTATATCATTTATCCTACAATACTCTTTTTTTCATTTGTTTATGCAATTTATAGGATTAATTTATCTAGTTTGGAGAGCTAATATAAGCATTAAATATTTATAGGTGCTGGTATCGGATCCGTATTTGGGTCCCTCATCATTGGTTATGCCAGGAATCCCTCTCTTAAACAACAGCTGTTCTCATATGCCATCCTGGGTTTTGCCCTGTCAGAGGCCATGGGTCTTTTCTGTCTTATGATGGCTTTCCTGCTCCTCTTCGCCTTCTAAGCCACAAATCCTCCATAAAAAAATACCGATAGTTCTAGTGCGTCACTGCTGAGACAGCAACCTCCAAGCTTGCAAGGAGGTGGCTGTTTCCGATATGCGGTTCAGTCCATGATATCATTTTGAGAACTAGAGATTTGCTGCAACGGAGAGAGCAACGGTACGACAATTGAAAGACCAACGAACACGGGGCTGTACACGAAAATAAACAACAATTAACCATCAATCAATTAAGTCTTCATAAAACCGTTCCTAACACACAAGTCTCCTACACAGCCACTAACTTGTTCTCAATAATCTCATGGTCTCCCGTTCGGTGTAGCGTATCTCACATTGTTATAAAATAAATTTCAATTAATGATTGAATAGGAGGTTACCGAAAATTATCGAGAACGACAGTCTCACATACATACCTACCATTACGCGCACGCACGTACATAATTTAAACGCCCTAGTATCGATGCGATAATTAAAGGCTAAATTAATTTTCAAATTTTTTTGTTACCCGAGCGATTCATCATTGTTGTGCTGTTGTGTACGCACGTTGTTAAGGTAACTCTTGGCAAGGAATCTGTACAGTGATTATCGAATAAACATCTTTGTCGTGAGATAAACGTCTTTACTTTTTACTATCCTTTTCAACTACATTACTTCAAATCGCGTACTCCATTTTGCATCGAACTATTTGACATTAATATAACTTTTGTTGGTATTGGTATATACATACATAAAATCATTTTTCAATGAAACCTAACTGTAATATTCTATGAAAAATAAATGCAAGACAGTAATTACAACAAAAATCTATCTTTTACTTCATTCCCCGATATGATAATATTATCAATGTATGTACTTTTAAATTAATTTCTTTATTTTGTTACAATAATAAATATAACATCATTCGAAGCGCAGCTATTTCGTGGGATAGCAGAGGTTCATGTTAAAAAAAGAAAAATTCAAAACCTATCTAAAAATATACTTATTGGCTAAGACACACTTTAAATATAAATAATGTACTTATTATTTTGTAATCGCCGCTACTATTTATGGAAGTTCACATGAGAATGATTTAATTTACACTAATAACAGATTACTACGGAAATGAATCTACTGTCAAGTTGAAAAAGTGACTAAATTTATTGGCATTTGTATTATCTACGTTTATTTTGATTCACTGTTCATGTCTTAACTCAAATAAAGCCAATTATTAAAGAAGAACGTTTCACTTTTCAATAAACATTTCTCCGAGAAAGATTTGTTGCACAATAAGAACTTGATGATTCAGATCTTGAAAACTCTATCAAACTATTAAAAAAAAAATTAATTGCCATCTGTATAAACAAACTTCTATACATTATATGTAAAAGAAAAAAGATAATGGTCAAAACGAAGATAGTACAATGTTGCCGATATTGTAAATACATAACTTTGTAATATTCAAAATTATCTTTATTTCTTTAACCACTATACTATCTTCTGTAAACACGAATTTGTAAAAAAATACAAGTTAATCGGTTGTACAAATTTAAAATTAATCTTTACTACTATTGATGCATAGATCAGATTTAACAAGTGCCAATTCTGGTGCGTTGATTATGTTATGATAACGTTTTTAATTAATTTTTTTCCATTAAATTATAAAAGTTTCTAACTTAATTCCGCAATATTTTCATCATTACTTAAAATAATAATTAATTGTAAATAATACATCAGAAATGTTAAAACCAACAAGTAATTTTTCAAATGTAACGTTATAATTTCTTATATATTGTTTATACTTCAGTTTGAAGCATTTGTAAGTCTATTATTATATCGGTATATTTATTTGTACAAATTTCCATAATTAGTAAGAATATTGCTTACAAGAAGTGCATCATGATTTTTACTAGCAAAAATTAAATCTTATAATGAAAACGTTGCCTTGAAAATTATTTATGTACTAGTTCACTTTTAATACATTGTGAAACTTGAATTTTTCACTGTTGAATCATCAATATTCAATGTTTGCCATGAAAAAATCAAGTTTCACGTCAACAGAGTAATTTTATAGCTAAAACTTTAAAACTAAGTTGCAATGTTATTTACAAGCTTAGCACTTGACACTTGAGGTTCACCAACGCTATTGGACGGCAACATGTTTAATTGCTCAAGAAGATTTTCCCTTTCTTTTAAACAACTCCATGCTTTTTCTTGTTCCTTTCTAGGAAGTTGGGTCTTTTTTGTTTTGGCTTGCATCAAGTTATCATAATGCTTTACAACTTCACTATCTACCTCTGCAATTTTGCGTTTTAATGCTTGTCGTTTACTTTCTTCTTGAGCCAGTTGCAACAGTCTTTTTAATTGCGATGCATTATGACTAGAGAGAGCAATCAACTCTTGCTGACACCTTTTTATTTCAGCTAAAATCTCATCATCTTCTGGATTTTTCTTAAGAGAGTCAGGATCAAGAAGCCCTTGCTCAACCAACTCTTTGTGCATTCTCATCTCTAGATTCATTGAATTTTGAATTGACAAATCTCTTAGAACTGGTGGGTCTCCGTCACGAAATAATTTATTATCGGTGTTATTATTTGCTACATAGACATTTTCTTCTAGAAGAGCAGAAACCAATCTCTGTGTTAGAGGACCAGTAATACCTATAAATAAACAGTTGATTATTTTACAATTTTCAAAATGGCAATAGAAATGAGCAAATATTTTCAAGTAGAAATTTACCATTTGTCTTTTTCTCTGCTTTTGACATCAAAAGTGATAAATCACTTCTCTTTTTTTTATCTTTGTTGGGATTTCCAGCATCCTCTTCTTGCATTAATTCATTATGACTCCATGTTAAGCTGTAATGACGTCCCAAAGGGGGAATCTTTTTAAATTCTCCAATATCATTATGCTTGGTAATGAGTTCTTCTAACAATTTAAGATCCTCTGGCATAATATCTGCACAATAAGGATCTACGGAAGCAAAGAATTTATTCAAAGTATCATTTTTGGGCAGCAAAAGCTTCGCATGACCATCCGACTTTGAACCTTCAACTCTGATAATTTCATGTGGATTTGGTACAACTTGATTTGCCGATGTGCCAGCTGCTCTCTGTTTTAATAATTTGGCTGGTAGTGGGGACTGAGATTTAAGTCCAATTTCTCTGGGTTTAAGCCTATCGTCTCTTAGTTTCTTGTCAACTAAAGCTATACCTTTACCACCCTTTGATCTTCTATCTCTACGCTCTTCTGATGCCGACAGATTTGCAATTTCTTCTTGTAGCATTCGACTACGCACCACAGTTGAAGATAGTAACATTTCCAATTCCAATTGTAAAGTATCCAAGTCTTCCATATTGATACCATCTTCTTGATTTCTTTGTAATATACTTGTATACCTGGGAAGCACTTTACTGTTATCTATCATTTTAATTACAGGAAGAGCTGTCATTTCAGATCCCTCTGAGCTTGTATCAGAGTTAGCTAGTGCAGCTTGGGTTTGAGCTAACTTTCCACTCTCTTTCACTGCTTTCACCATAGCCTTCTTCGAACTCTGCTTTCCTTTTCCGGACATTTTATAAGTTATTTTCTTCTTCTTTAAGTGAATGGTAATACTATTGAACTAAATAATAACCATCATCACACTCTGTGTACATTAAATGTACAAAATTTACTACGTCTATTCAGAGCGTAGTGGAAAAATGTAGTTTACACAATAAGACTATGTACTCATTATTTAACAAATTTCTACTACAAAAAAACTATTTTGGAGATTACATATGCACAAAAAATATGTGATGCAGAAATATAAACACATAAACGGTTTGGAGGTTATATTTGGTGATTAGGCTAGGTCAGTGTAAATATCATTCGGCGTACCCGTCTTCTTCTTGTACAGATGGCTCTACTTTGTGTATACTATGTACATATACTGTGACTTGAGTCAGTATAAATCCGGCGTACCCGTACAGGACTACAGGGTATTGCTGAATGCTGACGAGACGCCAATACTTCCGAGCGTGCCCAACAAAAGTTACTAGTTCGAGCGCCCCGTGGTGACCAGAGCATCGAAGCTGACGCACAATTCCATTCGGGATGGGAGTGAAATACCAAACATGCGTCTGTATAGAGAGGAGAAGCAAACGTGCGTCTGACCAATCACGTTAGTTAATAGGCGGGGCGAAACAGCAATGCGAGTCTGAGCACTCGAAAACAATTTCGTATCCGTAAACATTTTCTCTTGGGCCAAAGCGATGCTTTTTTTTTAATTATGAATAATGCAATCTCTTAAGTTATCTCAAATATTACAGTAAATACCTACAGTTTAAGTCCCTAATTTAATATCAAATACTCGTACATTCTTATGAACAAATGTAACTTTCCTCTGTAATAATATTCGTCAATCGTCGATACATCGTAAGTCATATCATCTTACGTAGCAGTAATTATTACTTATAGAAACCAGTGTTTGTTGGAGGCAAGCTTTTGCTGGACGAAATTTAAAAAAGAATCCGGTGCAATTGTAAAAAAGGGTGTAAGAGCGCTTGTAGTTGCAAAACACACGACTGAAATATTCTGATTTTTGTGGCTATTTCAAAGGAAACAGTTGTGAAAACCGCCAGAAGATAATGGTGTATTGATGGTGAAAATGACACTTTCTTAAAATTAGAAAGAAAAGCTTCAGGGATACGAAATTCTCTTGAAGTGCTTAGACTCGCATTGCTCTTTCGCCCTGCCCATCGGCTAACGTGATTGGTCAAACTCACGTTTGCTTCTCGTTCTCTCTATGCAGACGCACGTTTGGTTATTCCCCTCCCGTCCCGAATGGAATTGTGCGTCAGCTTCGGTACTCAGGCCACCATGGGGCGCTCGAACCAGTAACTTTGGTCGAGCACGCTGGGAAGCATTGTCGTCAGCTGCGTCACTCGTCAGCAATCCCATACCATACTATTGTAGATTGTATAGTTCTATTATTTCTTCTTATCTTGATGATGAACTTTTATTACGTCCGATGCGTCATTATCAAGTGTCGGTATTTCTCTGTGTTAAAAAATTCGCGCCAAGTTCAAAATTTGAATCACGTGGAACTGATCACTATCTGACTATAGTAAAACTTAGATGTAAAGGCTCATTATTGAGATACAGCGTCGGTGACGCTATGCCAGATATTGGCGATTCTTCGGCTAAGTGGGGATAGGAAAACGTGCATTTGCGATGAATAAAAAAAGATTGCCGAAGCTGTGTATTATCAATTTATCAGAGATTATAGGGTTTAAGAGCATATGCATTCTATGGTGTTACAAGAATCGTCAATCGTGCAAATTTTTGAACGATGGCGTTATTCTTAGCGGATAACATTAGAAAGTCTGTTCAAAGTGTCTAAGCATTATAGTCTAACTGCGAGGTCTTCAGAAAGTGAGGATTAGATTGACTGTAGAAAGAGGCTTCCTTAACAAGAGATAAATAAGATTTATTACCTATTCAGTTAATTTTGCTTCAAGTTGATCTAAAACTGATCACAACAAAAGAAATAGTTGTACATAAAATTTAATAGCTCCTTGCCAAAAAGTTCTTCGACAATGTTAAATTATAAATGTTGATGTAGAGAAGCCAATTTTTGGTGTTATTAACCTCTGAGATTACGTTAATCAAAAGTTATTAACAATAGCGATGATTATTTTGGATTCTAATAAACTATTATTATTTTCATGATTTCTGTAGTACGAAAAAGGGACAGCTGAATTTATAGTTTTCTATAGAGGACCCGAGTTTTATTGTTTATTGTTTCTGCTTTCCTCTTCCACTCAAGCAATCTCAAAGGTTCCACTTTTATAAGTGTAAGCGGTTAATCCGATATAGTAGCCTGCGCACGACAAACGGTGGCGGTTTGTAATTTCTCAAAGACGTTCACATTAATATTTAGTGTTTAAGTTTAAGTTTCATAAAAAAAAATAAAATTTATACACACACACACACACACACACACATATACTACATTATGTACTACTTTTATTTTAGGTTATTCACAGCACATTTGTTAATCTCGCAATAACTAATAATAGTTGGGATAAAGTGTAACCGATTGAAAATCATTTTTTAAGCAGTACTACTGATCGCACGTGTGCTAAAATCATAAAGAAGACATGGAATAACATTTGGTAAGGCGAGTTGACTCCAGAAAGTCATTACGACACAATGTTCGTCACGGGAGCTAGTTTTATTTTTTCTCTGCGTGTAGTCACCGACGACAATGATTTATACCAAGCAATACCTGACTACCTGCTTACACATAATTTGTAAAATCACTTGATCAATAAAATAGTTATCTGCTTAATCACCAGAAAGATCATTCGTACCTTGTGTGTCAAAATAAATTCAAATATGGCGCCCTTTAGCCGACTCCGAATCACCGAGCGTCTGCCTATAAACGCACTCTTATAGGCGTACACGCGAGCGCTTGATGAGAGACGACAGGTAGCTAGAGAGATAACGAAAGGCACAGCTGCGCTGCTGTGCAGTTGCTAAATACAGACATTCGTGGCCGCTCGTGTATATTGCGTGTTAACGGTAATACGGCGATGCACCGTCGTGTATTTTCGGAATCGTCATCGCCAATGTGACAGCCTCGTAGCAAGCTGTGCAGTGTGCACCTATCGAGAATGGCAAGCAACTGTTATCCGGAGCAGTACCGGGCGATCGGCGATGTCTTGCTTCCTCTTAGGACACCCGACGACGATGAGCTCTCCATCATCGATGTCAATGCCTTCGACGATAGTGCAGACGAAAAGTGGTAGGCTGCTAACTACTTTTTTTATATCCACGGCTTTCTTGTACAAAATACTACATAATTAAAAGTTAAAGTGAAACAAAAAATACATCGATATAATGGTATAAGTTTTTCTAGTGTCGCAATCACCACATCTAGTTGTTCAAATGTTTATTGACAAACCCATTGTTTGTTGTGAAAGAACTTGAAATTAATGATCTTTGCCTGACCTTGAGTCATAAGTACAAATTAGAACAGTCTATCATATAATAATGATTCAATTGTGGTCTGGGGTTTTTACAGGCTTTATTCAACTGGAAGTGGATCAAGGAATAATAGCGTTGAAACAAATATTGAAGACTTGGATGCATGGCTCCATGCAGATGTGCCAGAATCTGATGCTGGTCAATGTGACAATAGTGTGTTTTTTATTTTTATTTTCAGTTTATTTTTTATATATATCACATTACTAAACACCATTGACTTATAGATTCAAGAAGGTCCATTGATACAAGGACTTTTACCAGGATCAAGAGGCGATCAAACAACAAATTGAACTTTCAAAATATTGATGCCATGTTTTCACCAGAAGCAATGCCATGTCCATTGACTAATGTATGGAAAGCTCAGCCGATTCTTGAGTCTCCAATACAGGTAAATCTTCATTTAAAATATAATGTTTTTTATTTAATTTATATGAGATAATCATTTAGGAAAACAATAATACCATACACAAGGAAAGAAGAGACAGTATACCTATGATGCTACGTCCCAAAATAAATCAAACATTATCAACATTCTCATCAGAAAGTCCATCTTCGATACAGAGTCAGGCTAGTATGGAAGCTTTTTTGAATCTAGCTAAATCAAAAGAGGGCATGCCTATGTTAAGTGAAATGACTGAGCCTGATATTAGTAGTCTTTTAATGAATGTGTCACAACCTTCTCTTCTTTATTCGTCAATCATATCTGATGGGAAAAATGATGAAACTATTCAATCTACAGAAGTAGGAGATTGTTTAATTGATTCCCAAATTTTAACAGATTCCATGATGGAAGCTAGTATGTTCAAGGAAGTGCAGGACGCTACTATGCTTGCTGAGTTTTTAAAACAAAGCAGTGATGATACTATGCTTGTAGATAGGACAGTTTGTAAACTTTCAGATACATTTGATCTTAATGATAAGACATTTATTAACGAGTTAAGCGATAAAACATATGTTCATTGTAAAGCTATGGATCTGAAAAGTTCTAATCAGACTTATACGAGTAGTAAAAATTCAAAGTCAAATGATATCATTCTGAATTTTCCATTGCAATTTAGTGCAGATGAAGCAAATAGTACAAAAATCCTTTCACATGAAAATTTATTAAACAATACACACGTTATTTCTACTCCTAATTCTCTAAATTCTACAAGAATAATTCCAGACCAAATTGTTATGGCATCATTGACAAAGACTATAGATAATAAGAATAAGACTGACTTAGCATCTGATTTAAAAACATCACAACTTCTTAAAGGAGGAAAATTAGATGCAACATTTGATACTTACAGATCATCTGCCGGAAATATTCTTCATCTAAGTGTGAATATTATTTGCATTCGTTGACTATTTATGTCTAATTGAATATTTTTCGTTAATTATTTTAATATTGGTGTATTGTAGGGATCAAATAAAAATGCGAAAACTGCTTTGGATACGACGTATGATGCTGTGCCAAATTTGCGAGAAGAATTACTACAAGAAGTTCGAAGAAGTACTGAAAACAAGCTTGACTCAACTTTTACTACTGCCCCGTCGACAAATATTGAGCCAAAACTTGACCTTACTTACGATCGCCCAAATTCCGGTGGATCTTCTAACGAGGCTGAAACTTTTGATGCCACTTATGTTCGTGAGTCACCAACTCGTGAACTTGAATCTCAAAATGTTAAGAAAAACTTCGATATAACTTACGATACATCACAGCAAATAAATTTGAAAACAAATAGCGCCCACAACATGCAACGCTTGAGGTAAGTTTCGACATTAATTTGATGTTTACTATTAATTACAACCATTGATATATTTGTTCAGCTATGCCAATAGAAATGTGGAAGAATCTCAAACTTTAGGCCAGAATCGTTTCAATACGTACAGAAAAGATATTAAATCTCAAAGTCGTTTATCAAAAGCTCCATCAGTTTCAGAAAATCGTACGAATAGATTATCCACCGTAACACATGGTGGAAACGCTAAGATGAACAATAATTTGAATACACAAAAGTTTAACACTTACAAAAAAAACAGCAGTGTTAAAAACAATAATATCGATGACAATAATTTGAACGAAAATAAATTGGATAGTACGTTCGTAAAACCAGCAGAAAGAGTACAGTCAAAGCTTCAAGCTCCGCGTCAATTTTCAAAATTACCGCAATTGTTTCAAAAGTCAAATCCTAATCTTAGCGTTAACATGAGACCTCCTGGCAAATTCGGTTTAGATATAGGATTTAATAAAGGATCGCAGCCAAACATCATGACGAGTAACATGAATACCCTCAGTCGATTCAAGTCGGAAGGTCGTCTTTTACAATCGAAAGACTTAAAGAGCTCTGAGCTCTTGAAAGGCGACAGCAGTAGTCGTTCAATGGAAAGCATCGACAGCAGCGAAAGCGCACATAGTGCTCCAGATTTTGAAGACAGAATAAATTTGTGCTCTAATAGTAGCCGGGCGTCTTACACGATAAAACCCAGAAATTTACAAATATTGAAAAAACTTGGAAGTCTGGAAGAAGGTAAGCTAATTTCCGTTGTGATAAAAAATAATATTTTTATCTTTAATTACGCTAATAGCATTTATTTTTGTGATAAAATTCGATTGAATTTTTAGGTGGAAAATTCGGAGGCTCAACTCCAAAAATTAAAAGTCATACAATTCTTGAAAATAACTGGGTACAAGAAAAAGATTTACCTTCTCCTATTTTAAAAAATGGAAATGCAAGAAGTTATACGGAGAATGCTGATAGTAGAAGTGCTTCGCCTTCGGATAGTGCAGAGTTTCTAACGAAAACCAGTTCACCTATAACCGTAACTCCCGCAAGTTCAGATTTAGCAATAAATACAGTAGGTATGTAAAGCGTTCACCGTTATCTAAGTTCTTATAGTCTGATATATTTTGTACGTGATTTTATGCGCAGGAAATGATAATGTTGATATTGAGGCAAAAAAAGAAAATAATCAATCTGCCGATAATGTACAACCTAAGCAGTTGAAAGTAAGTTTTTTAAAATATTTTCATGATGTTACAATTCCATCGGTGACAAATAGTCGTATAATTACTATATATATATATGTTTTATATAGGCACATACTGGAATGCCTTTGACAAATGCAACTAAATTAAGACGACCTACCAATTGGACAGGAGGAGCTAAAACTGCCAATGGTACTTCAAGTGGAATACCAAGACCGACTTCTCGAATCCCTGCTCCAAAATTTACTAGGCCGAGCCTCAAGTAACATAATAGAATTTGTAAAAAGAAATTGAAAGGAGAGCTAGAGATAGAAAGGATTTGTTGGTGAAAAACAGTACAAACATGCCGGATTGTGCTCAGATTTGAAACAATTTTATAAACAAACGATTATTTTTCTATTTGAATTGTAAATATTTAAACACACAATGACATTTTAAACGTCTAAATATGAAAAATATTCTAGAAGATGCATAATCTTGGTATTTTGTATAACTTTTTTAATTGTTGACCATCGAATTGGCCATTTCAAAGTGGAATACGTATCATCATTTGTACGGTGAATCGGACGCCATTTAACGTGGTAAAAAATATGTAAAAACGATTAACAATGCGCTTTTAAAGAATTCGCAAAAAAATCGTATATTTATTAAGCTATATTGTTGCTTATTGTTAACATATCTTTTTTATACCATATAATCAAACGCGATTCTAGAACTTAAAAGTTGAACTTTTTATATTTGAAAAAGTATAATAATTATTTCTATTGTAGACTTTTATATTACTTTATTAAAAATACATTAGTTCTTGTTTTCATCGATCAGATATACTCTCATCACAATATAAATTTTGAACTGACATATCGAATGTAATATATAATTGCATAACTAGCAATTTACTAGTAGTATAAATAATAAAATTACTTTTGAAAAACTATTCATTTTAACGTACAGAATCACTAATAATTTTGGTTTAAAGATTTACAAAAAGAGGTTGAGGAAAGATTTATGACAGGAAACGTAGATATTGAATAATTGTCACAATAATTAGAATTTTATTATGCTTAAATTAATTAATTTATTTAACAAACAGAATTAAAAAATTAGTAGTTATATTAAATGATTGAAAAAGATATGATTATAAATTTATATTAGGTGAAATTAAAGTCATTTCTTTTCAAGTGAACATTTTACAAGTCTAGTAGCACTTTTGTATTATTTTATTTATTAGGAGAATCTAGTACATCCTTTTTTTTATTGTAGTTAATGAAAAAGAAATAATAAAGAAGTTTTTTATTATTCCGTATTAATACGAACTCAAGTGCCTTAAGATTGTACGTGGCTCGTGAATTAAAATTACGTGTTCAATTTTTTAATGAAAAACATAATAGCCCATTGTCATTATTCTGCTTTCAAAGTGTATGGAATTCGCTCACATATCTAAAATTTAAACTTTTATGATTGAAAAAATAAAAATTCTGATATTATAAAATACAGTGTTAATTTTATTTTTGACCCGATTTCCTTTACATAGTTAGATAAGCCATACCTACATTTGTTTATCATCATTCGATTACCATTTATTTGCCTAAAGATAGTGGGAAAATATAAATTTTAAATACCAACTCATCAATTTAATTATCTTTTGTTATTGTTAATTAAAGAAATTTGAATCAAGATTAACAAAAAAAATAAAAAGGCTTTTAATGAAAACATGAGTTACGATTACGAAAAAATTTATTGTTTACAGAACATAGTGCTTAAACTTTTTCAATGTAGTTGATATATAACAAATGATAAACCTAGTGTAAAATATCTGTCATATACATATTATATTTTTACGCTGATGTGATTTTTCGATTATAGACTAGACACACTGTATCCCATTTCTATTATTATATTACTTGTGAATTTTATGATATACGTTTGCGTGTGCAAATAATAATTTTAAATAAACGACTTATAGAAAATATTGATAGTATAATTCGCATGTTATAAAAATCTTACTATGCTTTCAAATCCATGGATTCATCAAATATATATTAAAAATAGGAAAACATAATTATATCTTGCGTGAGAATCAGTGGAATGTTGTTTTAACTGTTTAGTGGCTAGTGTGTTTATGAATTACCACGTAACATTCAACAACAAATCTTTTCATAATTTTAAACTTTTTTAAGTAAAACTATATTACGCAGACTTCACAAATTATCTCACACGTTGCTTAATGTACATATTTAATATATATTAAACGTTACATATTAAATTTTCGATAATTAATACTAAAATTAAATATAAGTACAAGGTAATCAATTCTTCAACAAAAGCATTTAAACAGTACTTCATGAAAAATAGTTCTTGATGTTTTGCCTTCTACAATTAATACTGTACTGTTACCACGTAACGCTGGCAACACGCATATGTATTTGTCATTTAATTTTTTAATTGAACACATAAAGATCATTCTTTTGTGTATAGACACATTTAAAAAATTAACCGGTAGTTATTAACTTTAAAGCATGAGAAATAACGAGATTTTTCGTAATACCTTCGATATTTTATTAATTCCATAGTAGCATAAAAAAAGATTGCACGATAAATCTTTTTCTCTATAAAAAGTACTCACTGCATTTACGATAAAATTATGCATATAGTATAAAAGTAAGTTATGAAAAAAAAAAATTTATTTGAGATTTTTTCCTCAAATATTTTCGCTGATCTCTTACTACGAGATTTCCAATTTCTTTACAAATAATTTCTGAAAATCTCCTAAAATATTTGATCAAATCTTAAAAACTTAACTGATACGTTACTTTACGTAATCCATAAACTACTACATAAATCTATCAACATTAATTTTTCAAGCAAATTCCATGAAAAATTGATAAGATTTCACTCTTTGAATTTATACACATATTATTCTTGGTATATTTTTGAGGTCGCGAGACAATTGTAATTTCTAAAAGTACAACAAAGACGAAATCTCGATGAAATTTCATACTTGAGAATGCTTTGAAGTATTTTAGTCCTATTCAAACGCGATACGACGACTGCTTAGTATAACAATACAAACCGTTTTATCGCTTTGCATAAATATTCATAATTTTTCTCGATACATTTTTACAATGATATAACTTTTAACGATTAGCAGAGTCGCAGCGTTAAAAGCTGAAGCAAATCGATGACGATTGTCTGTTGCGTGTCGCGTTCAGTATATTAAATTCGTGATGTGTACCGCTTTTGAAATGCATTATTCACAGGCCAGCTTACTGTCAAAACTGCTAAGTGCTATGGCAAACGCTTGGAGTGCACACAAGGGGAATCGATAATCCATTGTAAAAACATCTTCCGCCACTCTGCCAAACTGCATTACAACGTAATCCACTGAAAGTGCATTACATTATTTCATACAGTAAATTCTTCAATTGCAGGAAGCCATAAAAAATCTTTACGTGATCGAGTCAAACTTACCGTCTGTATCGTGAACTACTTGAAAGTTTTTTACTGAGGCCTGTGTAACGCGACCATGAAAATTGAGGACGTACGATTGCGTGTCGTCATTCCATACTGGCGTTTTATTATGTAATTCTATGAGATTATCCATATTTTTTGATTTATAACATTCTAAAATGAAATATTAAAAATACTCGTGATTATGTGATAGCTCAGTATTACAAATAAAGTTGCTTACCTAATAAAGTTTCAGATTCGTCCCGAGGACAAATTTCAACTCTCCTTTGGTCGGGAGTCATTCCAGGAATGATAACAGTCATTTTTCGAGGTCCCTTGAAACCTAGAACATTTGTATCGTATATTACTGCAGCTAGCTCTTGTCTTGGATTAGATCTTTGCTCTTCCCGTTTATCGTCTTTAAGCTGCGAGTAACCATTATCATACACAGTAAATTGAGTTCCCAAGAGATTTGATCTTAGTTTGCCTACATAGGCCTCGCCACCACGTGATAAATCAGTCGGATCAGTGGAAATTAAGTAGTTACTCGTTTTACTGCGCTTCCGTTTACGTCCAGCGAGTAGGAATACCTATTAAAATGTTTTTCATTAATTTTTGTGTCTATTATCTACTATTCTGTATGTAAAATTGCAATTGTAGATTTTACCTTTTTACCGTAATCTCGCTCCAAGTGAAGAAAATAGGTTGGATAAAAACCGCGATCCATTCCCTTTCGATCTCTCGTTATTCTACATTTGTAATGCATTTTTTTGTTGGCTGGTTGTAACACAAAATGCTCTATATTACCTTCCACGTTTCCTTCTAATTCTGGGCTCTAAAAACAATAGTATAACATGAGCGCTAAGAATGGTTTAAATAGATACGAATCTATTTCAAGAGGCATTACAGAATTTTCTCTGTTGATAACCGTCAAAGGTCCATCTGATGGAGCAACTCTAAGAGGTGATGCACACACAAGAGTTTCAGTTGGTGATTGAAGTTCTATTGGCGAAGATTCTTCATCTGCTCCATCGTAAAAAATACCTTCACCACTAAGATCTGAAATGTAGTGATTATGAAGTCTTATTTACAACAATTAAAAGATTTATCTACACCAGTGAATATTATTAGCCAATACCTCTACTTAATTCAGTCTCCAGGGTCCTATTTTCTGGCAGTGTACTTGTATCTGGATGACCTGGAAACATAGCGTAATGTAAAGGGCCATCGTAACCTGAAATTAATTTTCGTTTAAAGATTTGCAAGCAGAATTATATCATAGAAGTAAAAAGTAATAAAGCAAAGCAAGATGAATAAGGTTTAAAAAGCTTACCGTGTATTGCATGTTGCCATGCTGACGAGCGACCAGTCAGTTGAGCACTAGATACATTAGATGCTTGTATCATTCCTCCTGCACCTGTTTGTCTTTTCTGTTTCATTTTTTGAGCAATCAGTTGCCTCTAAAACACAGCATTTTTAAACAATGAGTAACTCTTGAATATTTAAAAAGGTTCTTAGACAGCTTGGGTATGCATTATTAATTATATGATTTGAGAAATGGACAAAATGTGTAGGTTTGTAACAAATGGAAATTTTCAAAATGCAATAAAGTGAAAATAAAACGTTATAGGTCTTATGAGGGAAAAATTTAGTGCATAAATTTATGATAAAATAGGAAAATGAACCAAGTGGAGCAAGTGCTGAACTGAGCAAGAGCACAATTAATAGTCGCGTTGATCAAAATAGACATTGATGAATATTAGAAAAACCTCTCGATTTTAAGTAAATTATTGACTGATGTTGAAATATAAGTCATAAATAAGTACATCGTATCGTGCACCTATGCAAAAGCACTTACTATGCACATTGAGAATGATGGGCTGTTTAAAGGTTATAGGCGCATAGAGGTTGGGGGAGGTCGCGTGCGATTGACAATGTATACGCAACGCCAACCCTCGTATTTAAAGTTTTCTCGCTGAACCTGACCAAAACGAAGACGAAATATTTGCTTACCTGCTGCTCAAGTTTCTGCTGTCGCAAATCTAACGAAGTCATTTTCGCGAGGCCGTTGCACTCAATAATTGAATACACGATTTTATGTCACCCGCACCGTCGTTGGATTCTCGTGCACCGAACTAGTTTGTTTACGCTTTACGTCAAATATACGTACTACATACAATCATGCGCGCGCGCCTGATGCCAAGGCAACGGTCTCTTATAGCTCCATCCATGCAATTACTTAAATTAGAACGCTAGTAACATTTTGAATTTGGTTCTGGGGATTTTTTCTCGCATACGTACTAATGAGAAAAAATACAAAGTATTTTTGTAGAAAACATTTTTTTACTTGATTTCTCAACAACTCTTACAAATATTTACTTAAAAGGGTAATAGGAACTTGGTAAAAATTACAAATCAAATGTTTTTTTTTTAATTTAAACTGCTTATAAGCGAATACTTAGGGCTTTATCGTCTTCTGAAAAAGAACTGTAGCTGTCCTCAACCATTTGGTCTCTAAGAAGAGCTTCTGGTTTTCGTTTCATTAGTTGTATACCAGCTTTAACTCCTAATTGGATACCAGTAAGCGAAGATATAATGGACCTCTTGGCTACTCCACTATCCTTTCTTATACTCTGAGGTTTTCTTTTAAAAAGTTTTAGAGTTGTCAGATGCATCTTGATTATATGTTCTTTTATCTTTTGTTTTGATGACAGTCCAATTTTGCATATGTCACAAGTAAATTTATTACCAATATGCTTGGAACGAATATGAGCATCTAGATTTCTTCTAAAGTAATACAGCCTAGAACATTTTTCATAAGGACAAGGAATTGTAGGCCTATTTTCCAAATGAACTTTACTGTGAGCTTTTAGATGACACCTATTTGTAAAAGTTTTGTCACATATCATACAGAGATGTTCTGAAAAAAAAATATATTTTTGTTAATACACTTGCAAACAAAAACTACACTTGGTACAAAAATCTCTTACCTGCTGCATGTTCAGTCCTTTTGTGCTTCAACATTGACAGCCATCTATCAAATATTTGTGTACAATTTATCACTGGACATTTGTAAGTCTTCTTTTGTTCATGATGTCTAATTTGATGATTACTCAATTGTACGTGAGTTTGGAATACTTTACCACATTTCTCACACTTAAATGTTGATGAATTTTTGTGCATTTTTATGTGCTCTTCAAAACGATTTTTCTTTGTGAACCATGCCTTACATTCAAGACAATAAAGTTCTCTAGTACTATTATGTGTTCTATTATAATGACGTTTTAGATTGCTATATGTACTCATATTAGCTTTGCAAACTTGACATCTGAAAATAGCACAATTTATTTTAAACATATAAGCAATAAGCAATTGTTGTATCTAGTAAACATTGTAGTTGACAAACTTACTGGAAATATTTGTTAATTATATTATGAGTTTCCAAGTGTCGTTTAAGATGGGATGAATTTGTGTATGCTCTATTGCATCCATCATGACTGCATTTGTAAGGTCGCTAAAAGTAAAAAAGGGTAATCTGATGTTCATTAGCCAACAGCCAACAAATAGTTAATTTCTGATTAAGCAGTTGTATCCTACCTCATTTGTATGAACATTTATGTGTCGTTGAAGACGAGACGGCCTTGGAAATGTGGCTTTACACCCTGGGAAGGTACATTTATAGTTCTTTGCTACTTGGTCTCGTAAAAAATCTTTGTCATTTGTGTCTTTTTTACTATTGTCATTGGTGTCTTTTTCACTATTATAATTTGTGTCTTTTTTACTATTATCATTTGTGTCTTTTTTATTATTGTCATTTTCATTTGACTCGGACTCATAATTCGAGTTCGACTCCATGCCGCTCCACTTAACCTTTCAATTATTTTCTATTCGAATGTTTTTGTTTGCATCATTCGAATTACTTTGCATCATTCGATGCCAATTGAACTTTTCATTGGAATTTTCGAATAGCTGGACCACTGCGTGAAAATGTTGAATGGTTTTAAAAAATACTGGGCAAACAGCTATATTATTAGCGACTGACCGCTCATATCACACGTGTTTGACGTTAGGACATTCGCGCCTGCGGCTTTCAGATTTAATTATTTTTATCCGCAAAGTACCGTCGGTATGTTATCTGAGTACATGCGATTATTATCGATAGCCCGCCACTGGCCAAGGAATATCTACCTTGCCAGCGGTTTTCGAAAACGGTTCTATCATATTTTCAAGGCGTTTATACTTGTATGTATATGTTGTTCGATGTCGTGATCGCAAAATTGACGCAAGACGGACGCGCGAAGAAACTGCTTAAAAAAATTAAGTACTTCTCCGTATGCAGCATATGTATATATTAAAATGAACAAAAAAAATGTAAAAATTTTATATATTGCGTTGTGCCAAACTAAAAACATTAAAAAATGTCAGTTAATTTAATTATCTTTTTCCTAAAGATGAATAACTTAAAAAATTGTAGCTGAAATATTTGCGCTTGAAGTAATGTTCAGATTATGAAAAAGTATGTAGTGCCTACTTTTCTGAAAATGATGATTTTTCTGGCTGTAAGTATATATATGTGAATAAAAAGATTAATTTATTCTCTTTTATGAAAAGTTTTTAATCTTGATGTATTTTGCAGTTCAATATAAGCAAAGGAAAAAACTAAAACCCAGTGATGTATCAAAATTCAATTTACCACAAACATTTACGAAAAATATAATGAACACAAAACTAATAGAATCCAGATGTAACAGACTTGAGAAAAAAATATAAAGACAAGGTATGTTATTAAAAAAGTACAATGAAAATGATGAACATAACTTATTTTATTTTGCAGAAGTAAGTTGAAAGATCTTACTGCGAACAAAAATATTGTGAAGATAATGATAAATTAAATAGTTTTCAATCAAATGATAAGTCATGAGTTATTAAGTAAGGAGATTTAGAGACTCACAATAGTTATTTTATACCAAAAAGAAACAATACTCTTAAGTCATACATTGTATTTAAATTTGATTTGTTTGAAAATTCAAACTCTGAAAATAATATGTGCAATATTCAAATGAAAGCAGTCGAAGAAATAAAAAACAGTATCTAATGAATTGATTAGCAAGAGTGGAGACAAAGAAAAAAGGTGGATATTGCTACACAAGTGAATCCAAAAGATTTCATCACTATTTTTTCAAATACAATTGATGTTGCTGTTCAGGCTGATTTAAATGAAAGTAAAGTTTTAATATTGCAACTTATAAAAGCAGATATTCAATTGAATGCATTTACAGGAATCTCTTCTTTTAAATTAGTAAACTCTCTAGTGAAATGCATGATAAAATTAAAACATGAGCAAGGCAAAATACAATATATTTTATCATATATATATATATATAATTTGTACTTTCTCTTACTACAGGGGAATAAACCCTATAACGATAATGTATATTACATCTTCTGGACTGATTTTATATCTTAGTGCTGCTTATGGTGGTTATGCTTCAGACAAACAAATTTTCAATAAATCTGATATACTCAAGAAGAAAACTGTGCCAAACCAAGACAGATTAATGGCCGATAAAGACTTTTTAATTGAAGTAGAATTATCGCTATCAAAAGTGAAATTAACAAGGCCACCATTTTAAAAAAACAGAATGTTACCTTATCAAGAAAGTAGAGAAACATTCAGTATTCCTGCAGCAAGGGTACATGTCGAGAGAGCAATTCAAAGGATGTACAAATTTGAAGAATTGAAGAGCACCATTCCTTATAACGTTGTTGATAGTATGTTGACAAACAAAAAAGTTGCAAATATATCCTTACATCTACCTCGATTTCCAGCAGGGCAAGTGCAAGTGCAATCAAAAGTTTTAAAGTCATTCTTCAACTCAATAACAATTTTTATTTCGCGAGGTTTAAGATGCACTCTGTAAACATACACTAACAATATCAATGAATCTGTTGTCGTTTCGCACAAATCGTCTACACAAAATTATGTGTTTTGCGTTCAATATAATTTCTACTTCAGTCAAAGATCTTCCAGATTTTCCCATCAGTTTCGATATATTAATCAACTATGGAATAATAGCAGTGATAACCATATTTATAAAAAAATATTTTTGTTATTTCTTCTATCCTACTACGCGTTAAAGTTGAAAGCATTCCCTTTGACGACAGAAAATTTGACGTGCCACAGCGCCCACTGGGTTTCGTTGCGATCGCGTATACGTAATATAAGCATTATTGGAGGACGTAAGTGGCGAAAAACTGAGATCTGAAGGAGGATTTTTATTGGAAAGAAAATCGTGTGCGTAGAGCGACAGCGAGGTAAGTGCGTTCACGGGTCTCCGCGAGCAGCATTAGCAGGATTTTCCGCGAGAGCCCCGTTGACTTTGGCACCTTTCTCCGCAGCCGCCGCTCTGGTGATGGCCGCAATTTTGGCCAGGCCCTGCAACAGTTGGTCACTGAGCAAGCGCGCACAAGCGAGCGTCTGGCGCGCGGCGTCGAGACGACTACCTCGTCGACGTCTCGCTCGTCGGCCTGGCTGTAGCAGAGTCTTATGTAGGGACAGGGCTTGCTGCTGTCGGGGTAGAAGGCGTGGCCGGGCAGAGCGAAGACGCCCTGGGGTATGCACTTGTTGACGACCAGGTCGTAGGTGTCGTCGAGCACGGTGATCTTCAGCCAGACGAACATGCCGGCCTTGGGCACCGACCACTCGGCGATGCCGGCGAAGTGCTTCTCCACGGCCCTTAGCATCGCGTCGCGCTTGTCGCGGTAGAAGCGCCGCACTCTGGCCAAGTGCTGATCGAGCTGTTGCTCGCTCCAGCCGGTCAGCAGCTTGTGGACCAGCACCTGGCGAGCGTGGGCACGAGGCCCGTTAGCACAGCCGTGGCCGGGTGGTCGGGAGGGGCTCCATACCTGCGACAGGGCCGAGGGGTGGAGAGTGGAGACCTGCATGTGCAGGGTCATCTTGTCGAGGAGCGGCCTGGGCGCGGTGACCACGCCGAGGCGCAGGCCCGAGCTCATGATCTTGCTGAAGGAGTCGAGGCGCAGCACGCGGCCGTCGACGTCGAGCGACAGGAAGGACTTGGGCTGCTGGTCGAGGAAGTGCAGGAAGTAGTAGGCGTCGTCCTCGAGGATGAGAAAGTCGTAGCGCTGGGCCAGCCGGTAGATCTGCTGCTTGCGCTCGTACGAGTAGCAGGTGCCGTCCGGGTTGGCGCCCGTCGGGTTCACGTAGAGCAGCTGCAACAGCGTGCGCGCGAGTGTTGGCGAGTGGGTGCGCGAGAGCGCGAGAGCGCCGCACTTGCCTTGGGCGCGCGGCCGCCGCGGCGCAGCCTGTCCTCGCAGGCCGCGGCGATCGCCTGAGGCAGGGCTCCCTGCTCGTCCATCTCGATGGCGACGAGGTCCGAGCTGATGGGCAGCACCTGCGGGCAGTCGGGGAGAGCATCGGTGATAGGGGGTCGGGCGCGCGGCCGGGGGCCGGGCGTACCGCGCCGAGGACGCCCGTGTAGGTGGGCGACTGCGCCATCATGGGCTCGCCCTCCTCGAGCAGCAGCTCGATGATCTTGCAGCAGCCGTCCATCGAGCCCGTGGAGAAGTGCACGTCCCAGTCGGCGTAGCCGGGCGAGTGGTGTCGCTCCTGGAACTCGCGCCACTTCCGTATCAGCGGCAAGTACCTGCGCAAAGGTCAGAGCGATGGGCGAGGGTGCGAGCGCGCCCGTCGGCGGTGCCCGCGTACCCTTGGGTGGGGCCGTACTGCAGGGCCGAGAGCAGCTCGGCCTCGCTGAGCGCGTGGCTTGTGCCGTCGTCGTACGTCACCGAGATCGCCTTGAAGGGGAACATCTGGGCGTTCGGCATCCCGCCAGCGAAGAACAGCGCGTCCGGATTCCTCATGTACGCCTCGGCTGGGGGGCCAAACGCTTTCGATCGAGTATTCCACGACGACGACGACGACGACGACGACGACGACGACGACGACGACGACGACGACCACCGCAGCTCGACCAATTAAAACGAGAGGAACGCGTCTGTGCGCAGGCGTCGATCGCTGATTACGAAAATTTGGCCGAGCTCCACGCTCGCTTTGCACTCGTCTTATACGGCAAGGCCGCTGCGCGCGCGAAGAGATGCGCGGTGGCCGTGTCGCAAGTGCTCGCGGCGACACGTCCGTTGTACTCACTCAGGTTCCTAATCAAGTTGGGCTTGCGCCGCTTGCTGATTCTCGTCGTGAACTTGCCGTAATCCATCATGCACCTCCTCATCGTCCGACGCGCGCGAGCTGCGGCTCACAAGTGGAACTGCGGCGTACGAGGCGTGCACTCTATCGTTCGCCGCACACTTTGCCATTTATCTGCGGTGTATCGCGCGGCTCGCCCGGTTAATTGTGCAATCGTTCGGGTGCTTATCGCCGCGCTCGGCCGCGCTCGGCCGCGCGACCAACGCGGGAGATGCGTGAGCCGCTTTCGATACGCCCGCGAGCGAAAGAGAACGCCGGAGTCACCGTGACGCTTCCAGCTCTCGTTCCGATTGTTCGGGCACGTGGTGCGCGCGTGCGCCGGTGCGGTCGCTTGATTACACTGCGCGACAAATACGGATCGTCCGTTGTGGACGTTGCGTTGCCGATCGCGGCTTCGAGGAGTAGAAAAATCACGAAAAAGTGCCAAGTTGCAAGTCGAGTGCGCTACGAGATGAAAAAAAGAAATCGAGTACCGGAACAGAGGGAAAGTCACGAGATCGCGCGACTAGACAACGGAGCTCTCCGATGCGCGTGGGATACGTGCGGAAGGAAGGCACCGGGGAAGCTTATCTTTTTATACAATTGTTTTTATTACTCGTACACTTGTATTCTTGTCTGTGTATGTTTTTTTTTTGTCGTTTTGTTTTGTTTTTTAATAATTTGCTTTTAAAGAGACTACAAAGTTCCGTTGTGGTAAATGACATATTAATCTCACTCTCTATGGTACGAACGTTTTTATTCGTTTCCTCCTCGAAACGCAGTTTTTTTTTCTTACTAAATTGTTTTATTACACTTCGACTATATGAGACAGTTTGACTGTTACATTTGGCAATTCGGGCAGCACTTGCGAGTTAAAGCTCCTTTACAGGCCGAGATCGAGGAGATCGATTCGATTGCCGAGAAGGCATTGTCGTTCGTGTGCTCGCTGGTCCCCGCGCGAGCGAAATAACCGACCGGCGCGCCGTGAAGCTCCTTGGGATCCGAGTCCTCGGCGAGACGCTGGCTGTTTGGTGGCGCGGCATCCCTCGAGCTTTCCGCGCATCGTTTAACAAGGCATCAGCGATAAAAACTCGAACGCGGGGGGATACGCCGGGAAGCACGAGCGGGGAACGACAATGACATCTCGTCCCGGACCGACTCTTTGGTACAATATAATTATTCAGCGTACAGTTGTTATTGTGTTGTTTCAACATTGGACTCCGTCGCCGTGAGCGTTGTCCCCTCCGTTTACAAATATTCCTACGGCAACGTTCCGCACGGATATCTCCTTGCTTCGCAGACAGTAAACGCAACGTTATTTTCGTGTATATACATATACACTGGCCTACACTAACGTAAATGACGCGCGCGAGCGTTGCTTCCAACGCGATCGCGCATGCGTGCAGTGTTCGGACGACACGAGGCGTTGGCCCTGGTAGCGGACGATTCCGCGCGACGATTCTCGGCAGCCGAGCCCGAGAGCTCACTGGGGAAAAGGCGAGGAAGGTGAAACCGAAAGCGTCGTCGTTCCGCGGTTCGTTGCTCGTGTCCGTCGCGCCTGCCAGCCATCGGCGCTCGCCGTAGATCCGCAGCAGAGAGAGAGAAAGACAGAGAGAGAGAAGGATAGATAGGAGAGACGCTCGCCTAGGCTAGCCACTGCGTTCTCCACGCGCCAGCTAGTCGGACGATCGGCCCTTCGTCAGCGCCTGCGCGAGCCGATCTTTGCGATGCCGACGTCGCCCTGCGTCGAGTCTCGCGCGGGCCGCGCTGACGATTTCGAGAGAACGGCCGGCCGGAAGGTACCGCGTACCGACGAGTATTTAGCAAGCTGGCGCGTCCAAAAAAAAAAAACAAAAGAAAGATGAGAAAAACAACGAAACGTTTCTTTTCGTCGTTCTCTCCTTCGTTTTACACGCATATGTACGTGCGAATCGAAAACACCGATCAACGTGGTTATTAGAGTTCTTTTTTCATTTTTTTCTTTTTTTTTCCGTACCATGTGACTCTATCGGACTTTTTTTTCTTTTTTGTGTTTTTTTTTTATTCTAGGGCTGTGTTAAACTCGACAAAACTTGCTGCTGCGACTTTGATATACAGGTTTTTTTTGGTTGATTTTTTTTTGTTTGCTCTCGGTTTGTCTAACAATCATCACGAATCAACAACTTACTTGGCTAGAGCGTAGGTAAAGATTTTGCTTTGTTCTTCGTTCGTCTTATAGCAAATTAACACACTCAGTTCAGCATTATATCATATATATGTTGATGCATATATATAGGCTCTGCAGCTTATGCACGACATATATGTATATGTATATATATATATGTGTGTGTGTATAATAATTATTACAACGATAGTCTCTCGTCCACAAACTTGATTATCATCACGTTCGTATAAAAATAATTGCCGTATCTCTCGGTGCACTTCGTATATATACATATATATATATATATATATATATATACGCATGCACGTACGAACACGCTCGCAGAGTTTTCCACGACGAGCTGGAAAGTGGTTCGGCAGCAAGTCCTAGAACAGTGTCTCCTGAGACCAGGCGACCGGCGACGAGTTGGGCCTGGGTCGCTGCTGCTGCTGCTGCTGCTGCTGTTGGGGCCGGTGTCGCAGCTCGATGGGCGAGGTGGCCGACGACGGCGGCGGCGAGCACAGTACGTTCGCGCCCGCGCTGTTCTGGCTGCTGCTCGTCGTCGTCGACAGCACTGGCGACCTGCTCGTCGACGTGCGCAAACAGAAAGCAAGAAAGGGCTGCGGTTAGTTGGGCAGGCTGCGTCGCGCTCGCGCACGCACGCACACACAGACGTAATCGTCGTTTCTAAATTTACAATGGTCACGGAATTTGTCACGATCGACCGATGCCGATCGCTGCGTGCGAGTGGTCAAGTCGTATTTGGTCTCGTCGGAAACAGTCAGATCAGTCGTCCGTGTACGTGGCGCATCTAAGATGCAACACTAATATCTCTGCGGTGCACATTATCAATCGCTGAAGATACGTAGATACGTAAAAAAATGAGTCTAATAAGTGGTTGATATCGTATATTTACACCGCGTGTACAATAAAGAATGTAATCTGTTGTTAGCGTGCGCTCCCAGGCCGGGAAACATCGGCCCGTGCCGGCGCCGACATCGAGCGCTCGCGCTTCCTTGTAAAATCTAATTGAAAGCCGTGCGGCTCGAGTGTTTCCAGGCCGTGGGCTTGCCTCGTTTCTGTGAGCGTTCCTAGGAGTGAGAGTGAGAGAGAGAGAGAGAGAGAGAGAGAGAAAGAAACAAACGGTTGTTACACATAGACACGCGAGAGTGATGTGCGTAAATCTGCAGTATATTTACAGTGAAGCTAGAGATATTTGTAAAAAGAGAGATGGACAGACAGACTGTGGCGCAGAAGTGACATAAAAAGAACACTTAAGTAGACCGAACCTATGGTTGGTCGGACGAACCGTTCGTTATGTCTTACGTAACTACGCCAGCCGCAACCGTGCACTGCCAAGAAACATCACACATGAAGTCAAGAAACAGGGAGGCAGAGGACGAGGAGGAGAGGAGGAGGGGGGCGGGGCGGGGCGGGGCGAGAGAGGGCTCGCAAGCCGGATCATCACCTGGGTGCATCGACAGAGGCGCTAATGGTCATGCACGCGCGCGTCGGCGCGGCGGCGAGGCGCGCGCGCCGAGCGGCCCGCCGGCGGGGCACGCAGCCGGCGCAGCCGTCCCACCTGTCGGGCGCGGGCGGCCGGACGCGCCTGCCGGGCGGCAGGCCGAGGCGCTGGCGGCGGCCCGGCTGGCTGGGCACCGGGCCGTCGCTGGAGTCGGTGGAGAAGCCCGAGACCTCGTCCTCGGTGTCGGGCGGCGCGAAAACCGAGTCGGAGCCGAGCGAGCGCAGCGAGTCCGCCTCCGGCGGGTCCACGCTGCCCATGGAGGCGAGGGGCGCGCGGCGCGGGCACAGGCCCGCCTCGCTCGCGCACGGCGACAGCTCGGGCGTGGGCTGGGTCACCTGGATGTCCACGGGCCGGCAGCGGCGCCAGCCGTGCTGGCGCGGGTAGGCGGGCGGCGCCGGCAGGCAGGGCATGGCCGCGGCCGAGCCGCGCCGCTCCAGGTAGCTGCTGGCCGTGCTGCTGCAGGTGACGGAGCTGCAGCGGCGCTGCGGCGCGCCGGCGCCGCCCGCCGGCGCCGCCAGCAGCAGCGAGTCGTAGCAGCCGCCCACCGAGGCGAAGCGCGGCGCCGCCAGCGGCGGCCGCGGCTCCGCCACCTGTCGATTCGCGCACGACGGTTAGTCCGGCGCTGGCGGCGGCCCCCGAGCACCCTCCCCCGGCGGGCTACGTGCCTCCACGCAGAGCGACCTCCGCGGGCCGCGGGCCGGCTGCGGCTGCTGCCTGGCGAGCGCCTCGATCGCCGCGGCCAGCGCGCGCTCCTCGGCCTCAGCCTCGGCCACCGCCGCCTCGGCCGCCGCCGTCAGCCGCGGGTCCTCCAGCTGCCGGTTGGACTTGCACCTACGCCTCGCGGGGCACAGGCAAAGCGTCGCTCTCGTGAGAACCGGTCGTCAGTGCGGCGCGCGCCGCGGCTCGAGACAGCTACCTGCTCTTGTAGACCACCAGCAGCACCATCAGGCTGAAGAAGCCGCCGAGGGTCGCGGCTATCCTCACCCCGGTCATCACGTCGTAGGTCTTGTAGAACTCGATTTTCAGCTGCTCCCGCTCGCTGAGCGTCGGCGCGGCTTCCGGCATCGCGCTCCTCGTTGCCGCCGCCGCCGCCGCCGCCGCCGTCGTGGTCGCTGGGCCCGCGCCGCCTCCGCCGCCGCCGCCGCCGCCGCTGCCGCTGCTGCCACTGCTGCTGTTGCCGCCGCCCGCCATACCTGCAAGCGCCATAGCACGATCGCTGCGTTAGAGGGGCTGCTCTAGCGGGGGGTCAAGGTCGCGCAGACAAGCCTGGGGCCGCGAGGGCAGGCAGCCGACCCAGAAAAACCGGGATGTTCGCGTGGCGCACGGCAAACCAGGTCGAGGATCGGGCTGAAATCCGGACGCGCCGGCGCGCGTCGGAGGGGCGGCGGAAGGGTGGGAGCAACAGGAAGCAGCCGCCGGAGCGGCACAGCGGGAGGAGTCGCTGCGGCCGCTGCGCGCCAGAGCCGGAGGATATTGATTGCGCTACCTGCAGCTGGCTGTCGCGCGCATACATGCTACAGGTCGTTTCCGCGCCCGACGACCTTCGCGACAGGGCTCGCGCGTATACGTACTCGCTGCAGTCCGACATCGTACGTCCGTGCACTTGTTGAATGCAACCTCCGACGGCGAGCCGCCGAGGCTACGCGCGCGTCCTAGCGCACGTCTCTCTCTCTCTCTCTCTCTCTCTCTCTCTCTCTCTCTCTCTCTCTCCCTCTCTGCGAGCGGCCGACCGGAGCGCACGCGAGGCCCGAGGCGCCTTCGGGCAGTCGGGCGGCAACCTGTGGATGAAGGCAAATGCGCCTGTCTTCACGCGCGTCGTTCGATCGCCAAGTTGGCCGTGAGTTTGCCTCCGACGCGCCGCGGCAGGATGCAAGCTGGTCCTTCGTCGAGTAATCCCTCGCGAATCGCGGCTTCTCGCTCGTTCTCGAGCAGTGAGCTTTTTTTTTGAGACTTGGCCGTGGTCGACACCTCGCGTATCCAGAGAACGGCGACAGATTCGACGAACCGTGTCGCAACCCGATGGCTGATCGATGTATGGATGCAGACCAACAGCTGCGTCACGTGCAGTGCGGCCGGGAAATCGATAAGCGCGCGCGCACAGCAGATTCCATTCCGCGGCCGTGCATCTCGATTACAATCGAGAGAGAGAGAGAGAGAGAGAACCGAGCGTTGACTGAGGAAATAACGCGGAAAGTTTGGTGGTGCGCCGCGCACTGTAATTAAGCACCCGAACTATTCTTGGACTTATCGAACGCGCCGACGTTGGGCAATTGTTTACAGAGCGGAATTCGTATAGCTGGCGGTCTGGCACGTCGAGCGAGTTCAGAATTGTACGCGGGCGTGCTTGGAAAATCAGCGAAGCCATGCAGCACTTTGCCGTGTTCGCGCGCGACCGCACCGAGCACCGGAGAGTGACCCCGGACGCCACTTGCGCCCGTCGCGCGCAGGCAGAGCGAGGTCGCAGGCGCCTGACAAGTCCACCGCCGTCTTGCGCGCATTCCTGCAGCAGCGTGGCCGGCGTTGAACAAGCCGCGCGATACCTTTTCCCATGTAACGTCCGCGCCCGTCGTCACGCGTGACACCCGCGCATCCTCGGCCGCGCTGCCGTTACGTTTTACGACGTATCGTACTTTACATTGCGCGTTTTACGAGCGCGCCTTGCCTCGCCGACGCTACGCGCTCTATACCCTTGTGCCGCCGGCGCGCCTTCGCATTTTGCTGCTGCTGCGATGAGAAGCCCGGGGTGCGATCTTCGATCTTGGACGATTTCGAAAAGGCAGCAGCGACGTGCCACGCTTGGCAGTCGACTCGACGACGCAACGGGTGAGCCTCCCGAAAGAAAGCCGCGCCGCCCGGAAGCGTAATATTCGGGACGACCCGGCGACCGAGAGACGGGCGAGTCCGCGAAACGTAGACTGCGAGCTCGAGCGCCGTGTAATCGCGTCGTCCTGGCGGAGCGAGGTACGTCCCCGATTTTCCCGGGTATAACTTGTTGCTTTGGCTCGTTATTACGCTTCTCCGCGCAGTGTCGTCGGGCCACTTTACCTTCCAAGGGAAGCCGGCTGCGCGCGTATCGCTGCACGCGGAGCGTCGATAAAAACGTCAATTTAACCGGATCGCCCGAGCGACTCTCGCGCTTTCACGAACACTCCGTTCCGACGTTTATCGGCTTGGCATTTGTATTTTTGCTCGAGCCCGCTCCAGCGGCCGACGAGGAGTTATTGGGTTATCGAGAAGGGGGAGGGAGCGAGGGCAATCCGCCATTTCTGCCGGACGGCAGCGCGGACGCGTTGACGATCCGTTTATCAACGGAGACGAAAAAAAAGGAAAGAAGGAAGAAACGATCCTGTCTTCGTTCTAGAATGATAAAGAAGGCAAACGGAATTGCTGATATCCGTTGTCTAGCTCTCTCGCTCTCTCTTTATTTGTAAGATTATGATTATATCACGATGAATTACAAAATGGAAGCAGTCGAATATTCACTCTCTGTCGTCAGGTCTTGGGATTTTCGTTAATCTACTCAATAGTATCGGTCGAAATTCTATCCAACTGATTTGAAGAATTCAACGCACCAGAATCTTAATACTCCGCTATGAACCTTTTCAAATTTTGATTAAATGGTACCGGTTGGCGAGAGACATATCCCCAGGCTACTGTAGAGAAGGTTGTAAGCAACGAGATTTACTTTACACCACAGCCGAGCCAAGTAACAACTCTCGTCTGATAATGAAATGCAGACACCTGAATAAGAGGGGGCTTGATGGAAACCGCAATAGTTCGCCGTTAATTATTATTACCGCCAGAGAGTTGAATGTACATTTGGCGTCTACGGCTACTTTGCACTCGTTATGCTCGTGAGCTTGCAATGCCTCTACATGTAAATACTCCCATCTTTGAGACGAGGCTGTTGAGCTATCTAGAAATCTTAGGAATGATTCACGGTCAGCTCCCCCGAGTTTAGAGCTAAGGGAAGGTCGTGTTTTCGCGACGATGGAAATATTCAGCAGTTCGATTAGCTCGTGTATCCATCCCAACGGATGGAAAACGGATGGATCTGATTCTATCTCTAGAAAACGGAAAATCGCTGTCCCAAAATCCTCGGCTGATCTTGCGAAAAGCCTAGACAAATCGCGTCTTGGTTGATCAAACACCTCGAAGAAAATGGACTTTTTCTTCGTGGTACCGTTAACGGTAACTATTCTTTGAAATATTTGGCTTCCGTGAACCACTCGGAGTTACGCGAGAGCACTCCGATAATTTCATCAAACAGTTTTGGTTATATCTTACTATGGTCAGATTACGAGCAGCATTCACCTGCAAACTTTCATTATTGAGTTTATTAGTTTACTCTGGTATTCCACGGGTCAAATCAAATCCTAACCGTATTGCTTTTATTATCTTGATTAATGGCACTGTTGACTGGCACTGTTGTCCATTATACATTAAAGTGCTCGTGCGCTCTTCGCTGATGACATCTGAATTTATACTCATTGCAGAAAAGAAGAGTTTCCAAAGCACACGTCAAAATTGGTTAGCCAATGTTAAAAGACATCCAAGTTTTATGGCGGTTACCCCGCATAAAATTTTTACAACTGGCGTACCTCAATATTTAGTAGGATCTTTCCCTAAACTACATTTAGACATGAGGCGCTCCGCGTGTACTCTTACTTCGGCTGATTCCTCTTACTTTGGCCTTTCCAGAGCAAACGCAATTACCTACGAGAATTCTCGGCATACGATCTATGACTTTTTATCGAATCCTTTCGGTCTCCGCTCTATGATTACCCGATAAACGGTCATTCTAATATTAGCGAGAGCTGAAGCTATTCACTGTTGTGCACTTGAATATTGTCCAACTTGAATTATAGCTATTATTTATTATTCTGTTTCCAATTCTGCCTGTTTATCATGCATTGTAAGAATCCTAGTTGTAAATCGATGATTTATGTCTTGTTAAATATAATGCGAATAAATGCAAACACACGAAAATTGTCAAAAGTGTTGATCTTGTTTATCTCGATTAATCTACATTCTCCATACTACGAACGCCACGCGGTTTAATTAAAAGAACTTTAGCGCAATTGAATAAAGTATCAAATCTTTCTCTCTCGCAGTCTCTCGAGGACTATATCGATACTGCCTGACTCGCTCGATAATGAAATTCATCCCTCCTTCTCCTCCATCTTTTAACTTAACTCGCGAGCGACACTGGCCATATTTGTCGGCCGACTGCGTCAAAGAGGAAGGCGGAAGGAAAGGACGGACACGCGCGAAATCTCGGGAGTGCAGTGTCAGCCGTTGCACTCGCGCGCCACGTGGGAACGTCCCACATCGCGAGCCCCTTCGTCACGCGATAAACGAGAATTGGTTTTTGAACGGTCGCCCCTTAGCTCCCGCGAGGGTAGGGTCGGCTAATCGCTTTCTCGATGTAGAGCTGCGTCGCTCGCAGATGAACGTGTGCGCAAGGGCTGATGGCGCCCGCATCCGTGGCTAACGACCGCGACCCACGAGGCCAGTTGACCGCGGGGATAAACAGAGTACGCGCGCGAGGCGCGGTTGCTCGTCGTCGCGCTGGGAGCCAATAAATTTTCACGGTAATCGAGGACGATAACGAGCGCGAATTGGAACGCGCTTGGAGAAGGGACGGGGGGGGGGGGGTGCGCGATCGATGCACGCGTCGTCCAATTGTCGTTCACGCAGAGACGATCGCACCTATCTCGCCGACCACGAGAGCTGCCCGTCCGCGGCTGTCGCGCGGAGAGCGTCGCGGGGCGCACGCGAGCCGGCAACCAGCGGGACCCCGAGCCCCTCGTCGCGCACAGATCGGAGCCTTCTATCCAAGGAGAACTCGGCGCAGCCTGATCCACTTTCGAAAAATGAATGTACTCCCTCCGCTGTCGCTTCTGTCTCTCCACGCTGGCTTTTTCATTCGGACTGAATATAGCGCAGAGAGAGAGAGAGAGAGAGAGAGAGAGAGAGAGAGAGAGAGAGAGAGAGAGAGAGAGAGAGAGAGAGAGAGAGAGGGAGCGAAAGAGGACGGCGAAATAGTCGTGCCAACAAAAGACACTCGCTACGTCGTCGTCGCTCCTCCCGCCGACGACACATATTGATCCTCTCGGCATTGTAAACTTCTCTCTCCGGAGTGGCAGCGCGCACGGATGAAAGAGAGGGAGATCCTCTCTATTACGTCGCG